GGCGGGTAGTCAGACCGTGAGGAAAAATATCAATGTTGACGTGTCTGATGTTAAGGAGATAGAATAGAAACTGGTTTTAGCGGGTACAAAGTGGTACAAAGTACGGCGAGGCCGTGAGTGCCCCCTATAGAGGCGAAGGTACTAAGTACATCGAGAGGATTCTCCGGAGAAGATCGGCCCTAAGGAGTGTCCCACTGTGAAACTCCATCTCTTTCCAGAAGTTTGGCGTGTGAGATTCGACTTTTCTGGTTTCTTTTTTAGGCTCCTCTCTTTCCTGTCACCTTTTTTATTTTTATTTTTATTTTTATTTTGAAAGCCTTTCCATCCAACCTACACCTATTCCAGGACCTACCATCGGTCTTTATAATACCATCCATTTCTACCTTCCCTGCCATAGCGCGTTCATTGGACAGAGGCGTCCAATGAGCCTGCATTTTCAATATTATTCTGAGTGCAAGGTCCGCTTTTTATCCAGCGCGCATCGCGGGCTTGCCACTGACTGTTCACCCGACCTGCAGCATTGCCTCTTCGCATTGAAGAGGTCTCCCACTAGATAAATGGTTTTTAAGCCGTTCACCCACCTCGCGCGCCAGAGTTTCACCAAGGCCTTCACCCATGGCTATGCTCAATCGGTAGTCGCAGCGTCCCAGTCCTACGCGTCCTCGTCCACAACATTTAATTCCCTCGCTTCACAACCCGCCAAGTTCTCCCGCACCCAATTACAGAATGCTTTCTCCAACGCGTCGAGCTCGTCTGGCGGCGCCGGTGGCGCCAAGGCTAGCCAGGCCTCTGGATCTGCAGATTCTGGTCTAGCTGCTTACTATGCCGCATGGCAGCACGCCCAGCAGACCGGCGACGATAGCGATTGGTGCCAATTCCAGTTCAAGCGCCGCATTGATTGGAAGCCGTCCGCCGAAGAGATCGAGCAGGCTCAAGAAGACCGCCCCGAAACAGCCCCGCCGCATCTCACTAAGGCTGCCGTCAACGAGAATGTCAGCGCCCAGGTGGAGGAGGCAGTGGCTCTGGAGATTCAGAAGATCCAGGAGCAGCATGAACAATCAGAGGAATCATCGGTGACGGAGGCTGCGGCGAAAGAATCTGCAGTCGAGGATGTAGTTCTTTCAGATGCGGTTTCGGAGGAATCTAAAGCTGTTTCTGCGAAAATTGTGCGCCTGGCTGAATCTGAGAACTTTGCGGAGATTCCTGCTGCTTTCCAGGCTGTGCTTCGGGAGGGTCTCACACCGACTGTGGAGGCTTACAATGCTCTCCTCCTCGCGGCTATCAGACTTCACCCTGAGGCTGCACAGGCGATCCCCAAGGCGCTTGATGTTTATTCTGACATGCTCCGTCGCAAGGTCATGCCTGACGAGGATACCTATGAGACACTTGTGCAGCTTTTGGTTGCTAACTCGAACGATACGATCAAGGCCAAGGAGATCTTGGAGCAGGAGCGAGTTCGTTATGGTGGTATGGAGGAGCCTGGCAAGTTCATGCTTCAGTCCCGCGAGTTGGAACGCGACATTCTGGCTGAGGATCACTCTTTGTCTATTGCCGTGAAATTGTTCAACACTGCCATCGCTCGTCACCCTCTGCTGGTGTTCCCTCTTGATCTGTACCGCCAATTCATCATTGCCTGTGCCCGTGATGGCAAGGTGGATGACATGGTCCTTATCTACGCCCACATGGAATCGCAGAAGGTTCAGCCTCATGCCACCATTTACCCTCACATGATTGATGCGTTCGCCAGCACCGGTGATCTCAAGAGTGCGGTGGAATGCTATCAGGAGTACCGAAGCCTCGCTGTCTCAGACGACAGCGGAGTTTTCAGCATCGTCCAGCGACTTGACGGACAAGTTTATGCAGCCCTCATTCGTGCCTACTTGACTTGTGGCAAGGAAGAGGGTGCGATGAACTTCCTCAACCGGATTCGTTCTTCCTTTGATGGAGTTACCGAGGACCGCGAGAGCCGTTGGTCTGCTGTGGAGAGCGTGATTGTCCAGGAAGCACTTGTGCATCACTCCGTCAAGATTGGGGAGCACAGCAAGGCTTTAGAAAAGGCCAAGGCTGAGCTCCACAATGAGGCTCGGGATCAGGCCATTTCCCAGATTTGTGTGGCTGCGGCTGACGCAGGTGATCTGACCACTGCCTCCGAGGCGTATGATCGTCTGTCCACCGCGCCGGCAACACGCCAAGTTCCCGCCATTTCACTCCTCGCCCTCCACATTCGTCGGGGCAATGTTTCCGCAGCCCGTTCCTTGTGGATCATGCTGAACACCGTGGGTCAGGCAACCCCGGATATGGTGCAGCCGACCGCTATGTACGCCGTTGCACTGTTGAAGAGTGGCCAGGTCGAGGCGGGTCTGCAGGAAGCTCGCAACATGTTTGCTCGCATCCGTACTGCCTCCGCTGACCAGGTCGTTGCCGCGGCGATTCGAGAGCAGATTACTGAGTCCCTTCACCTCTTTGGACGTGTCATCGTTCAGACCGCTGCCGTTCTGTCCCCGCAGTCATCCATGTCCCTCTTGTGGTCTATGATCGATAACGGTGGCCTGGTGTCTCCCCTGGCTGAACATGCCGTTGCCAATCTCACTCCCATGGGTATCTCGCAGTTGAATCCTGCCGACCTCACTCTTGCTCTTCAGGTTCAGGCTGGTATGCTTGCCAGCAACACTGCGATGCTATTTGACATTGCTCACCCGGCCCGCTTTGCACACATGCTTGATGTGGCTTTGTCGACTTCCCTTCCCTTGGACAACTACACCACTGGTCTGATCGACCAGGGTGTCGCTCAGATCTTCGCTAACCGCCCCGACGTCGTCAAGAGATGGCAAGACCACATGGAGGCTACTTCTCAATCCTCTATGCTGTCTGCACGTCACAGTCCTGTCTCCGCTGCCGAAACCTCTATCACGGTCCCGTCTTCAAGCCCCGATTCCTTCGACCCCTACGCCTATGCCACTGACTTCCGTGCCTCTGCCATCATTGCGGAGGAGCTCGAGAAAACCGCTGGGCGGCCCGAGTCACACCTCAACGAGGCCTTGATCCGTCTTAAGAACATGCGCCGCATTGGTCGTCACCCTCGCTACATCACATACGCTAAGCTGATCACCGCTGCTGCGAAGATTGGTCGCACCGAATTGGTTCACGAGATTCACAGCATGGCCCGAACTGACGTTCCGCTCAACCTGGCTCACAACACCGTCAAGTACGGCTGGGTTTCCATTCTTGATGCTATGGTTGCTGCTTGCCTCACTCTTGGAGATCGTCAGCTGGCTGGCCAGTTCCACCAAGAGCTTCTTGGTCTAGGCTCTGCGCCTTCGGCCAACACCTTTGGTTTGTACATCACCACTCTGAAGGAGTCTACCAAGACTTTCGACGAGGCCACCGAAGCTTTGAAGATCTTCCACCGTGCTGTCGCCGAAGGTGTCGAGCCTACCTCGTTCTTGTACAATGCGCTTATTGGAAAGCTCGGAAAGGCCCGTCGCATCGACGACTGCCTCGCCTACTTCGCCGAGATGCGCGCCAACAACGTCCGCCCAACTAGTGTCACCTACGGAACCATCGTCAACGCCTTGTGCCGTGTGAGCGATGAGCGCTTCGCAGAGGAGATGTTCGAGGAGATGGAGTCCATGCCCAACTACAAGGCCCGGCCCGCTCCTTACAACTCCATGATCCAGTACTTCTTGAACACAAAGCGTGACCGCAGCAAGGTTCTGGCCTACTACGAGCGCATGCAGGCTCGCAACATTAAGCCTACCATGCACACCTACAAGTTGCTCGTTGATGCGCACGCCTCCCTCGAACCCATCGACATGGATGCTGCCGAGAAGGTTCTCGAGTCCATGAAGGCTGCTGGTCAGCAACCCGATGCCGTCCACTACGCCTCCCTGATCCACGCTCAGGGTTGTGTCCAGCACAACCTGTCCGCTGCCCGCAAGGTCTTCGACTCCGTCATCGCTGACCGTCACGTGCGCCCGCAGCCCTGCTTGTACCAGGCTCTCTTCGAAGCGATGGTCGCCAACAACCACGTTGCTGACACCGAGGAGATCGTCCGGGGCATGATGGCACGCAACGTCGAGATGACCCCTTACATTGCCAACACTCTCATCTCCGGATGGGCCGCCGAAGGCAATGTCATGAAGGCCAAGACCATCTACGACAGCATTGGAATCAAGAAGCGCGAGCCTAGCACTTACGAGGCTATGACCCGTGCTTTCCTCAGTGCTGATGACCGCAGCAGTGCCGCCACCATCGTCCAGGAGATGATGTCGCGCGGATACCCCCTGCTGTGGCCAACAAGATCCTGGATCTTGTCGGCGGAGCTACCTCTGTCTAATACCTCTATCTGATTCTTTTTTCTTTTGTTTCCCTGGCTACTGTTCGACCAGGTTAGATTAATGTTTGGCTACACCCTTCATCACCTCGCCAGGGCTGGATCCCTTCGGCATGGGTAATTCCGGTTCGGCGATAGGGCAGCCTTGGATATACCTGGGATATCTGGATTTTATGTTAGTTGCATTCAGCGGGATCTGGCGTTTGGGGATCAAAACGGCATGTATACCATTGTGCGGCAATTTCTTCGTTATCATAGACCTATCTCAACTCTGCATGGCGCTTCCACACGCCAGGTCAAAATACAAAAAAAGTGATTTGAGATTTTTTTTTCTAAGTGTAGGACAAGCAACACAAGCAATAAGCACTTGAGTTCAACTGGTTATGGTAAGCTTTCTTATCGTATTCGTCATGATCAGTCACTAATCCTGTGCCGAGGTAGACCAATCGAAGACTTGACTCACGATGACTCGAGAAGACCAATTGTCACCAATTTGCTTAGTTGAACCTTGGGATTAATTAGAATAACCACACTTATAAAACCGTTGAAACGAAGCTCTATAGGCTGGAATTACACTTCCATCCATCTCTACTGCCACCCCTTGGTACGTTTTCAAACCAACACATTGGAGCATCAAGCCACCCTCAACCAACCCTTCAACCCCACAATGGCCTCCCACGACTCCGACGAGTTCCTTACCGAACTCCCTCCAATCCCCGAAGACGAATTCGTCATCTTCGGCACTGTCTACGCGTACCCAGAGCACGCAGATGCACTGGAAGTTGTCTATGCTGAGACTACCCGGCTGGCACAGTTCGAGCCTGGCTCAATCTATTATTGCATCTGCAGAGACGAAACTGATCGGAATCTTTTCCATTTCTTTGAGAGGTATGCTGGGCGTCAGGCGTTCGAGGATCACAACGCGCAGGCTATTATTGTGAAGCTTATGGCAGATAAGTGGATGAAGGGCGTTAAGGCGAAGTTTATGAAGGCCATTCCGCCGACGAAGGTTTAGGTGGATATGGATATGGATGTTTATAGTTATGAAGCATATAAGATGGGCGGATTCAATTGGTTCTCTCCAAATGTAAAGTGGTCCCATCCGAGGACATGGATGGTATGACTCCTACGTCAATTTCCAAACCTACTTTTCCCTTTCTTTCTCAACCTTGGAGTGTTCATGCCTTGATCTCGTCGAATTACACTTTGATCGCCTGTAAATCTCCATTTATGCTCTGTCGTTCCCCCCCCGTTATCTGCCCTTGACTCATTTCTCCGCATTCGCTTCCGCACAGCTTCCCAACCCCGCCTTCAATTCCATTCCACCACCAGCGCCCTAAAACCAACAATGTCTCAAAACGAAGGGCATCTTCGCCCGAAGAAACTCATCTGTAGGTCTCTCACGCACGTCAACTACGCATCCTCTACGACGCAGACCTGAGGCAGTACCACGCGATCCGCGAGGAAACGCTACAAGCTCCAAGCTCCAAGCTAACAATCTCTACAGTCGCACCAGGCGATATATCAGCAACCCCAGAACTTGAAGCAACCGAATCCCCTGCACACGCCGACTCGACCCTCCGCTCGGAAACCTCAACACCTAACTCCATAACCGAAACCGAAATAATCTCCCACCCAGCCCGAGCCCACCAATTCATCACAAACCCGCCCCTCACTGTTTCCCAAATCCACGGCACAAACCCCCTCCACCAATTCCACTCCTGGTTCAAAGATCCCCGCCTCACACCAAGCTCAGCCCCAGAAACCTGTACCCTGGCAACAGCCTCGCTCCCTTCCGGCCGCGTCAGCGCCCGCAGCGTATACCTGAAAGAACTCGACGAGCGCGGCTGGGTGGTCTACAGTAACTGGGGCAGTCGCGAAGGGAAAGGCGGACAGGTCTTCGGAAACGAAGAGGGAGGATCCACGAAGCTCCCCGAGCCATCCGAGGCCGCAGCCTCGCATCTGGGTAATCGGTGGGGCGCGCTAACATTCAGCTGGGCAGCCGTTGAGCGCCAGGTTAGAATCGAGGGACTCTTTGAGCCGCTTAGTCGGGAGGAGAGTGAACTCTATTGGCGGACTCGTGAGCGTGGGAGTCAGATTGGGGGTTGGGCTAGTTGGCAGAGTAAGGTTCTCTGGTCTGCGCAGCCGGGACAGATGGAGGAGCGGCAGCGACGGAAGAGTGTTGCGAAGGTGCAGGAGGCAGAAGCTGGGAGTGAGGCGCTTGTGAATTTGGATCAGACGGATATTGATGATGGGCGGAAGGCGCTTGAGCAGCGTGTTAGGGACATGGAGATCAAATTTGAGGGTGTGAAGGATATTCCGCTGCCGCCTTTTTGGGGCGGCGTGCGTTTGGTGCCGGAGTCTGTGGAGTTCTGGCAGGGGAGGAAGAGTCGGTTGCATGATCGGTTTAGATATGTGAAGGAGGGAGAGGGTCAGTGGCGATTGGAGAGACTTTCGCCTTGATTTAACTCCAGCGTCTGCCAGAAATTGTATACAGTATATATTATTCTAGATCAGAATTATATTATGTTGCGTTCATACAGCTCCTGGTTGTATATAGAAAGTTAGCATGGAGTCCTCCGTAGTTCGTATAGATATGATGTCGCGGCACTATCTTATCAGTCTTGGCATCTAACGTCCTCCCTCGACACGCCAACCAGTACCAGCTCCAGCTGTACATGTACCTCCAGATCCAGCATTAATTCACCCGACTCACTCCAATCCACACTCTCATATATATAGATAAACAGCTTGGAATTCACAACACAATGGTCACCCCGACAAAAACCACGTCCCCCTGGATTCTCCTCGCCCTGGCAAGCGGCGCCTTCGCCGCGTTGAACGGACTCTTCGCGAAACTGTAAGCCAGAAGCACCGGATTGCATTAAACACCGAACCCAAACATGTCCCTGTCAGAATAGATCCATAGACAGATCGAGTCAGCTAATGTGATATAGAACAACCGATACCAACACTACATCTTTCGCGCAATCCCTAGCCCATCTTTTTGGTCTAGACTCCTCGCCTTTCTTGGAGTTGCTTGTTCGAGGTGTAAGTACTTCTCCCAGCTATTCTCATTCGAACCACTTTTTATATCTTTGGCATAATTTGAATATGTACATGGATGCATACTGTGTATAACCAAATAACAACAACTAACCTTGAATAGGCCTGCCTCGGCCTCAACGTCCTCTGCAACATCATAATGTGGGCTCTTTTCACACGCGCCCTAACAGCCGGTCCATCGACGGTGAAGGTATCCATTACTAACACGTCGGCGAACTTCCTTGCTACGGCACTGTTGGGAATGATTATCTTCCGGGAAGCGGTTGGTGGTCTTTGGTGGGTTGGTGCTGCTATGATGGGGGCTGGGTGTATTTTGGTGGGCATGAGAGAGGGAGCTTGATTTGTCCAATTTCTGTATGGTCGATTGTTTGATTAGGTGTTCTGTACATAGGTGTTATGACCGAAGATCAGAAGTAGATGCATCAAGGTTGTTTGGATTTAAATATCTTCGGACTTGTTGTCTGCGTAATTGTGAAACTTAGTGTAGTTGGACTCGAGTATAAAGGATCTCAATAAAGAAAAAGGTAAAGGGTAGAAAGAAAGGTATTAGAGTGACGTAGAGGCACATAATTTATTGCCCAAGGTTATGACATGGGTTTGTGAAAGCAGTAATGAGTTGATATACTTGTTGACTTGGACAAAGTTGTACAAACTTCTCTGCCGCAATTCTAGCTCGTGTATGGATCTCTAGAACTCTTAAGACTTGTACTTACTGTGAAAGGAATCAACCAAAGTAGGTATCTGGTTAAGCAACGATTTACATGAACATCTCTATCATATATCCGGATAACTAGTTGATACAATCCACTCAACGACGAAGCCGTTCTTCTCTATCCTCAAGCTCAACCAACCCATCATCCTCCGTCCCATCCAAGATATCAGCTGACTCCGACAACCCAGCTCGGTCTCGTTCACGTAGCCTTACAGGCCGACGCGGACCAGAGCCCGATACGAATCCAATGACAGTCTGGATCAGACGCCATAACCGGTCGTCCAGTGTCTCTGCGGCGGGGCTATTCAAATGACCACCAAGAGCAGAGAAGTCCGACGAGTTCGTCGCAGCAAGAGCGTGCTCCTCGGCTTCGACCTTGAATTGATACTTCAGGCAGTCCTTGACGGTTACCAGGCCGGCCAGACGGCCGCGGTGCTCGACGATGATCACACGCGGGCCCATCTTCTTGAAGATCTCCATGACGGTCTCGAGTGGCAGACGTGGATGCACGGTGAGAGGAGTGTGGTCGACGAAGCGCGAGAAATCCACGACACCAGCACCAACGGAAGTCTGAATGGCGTCAAAGGTATCGGGGGCGAGGTGACGTCCCGATGCGCGACGCGCGACAGATGCCTCTGCAGCATCTTTGGTGAATACGCATCGAGCGCGTGGGGAGAGGAGGCCCTGGCTTCGGGCACGGTCGATAGCATATCGGAGCTCTGTGCGTCCAATATAGCCGACGAGTGTCTTGCTGCTCCGGTCTTCTACGATTGGGAAGCCTTGGAACTTGTTGTCGCTAAGCAGGTGCTCTGCTTCTCGAACAGGGAAGTCCGATGCCGGGATGAAAAGCGGATCAGTTGTCATGGCGTGTGAGACTGGAACGTTAAAGACGTGTTCTTCCTTATTGTCTAGGAAGGGGAATCCGTTGAACCAGATCATTCGGTCGGCGATACCGCCGTTTCCGAATCGATCACCCACAGCCTTGGTGATACCCACAACGATCATGGTGGGCAGAATGTAGGTAAGGGCTCCTGTTAGTTCGAACATAATGACGGTAACTGAGATGGTAATGTGCATGATTCCACTCAGTGCTGCAGCGGCACCCAGGAAAGCGTAGGTACCTGGTGTGATGCACGGCACGTCCGGGTCGCACGATGCAAAGAACGCTGATTTGGGGAAAGATTCATGCAATGCCTGCACCATGATTCCTATCATTCGCCCGAATGATGCACCGATGGCCATAGATGGGACGAAAATACCGGCAGGAACTTTGCAGCCGTAGGAAACGATAACCAATACCGTGCGTAAAATCGTAGCAATAGCCAATGAAATTACCATTGACCATCGGTTTTGTTCTCTGTAAGGATTTTTAGTATCATGTTTATCCCAAGGTTTGCGGTGTCCTTACTGGCACAGTCCATGGTAGTCGTGCCCACCACCACATTCACGGAAAAGGATCTCCATCATCTCTGTCATGTTGATTTTCAAGAAAATATTGGGATAGCAAAGGATAGCTGTAAGCCCAGCAAGAACTACAGACTCAGCGATGGGGTATTTGCCGAGGTATTTCTTGCGGAATGATGCCATTCGCAGATTCCATTTGATCACGAATGCACCGTATAGACCACCGAAAACACCGATGAAAATGAAGAAGAGCAGTTCAAAAAAGTGCCAGGTGCGATCATATTCAACCTGGAACATGACCAGCTGTCCTGTTCGGAAAGGGTTTAAGGCCTAAGACAAAGTCAGAATTGCATCAAAATACTCATCGGGCAAGAGGAACGTACAGCTAGCACACTTGTTGCCACCAGGGCACAGAAGTAGCTGCGCCAGAGGGTCTTGAGAGGAAAGTAATTGGCAATCTCCTGTTCATATGTTAACAATCTACCTTCCCTTGGGTCTTGGGACCAAACATACCTCTAATGAGAATAGTACACCTCCTATAGGACTGCCAAAGGCCACAGCTACACCAGCCGCAGCCGATGCAGTCAAAATCTCTCTGGTCTTAGATGCACTAGTCTTGTATTTTCCAAAAAACCGCGAAATCACGTTTCCAGTACAGACGGCAAAATGGACACTAGGACCCTCCTTTCCAACGGAGAGACCAGATGCAATAGCCAGCGGTAGAGCAATTGACTTTATGATGAGCGTCCAGGCACCTAGGAAACCCTTCATGACAAATCCAGCAATAATACACTTGATCTCCGAAATGCCAGAGCCAGCGGCGTAAGGGGCAAAGGTCTTAACCAGAATGGCTGCGATAGCGGCAAGCAGTACCTAAATTCGCCATTAGCAAGCCATCTATTTTCAGAAGTACGATTAAAATCATACCGCAAAAAAGAAATAAACCACATAATTAAAAAGCCAGAATCCAGTCCAGGATTCCCATTCCTGGCAGCCTCCTTCGGCGCCCCAGCAGCAAAATTGTTCATTCAGGTAGAATGCCGTAGTACAATGACCCAGCTTGATGTCTGACAACCACTCGGTGATAATATTCAGCAGAGCTGAATTGACACCAATTGCCATACCAACGAGGGTCACCACAAGCCAGGCTTGACCCGCATCATAGGATTCCACCAGCTTGCGTCTCCAGCCGAATACGCCCTCCTGGTCCCAGAATCCCGTGCCGCTCCGTCGCTTAGCTCGTCGACGACTCTGTTCATATACAGCATCCTGGACCCAGTCTATTGTCGTAAAGTCCTCATATCTTTTAATCTCCGTGATTTCCTCAGTGATGGCGGGCGCTTGCGCGTCGGGGGCTGGATTCGAGTCGGCAGTGGACGAAACGGAAACAGAGCGGCCAGACAGCCGGCGCATATCCCGGCGCTCCTCTAGGATCGAGGGCGACCGGGGGTAGGTCGAATTTGGGTGTGTCGAGGTCATAACATCGACCACGGTGATAGGCTCAGCATAGTCGGGCTCGAGCTCAGTCGGTAATGCACTGCCTCCGCGATGAGGGAGATCGCGGGATCGGGGCGACGCAGGTCAAATCTTAAAATCTGACCAGCGCCTAGTATATCGTCATAGGTTCTTTGACGAGATCAAAGAATGGATCAGGGGAATTTGTGCAATTCCAGGGTGGGAACGATGTTGAGGCTAAGGTGTCAAAGGCTCAGTTCCACGCCAAGTAATCGATAACGGAGATCTGCTGAGATAACGCCGCCGCGCACACGCGTTTGACTTTCTTGACATCGCGCGCTGCAAATCATTTCACTCTGGGACTTCGCTGTTCAAGGACACAAGTACTTACTTCTACTCATTGGTTTATTGTCTGCATTTCAATATAACCAGCCATGACTCCAAAGACTGTGGGCGAGCCGGATGAGATCACTGGTCAAAGTGCACTCCCTAGTGAGTGCAATACAGCTGCTTTAAGATCCTGGGCCCTATGACTGACTCTATGACAGTATCTCGTATCAAGAAGATTGTTCAACTTGACGAGGATATTGTACAATGTTCCAACAACGCGACCTTCGTCATCGCTATGGCTACTGTACGCCACAATCGCATCCCATTGCAGAATCTTGAACACAGAACTGATGAAGACTGTAGGAAATGTTTATTCAATATCTTGCTGAGCAAGGCCACAATGTGGTAAAATCAGAACGCAAGCCACGAAAGACCGTCCAATACAAAGACCTAGGTAAGTGGCGAGTTGAGAACTATCTCCAGCGGGATGCTGATGGAACACAATAGCCACGGCTGTGTCACATATCGACAATCTCGAGTTCCTATCCGATGTCATCCCCAAGACTACAACCTACAAGCAATTCAAGGAGAAGAAGGCGAAGGAGGCGTCCGCACCGGGAGAGTTGGAGAAGGGCCAGCGCACATTGAACGGCACCACTCCAGCGGCTAGAGAACAAAATGGCGATACCCCAGTAGAGTCAGCAACACAGCCAGAAGGCTCGAGTCAATCGCCGACTATGCCTCGTACACCCGTGGTGCCTGTGAGTGCGCTGATGGCGGATCGTACAGTCACTTCATCTGCACGCCACGACCCTGATGTTGAAATGAAGGATTAAAGACGCAGGCTATTGGGTTTTTTGCGGTGGACTCAAAATTATCTATTCTTGTTTGGCTTTGCATTGGAGTTTGGTTCTTTTTTTCATGAAATTCTGGCGATTGCTGCTGTTTCGCATTCGGCCCGAGGAGGAATGTATAGGATCTAGGTAGATACCACATGACAACTCACTTAATTTGAATTTCAAGGCGTAAAATCAATTCTTTGAATAAAATCAAGAGTAACTGTAATGTATTCAAACAAAAAAAAGTTACAGTGTATAGTTCGGAGTAATGGGTATAGTCGGTCAAATCCATGTTCACCCGCGCGACCCGCATCAGCCAATGACAGGCCCCGTGATTCCGATCGCTAGCGAAAGCTCTGGCTCCAACTTCGTCCCGGCTTCATCCACTCCTTCCCTACGTTCAAGCAACGCCGCGGTCACACCTCCCCCCTCCAGTGGTCAATTGCCATCACGATGTCACTCTCCTCCGCTTCCAGCACTCTGCTGCGCACTTGCGCCCGCCAGCAGCTGCCCACCACCCGCGCCGCCGTCACCTCCTGCCAGCAGCGGAGGGGAGTTGCGGATGCGAAGGCTTCCTTCGACAGCCCCTTCGTTAACGCCGGAGAGCGTGGCTCGACTTTGAAGATCCCCAACTTCAACAAATACAAGTCCAACTCTTCCCCTCGCTCCAACCAGGTCTTCTCCTACTTCATGGCTGGCACCATGGGTCTGGCCTCCGCCGTCGGTGCCAAGGCCACCGTCCAGGGTAGGTTTTTTCTTTCCTTCTATCGCGCTTTCCGGGGGAACAGGGATGTCTTAAGGGGATAAAGGAAGGAATTGGATCAAACGGATTCATTCCCGGTGGTGGATTGCGTGTGGATTGTGTGGTTCCGAATCCAAAGACTGACTCGTGTGCTTTCGCCCCCTACAGACTTCCTGGTCAACATGTCCGCCTCCGCCGATGTCCTGGCCCAGGCCAAGGTTGAGATTGCTCTTGGTGCCATCCCCGAGGGCAAGAACGTATGTGATATCCCGGCTGATCGCACCCGGTCTCACCCTATCCTAACATGTGTAATAGGTCATCATCAAGTGGCGTGGAAAGCCCGTCTTCGTCCGCCACCGTACCCAGTCTGAGATCGACGAGGCCCGTGAGTCCAAGTGGGAGTCTTTCCGTGATCCCCAGTCCGACGAGGACCGTGTCCAGCGCCCCGAGTGGTTGGTCATGCTTGGTACGTGCAATCCAGTATACCCCGACAACAAACCAAGACCAATAGCTAATTGAATATCCTATAGGTGTCTGCACTCACCTTGGTTGTGTCCCCATTGGCGAGGCTGGTGACTATGGCGGCTGGTTCTGCCCCTGCCACGGCTCCCACTACGATATCTCTGGCCGTATCCGCAAGGGCCCGGCCCCTCTGAACCTGGAGGTTCCCCAATACAGCTTCCCCGAGGATGAGGTTCTCGTCATTGGTTAAGCGATCTGTTACAATAAAAACCCAGAATTGACTCGTTTAGACCGAAGTGGATGGGGAAAGCGAGAGGTCCGTGTATGTGCAGTGATTTGATTTATTTCCTTTTAGACAGAGCGGCCGTGTGTCATTGTCAAGATTAAGAGACCGTGTTTTAATATGGACAAAAATGTGCCTCTTTTACACCCATTTTTCCAAGGCCTGTTCTCGGTCTTGCGGCATTGATCTGCGGGTGTTTCTTTTGGCAGACCCGAGTCTTGCTTTGTTCTCGTGGTCTCCTTGAGTATATACTTGTTTTTTATATCTGCCAGTGTATTGCCTAGTCATGAAATTTCTTTTGTTTCATACTCTCTTCAAGGTTTCGATATTTTCAATTTACTTCTCGTAAGACTGAGCGCAGAGATAGTGTGCAGTACCAAATCCCAGCATGACTTCGCTCAAACTAGTTGCGCTTGAGGTACTTATTAATCCCAGGGGTATTTTCTAAACAAAGAGCCTGGAGTCTACTAAGGTAGTTCCAGAAAAGCATTGAGGTGGTGTCTTCAGTAATAATACACTAGATTTGTTTTGAATCTATCTCGTCTGTACAATGCATGATCGCCAAGGAGAAAGTAGATGACAATGAATAAACGCCCTATATGAAGTCATGCGAAGATGAGAAGGGGCACCTTTAAACATATGTACGTCATGTACAAAATGAACAACGCACTTTACCGAGGTTTCACCAATGCAATCAGAACACTCATCACGACCGCACCAGCTGCGGCGCTCTGCACGGCAGCCACAGTAAGGTCGCGCTGGGTAATAGCAACGCTGCGGTCACTAAGTAGCTCATTTAGAGTCTGTTTCCAATATTCAAGAGAGAGGGGAGAATGGGAGTTTCCAACAAGACGGGAGTAGAGGGATTCAGAGACATTGTCTGAGGGGGAAGTAGCCTCCACCAAAGCCTCATTCTGGGCTTGAGTCTCAACAAGAGCTGCTTCAACACCATCGCTTAGCGAGTCGGCCGCAGCAGCAGTCACAACGGAGTCCTCAACCGGGAAATCAATAACCTTCTCCACCTCCGGAGCGGGGATAGCACCCCCGACAAGAGCAGCTTGGTTAATAGCCTTCTCCTTCTCCAAAGCCTCGACAACCTTATCCTCAAATCCCTTCACCAGCCGGCGCCGGCGCCACGGCTCCACGAGGATCTGGAAGATCAGGAAAAGCAGAACGTTCATTCCCATCAAACCCCATGTTCCCCAGGTAGACATGCGACGGATCTTGTCTGACCATACCTGTTCTTCGTGGTAGCGGGAAAGAATGCTCTTGCTCAGCTGGGCAGCTGCCTCTTCGGCTTCACGTTCAGCTTGCGATAGAGCCTCCTGCGTCTCGGTCTCGGCAACTTCATTGGTATGATCATTGCGGTAGAGAAGGGTGAAACGCTCCAGGTCAGTGGGAGACCAGGCATGCTTGCGCTGGAGGAGCTCATTCACTTCCCGTTGCGAAGTAGACCGGTTATTGATAGCAGCGGTGTAGGCGTCTTTAGCTTCCCGAACTTGTGCGCGAGCAGCGCGAAGGCGATTTTCTATTCAGTGAAAAGCAGTTAGTCTCCTGATCGGTTTTCGTTTTCTCTCCGCGCATGGCGCAATCACTACCGCTACCGCAAGCTTACCTTGGTTCTGGATCTCTTTCTTGAGCGCTTCGATACCCGAATAGCCAGTAAGATCATTCAGCCGCTGTCCAGCTACGAAAACATTGGACTGGAGATTATCCATCATTCCCGTAAACTGCTTTGAGAGCTTTGACCGCCGGCTTTCGAGGTAGGAGGGGAGACCTCCGCTCTTTGCGTCCGAATTTGGCTTTTGCTCTTGCCCTGACTGTTCGTCCCTCTCCCTTTTCTGTTCCTCCTCTAGGTGATCTAGAAGTCCGCGCTCGGTCCCCTTTATCGTGGACTCTTCCACGAGCCGATCGAGCTCCGCTGCAGAAATGTTTGCTGTGCGAGAATTCCCCGCACCCGTCTCCGACGCAAAAGCATCGGATGCATCAGCGTCCTTGGTGGCCTTAGTCTCGCTCTCGGGATCTAGGCCACCCTGCCCCTTATTATTCTCGTTGAACGCATCGTGCGTGCTAGGTTGTTGGCGAAATTGGCATTGTAGACAGGCTGAGAAGGTGCGTAATGTCGGTCTAGCGGGAACAGGACCCGGATATGTTGGGCGGAAATGGAGCCGCGCTGGTCGAGCTGTGGTGCGGAATACTTGTACAGTGGTTCTGAGTGATTGCCGGAAGAGCAATTGCATGGACTGCATGGCCGGGACTGAGGCCATGGGCCAGGAGTGTGGGTTGGGGGTACGACCTAGAGGATTCCGGCAATGGAGGAGTCCGCTCGGAACGGGAATCGGTATGCTTATCAGATGGTTCTGACCGCTTTACCACCCACAGTATACAAAGCTACCGGGCTTGTAGAGGCTTTAACTTTTTGTTCACTGGCATAATATGAGCTGTCTTGCAATGATATTTTAGAGCTGTGCTGTTTGACGTTAGACTTTAGTACTTTGGACATTCTTTGTCACTCTCAATATTCCAAGAAACTTCTATGCAAACAGCCATACAGCTATAACAAATATATCTCCAAATACGACATCATGTCTCCGACTCCCATCTTAGCACTTAACAACCTATTAGATTTTGTCTTTTATACCCCGATAGACTCAATTGATTTATTCTTTGAATCGCACACTCCCATAAAACAGTAATAGTGTTATGAGTTTGCAGCCTCTCTATCCGGAAATATAGTCGGTGCCTACCCAGGGCGACCTCGCTGTTACAGCTACACCGTCCTAACTGGACCTAAAGAATTAAAATTTTGATGAATTTTACGAGTAACAGACCCAGATTTGGATACAGACATTTTGGATTTAGCTCACTTAATCGTGGACAGCAGCTTGTACCAGCATGTACTTTCCATGGCCGACTTGGCATATCATCACCGATCTCCTTCTATTCAATAGAGGAATTCTGGGCAACCCATCGAGATCAGTACAGTTCAAGTACATGGAAGCACCTGGGATGTTCTCTCATGCCACGGTGGAGTTTGTTTTGCAGGTGAAACCTGTTACTAATTACGGCCTGACTAACCTCTTCTACCTGAGATCTTCGCAGTATCGTGGAATTCCAAGTTCGGACTCTTTAGAGGCAAGACCTACTCAAGCCCTACATGAATATAGGTATGCAATTAGCTCCGCATGAGTACATTCGTCTCCAGGGTTACCGGTTTCAAGGTTCCAAGGTTCCTAGGTGTCCAAATGGTCAACATGGATTCCAAGATGGCATCATGCACACATATGCATGTGATGTCGGACACATGCATTACATGGGTATGTCTAACATTGAAACATTTGAGATGAGAAGAACTCCTTCACTTGATTTCATATCAAATCTTCTTTTCTTTCAAGTTAAGTAGATTGTACATCACAAAGCATGGATATGGTGACTGGCCTATACAGGTGTACACCAGCCTAGCTATCCGATCCAATGTATTTAGAATGCTACAGTTGCGATGCTCAATTCTGGGCATACTGTAATAGCCATGTTGCAATTCGGGGTGGAAGGAACCAGTAAAAGACCGGGTAAGTAGCCAAATCTTAATGAAAACAATGATAACAACAAGTCCCAAAACTATAAGAAAAGTATTTCCTTCGTGAACATCATAACGTACCTGGTCCCGAATACGATTACAGGACTCCGTAAGCGCAAACTCATCTGAGAAAAATGATGAAAGATGGGCGATGGCGACACATCTGTTCATTCGTGCCGCTGTCCCTTCCTCTAATCGTGGGTTTGGATCTTGTGATCACCCTGGACGGCCTCAGCATAGGTTGGTGGGGGTCGCGATTCAGCCTGTGGTTGTGCGCTGCTGCCTCCCGCATTTCCACCCTGTTGGTTGTGTTGGGGCTTGTGCTGGGCATTCTGGGGAGCTTGCTGCGCTGGGTCTGTGGTGCCGTAGGATCGCTGGGAGGATTGGCGGGGAGGCTGGTGTGAGACATAGTAGTAGGTCACTTGACCATTTTCAAGATCCCGACGCTGGCTGGAGCCACCGGGGATAGGCTCATAGCCCACATCGTCATAGTCCGGCTCTGGGTACTTGGCGATGATATACCAGGCGTGGATGAGACCGGGGAGGAAGCAGAGTAAGCAGAGGGCGATATTGATGATGGAGTCCGCGGTGCAAATGCCTGCTTTGACCCACACTGGGATTGGACACATAGATTGTCAGTCCACATTATTCTTTCTCTTTTGCTTTTCGACTGGGTCAGTCGCAGAGAGTGGGGGTCTTACCGGCAATAGGCGGGAAGAAGACGGCCAGAACGGCCAAGAATATGTCGGAGCTACACATGGCTCCGGGTAATTATGATCTATCTCTAACAGAACTTTGATGGCGTAAGAGCAGTTGAGATCGAGAGTGAGGAAAAGCTTATTATGCTTTGATGTCGGAAGATCAGTGAATGGTGCAGTTGATTGCAGATGGCAGCCTGGGATCAGATGACGTTGATCACATGACATTCCCACCCATGGTTATGTGGACACCTGAGTTTATTCAGCGATTGGACCACAGTCTACAGTTGGATACATCTTATTTACATACTCGCTCAAGATAATTGAGTTCTCTCTATCCACTCTCCTGTCTGACATGTATTCGCGGTGATCAACTGCAAACCAAGGTTCGGACTCGTCGCATGCGCCAAAGCGGGGTTCCCAGGGTCTACGTATATTCCATGGTACTGGTACTTTATGTCAACAGATGATTGTTTATGTAGTCATGTACCTGTACTTCATCCTCCTCCCAACAGGAAGTGGCTGTCCCTCGCAGAGCTTACGTCGGTCTGCACAGGTCGCATGCATGATGTAAGGTTGTCGGAATCTTAACCACACACGGAAAAAACTCATAGAAAAATTTGCGCGGGAGGAAGAGATAGCGATCGACGGGTTAACGGGTCCCAAGCGAGGCCGACGGTGGAGGAATGCTGGCCACGCCAGGCACAGACGGGACTAGACACGATTAGAACAGGAACTGCGGAGCTCCAGCACCAATCACCAAGTGTTTCAAGACTCCAGTGAGATTCTGCGCCCCAAAGTTGAGACCGAAAAAAAGAAACCCGGATACGGAGTCGGTACAGATAGTAAACAAAGCGATACGCCAGCCCCTTTTTATCACCAGCAAATGGGAACTAGCTTGCCCTCTTCTGGTATAGATGCCCAGTAATTATTGTAAATAGCGAGACGCTGGGGATTGATTTTATTCGACGCTAAACTACAAACGAAGCTCTCGGGACTTTCCCGTTTCATCCAGTTCGTCTCATGCGCCCCCTAGCCAACTCGTTTGGTCCCCCCAGAGAAGCCCAGACCACTCGACACCTCAGTCCTTTTCCTCTTCTCCTCCTCTCCATTGGCCATTCCATTTCCTTCATTTTCGCCATTCGATTCAATTCGATCTAGAGAGCACCTCCGGGGCTCGATTGATCTTTCCTTCTGCGGGTCCACGGCATCGACCGCCCGAAAGCCACTCGTTTACTCTTTCATCTCGCGTTTTTCACTTTCAACTACGCAGCTCGAAGCGCCGTTTGGAGGACCTGGGGTTCATCGTGTTTCATCGCGAATAATTATAACAAAAATCACCGTGCGACCTGATATCAGAAGGAATATGCGACAGTAATTCCCGAGAGGTCTCTGACACATTCCGCGGCATCTTTTTTTCGGGGGGACTTTCGAGGCGTGAGGATTTCTGCCCGACATGACGGGCTGTGTTTCCCTCTCAGGGTCGACTGTCTGTCCCGCTTGGAGTAGCTCCTCGGTTTCGACCAATTCCTCTCAATATGCGGATTTGTGAGTGACTCAGCAGGAGACCAGAGGAATAGAGGGCACAGCTAACGAGAAACCTAGTCCATGGATGGAAAATGTTTCAAATCTCACATCCTTCGACACATCTCTTACAAACTATGTCTCGTCGACATATGTGACAAACAAGTATGTGAAATCCCTAATCAATGGCAGTCGCGAGGATCTAACTAACAGGACGTAGGTTTGTCGACTCTTTAGGGTGCAAAGGTCTGAATGAGAGCGCGTTGAGTGATTACTACGCCCAATATACGATCAGTGTCCTCTGCAGTAGCATCATTCAGAGCTCAATTGATGACTGCGGCTTGACTTCCAGTCAATCGGATCCGGTATGCGCGGATACGTGCGCGCTCATGGCGACTAGCGAGGAGGAAATCATTGTCAACACAGACCTATGCTCGAGTGCTGGAAAGAACTACATGTCGCAAATTCGATCTGACTTCACAATCTGCTCGTCACCTGCAGACTCGCTGACTGGGAGCTGTGTTGAGGGATCCACCAATGAGCCTACCAACTGTGGATTCGCCAACAATACCGTCGGACTTTGCACTTATTGCGACTCAGAGACCGACTCATGTTGCACCAGTGCGAACGCCACCACAGTCTGTAAAGACGTTACTATTCCAACCTCTACCGCATCTCTACAGCCAGTCGTGACAACCAGCTCGGCTGCTGGCGCCGGCGCCGGCAATGGATTGTCCGGCGGCGACATTGCGGGCATTGTGGTAGGTTCCGTTGCAGGAGCGGCCATCTTGATCGCACTTATCGTTTTGCTTTTCTGTTGCCGCCGACGCCGCCGCCGTGGGTCGCAGGGTGATGCTGTCAGTCTCAACCAGCCCAACCCACAAAGGAAAGGTGTTGCGCCGCCCATGCAGCATGTGGATAGCCCGACATCAGCAACGTTCAATATGGTTCCAGGGGGCCGTGTCGCGCGTATGTCTGCGTTGCGTGAAATGCCCAGCTCTTCTCCTGCCCATTCACGTACATCTGGTGCGATGTTCGCAGCTATATACAGCGATACATCGGACTCCGAAGGTATGGGGGCTAGCCCAGGAGCCATGTCTAAGAGAATTCCACCGGTGACCGGAAAGCGTCATGGTTCGCTTTCAAGCAGCTCTGCTCTGGCTGGAATGGATAGTGATAGCTCACCGCGTTCTGGTACTATTGGTCAATACTCTTCTCCTGAAGGAGTGACCAGTGGTCAGTCTGAGCAGTTGTCGTATTTCCGCGACTACTACTCCCAAGATGATATCCATGCTGGTGATCAAGTAGCTGTCCTCTGGGCTTATTCACCGCGGGCGGGTGACGAGTTTGAACTGGATCGGGGTGAGATGCTAAAGGTAATTGGCATCTGGGACGATGGCTGGGCCACGGGTGTGCGTCTTCATGAGCGCGCCGAAGATTTTGATCTCCGTCATCGTGAACAGCGTGACAGTGGTGTTTCCAATGGCTCGCATCGGCGAGGCCCATCACCGACGCCTTCTGGCGAGATCAAGGCTTTTCCCTTGGTCTGCATCTGTCTCCCGCAGCACTGGCACAAGATTATTGATGGCAGTCTGCAAGAGGAAGACGAAGAGTTTTGAGCGATGGGGAACTCTAACCCCTTGTTTCATGCAAACTTAACGTTTTAACGACAGCGTGTGCATCATTCTCTTGCATCGTGCCAGCATTGTGCGATACTGTCGATGCTTTTTACTCAGGCTGGCCGAGTCCCCTCCCCCCTTCCCATTCTCCCATGACCATACTGGTCGTGTTCGATGCTCCGTGGCATGATTGTGTTCCTTTTTTATTCATATTCTATATACCCCCCATTTTATGACGGTCGATCTGCTCGTCTCTTTCCTTCTATTGTCTTCCTATTATCTGTTCGCTTGTGATTTCATCGATTTCTGTGGAATCGGACGCTGGCGCCACAAGCAGGCTCAAACGATGCGAACCTTGATCTCGGGTCGTCTTCTTATGTGCGTATCTGGTTCTCTCGATCTCGATGCGCTAGACGGTGCCGCCTACTCTGGTGGTTTTTATTTTCTGTCTGAGTACATCGGATACACATTTGCACGCATTAATTTATGTACATAATTAGACTTGAATCCCACTTCAAAAGTTGGCCTTTATAAATCAGTACTGGTTCCATAGTCACTGCCAACCCCAAGTGCCGGTTTCTCCACATTCTCGATAGTTCTTATCCGTCGGGGATATCGGGATCGATTTCGCCATTAGGCTTTTACTAATCCAACACGGCATTCCGCGAATTCCATAAGAAATGGCGTCTTCCCCAATTGATGTCTCCGCAAATATTTGATTTTAAAAAGAACTTGAATTCTTCATTCTAGTTACCAAGCCATCATGTCCGCTCCCAAGATCATCCTTTACACCAACCGCCTGTGCCCATGGGCTCACCGCGCCCACATCGCGCTCAAGGAGTCTGGCCTCGACTTCGAGGAGGTCACCATTGATCTTGACACACCCCGCGAACCCTGGTACCTGGAGATCAACCCAGTAAGTCATTTACTATGCTGCTCAGCATTGCTCAAGACTCAATGGCACCTATATGTACCCCGCATAACTGCATGAGAAAATTAACACAAGCTTTCTGTAGCGTGGCCAAGTTCCCACTCTCTCCTACAACGGTACTATCATCAGAGAATCTGGCATCATCGCCCAATTTATCGCCGATGCCCACCCCTCCAACCTTCTGCCTCCGTCCGGCCCAGCCGAGAACGCCCTCTTCCGCGCTCGCCTCTCCTTCTTCGTCGACTCTTTCTTCAGCAAGGTCGTTCCTCACTTCTTCGCTAGTGTGCGCTCTGCCTCTGAGGAAGAGCGTGATGGTCATGCAGAGGCACTGGTTGCCGCTGTTGTGAAGGAGGTTGAGCCTCTTCTTGCGGATACGGATGGCAAGGGACCATTCTTTGGAGGAAACGAGAAGATCACACTGGCTGAGGTTCGTTCTTCACCTAGAGATCCTGTGTTAAACACAGGGTGTTCCTGTTGCATGCGTTTTATCATCGCTGACTAGCTTCGCAGGCCCAATCTGGATCCTTCCAGCTTCGTATAATGGGCTTCACTAAGCCTGAGCATGGACTGGTTAGCAAGAATCTGCCTGGCCTGCTTGAGGCCCAGGCACCACGATTCAAGCGCTGGGCCGAGGCTGCAGCTCAGCAGGAGAGTGTGACCTACATGTTTGATTTGAATGCTGTTGCGAACCGGATGCGGGCTCGGTATGCGCCTAAGAACTGAATAGGTGAATAGGCACCTATTTTATTTATATCCCGCCTAGAATTCTTCAACTGGGTTGAAATCATTGACTGTCGATATGAAATCCAGCTGTTGTCTGAGTTTCATGTATAAAGATAAATATGTATTTTTTCTCCGTGAGGCAATTATTTGTTCATCTGTAACTTGGCCTAGAGTGAGTGGAGGGGCAGTGACGTGTTGGGACTACCTGTTCCATGGTCGAGGGCCCAATTCCAAATATAGCCCACAAGGGGATATAAGATATAGATATATTCTGTGAGGCTGCCCAAGTTCACCGTACTAGTTAGTGTGGATTCCTGTACAGCATAATGTCATGCAGGGCGTTCATGCCCGGTGGTGTGATCTTCGACAACCCTACTGAATGCTGTCGGAGCTACGTGTTGGTAGAGACCGCAAAGCCTCCAGGCTGCCAACAATTCTTATGGATGCCTGATAGACAACTGTTTTTAATTGAAAGATGGCATCCGAGTTTAAAATGACTATCAACACCCACAAAATCCATCTCATTTCATAATTAGTAGTTCAACAACGTGCTTTGTTTATTGCCAAAAAGGGTGCCCCGGAATCACGTGCAGTCGCCCCCCCCACTATCGCAACACCTGGGCAACAACCCCTCCGCCTCATCACCCCCGTCACCCCCCAATTGTCTCGTGAGTTACCCCGTATCCTTGACTTTCTGTGAGTCTGTGCTGGAGTATTACCGCAGAGTGGATCTAGACAGATTCGGAAGAACGGTCTCTTCTCTGATCTTGACAGCTCAGCCGCTGACATCGTGTGCCTACTCTAGCACCCGTCACCTCCCCTTTTTTGTCTTCTCTCATCTTCAGCAATCATGTCGGTACGTATACCTAATAAAATCCACTCGAATTTTGTCTTGTAGTACTAACAATATTGTTGCGCAGCTCGCATCTGGGTACGATGAAACTCGCCAGTGACCCCCCATTTCCCCTCAAAATTAACATTCGCCCCATAGAGTTTCGATCGCCGATGACTGCATCACGGCTTTTAACGACTTCCGTATGAGCCACGGCAAGACCAAGTACATCATCTTCAAGATCTCCGATGACAAGAAGACCGTTGTTATCGACAGCATTGGCAAGGAGCAGGACTACGAGGTCTTCCGCACTGCGCTTGAGAACTGCAAGAATGATGCCGGCAAGCCTATGCCCCGTTACGCTGTCTACGATGTCGAGTACGACCTTGGTAGCGGTGAGGGCAAGCGGTACATTTCTCCCTTTCTGACAGGCCTCTGTCTCTGACAGCTCGCTGACCCTCTGTTCGTGTTTAGGAGCAAGATCATCTTCATCTCCTGGGTCCCCTCCGAAACCCCCACTCTGGTAGGTTGTCTTATCCTTGTCCTATTTGGTCGACATATACCCGAAATAACCGGCTAATCTTTTTGCAGTGGTCCATGATCTACGCCTCCACCCGTGAGAACCTCAAGAACGCCCTCAACATCGCCAGCTCCATTCACGCTGATGACAAGGGCGATATCGAGTGGAAGACTGTCCTGTCCGAGGCCAGCGGTGGCAAGGCTAAATAAATGGCACCGGCTGGGTCCGGGCCATGCGATCGGTAGGGATCCCAGTTGAACCCGGGATGCGCCACGGCACGATCAATCCATAAACTTTTTTTTCTCTGCACAATCCTCGTCATTCTCCTAGTTGCAATGCAAAGACCGTTACGACTTGGCCACTTTTTCTTTGCTTCTTTTATTTGCGGGACATGATTGTCGTTTCTTTTGTTGATCTCTTGAGCGGTTTCTATGGCTGCTGACATGGCGGTTGTTTGAACTAAGTCTGCTGCCTGTGGTATAGAGAGAAGGCGGGTGGCAATGAGCTGAAAATTCGATTTTTCAGGTGGTTTTGTTGTAGAGTATTCGGGCAATCTGACCACCTACTCTTATTTGATTTTTCTGGTATCACAAGGTTCATGGTGGGAGTGGCCATAATGTACAAAGTAGAGGTCTGATGCAACCGAAAGACCATTCGCAATGGTGGCTAGGAGTCGTGCGTGGTATAGTTTGTGCAGAAGTAAATAACATACTGATCATGTACCATATATATGGGAGCCTTTCCAAGGTTCCAAGATAGCTAATTACTGAAAAGATCCTAAACTATCCTAACAGGAGAGAGTCATGAGCGAATGAGCCTGTCCGTCTTTAATCAGCCGACCGGGTGTGGCCGCGACGGCCCAATCAGAAGGCAGCTAAACCCAGAACAGCGCTAGTCCGGATTCTCGTCTTTCCACCTCAAACCACAAGAACAACTTCAGTCCTTCGCCAACCCACACCACCCCTCCACTCACTTCCCCAGTTGAGTCTTCCGCGGTCCCAGGCTCATCCGACCCCGGTATATCACTTCCAATACCCATTGACTCATTTTCGACGTGGTGCTGCCACCTCCCACCTTCCGCACAATGTTTCTTCGCTCCATCGCTCGCGCCGTCCCTCGCGGCCAGGCCCCCATCCGCGCTGCCCCCATTGCCTCCCTGAACGCTATGCAGGCTCGCTTTGCCTCCGACCATGCCATCGCCAACCCTACTCTCGCCAGCATTGAGAAGCGCTGGGAGGGTATGCCCCCTCAGGAGCAGGCCGAGCTCTGGATGTCTCTCCGCGACCGCATGAAGGTTGACTGGCACCAGATGACCCTCCAGGAGAAGAAGGCCGGTACGTAAAGTCTTGCGAATACCTTGGATCGATTTTTTTCATCGGTTCACATCAATCCTGCGACTTCCGAGGGAGGGATTTCAACCCCCCCGGTTTTCCCCCGACATCATACGACTTTTCTATATATGCTTATAAAATGCATCAATACTGATATCTTCAATAGCTTACTGGATTGCTTTCGGTCCCCACGGACCCCGTGCCCAGACTCCCAAGGGTGAAGGCTGGAAGATCCTCTTCAAGGTTACCCAGCTGACCCTCGTCTCCTTCGCTCTCTTCTACGCCATCCACCTCTTCGCCAAGCCCCAGCCCAAGACCATGTCCAAGGAGTGGCAGGAGGCCTCCAACGAGTACGCTCTGGTATGTATTGAATTCCTCTCTGCGGGTATCTGGTCATATGACCGAGATCTCATCTCACATGCCGATCGGGCGCTGACTTTGCTTCTTTTTCTCTAGTCCGAGAACATCAACCCCATCCACGGTATCAGCAAGCCCGGTTACGAGGGCAAGGGCTTCGTTCAGAGCCCCCCTGCCGAGAAGTCATAAACGGACTGATCGCCTGATTGAGGATGAATAGTGTTCAGATATCAGCGTTGAATGGGGCACACGAGACCCTTACTCTAGAGACATTGGTATCTAGAGCTACGGTTCTCATGATGCTAGCGATTGTCTCCTTGATGGATGACGCGCTCTCTCTTCCGGCGTCGAACTGAGCTTGTTCACCTAATTCTTTTTGTTTTGTCGTTTTGGTCGACCAGCATCTGAAAATGCGTGTATCCCGTACTTGTGCTATAATCAATGTATCTCTTTTGTAGCCATAGAGAAATATGCTGGAATTTCCTTTCTATTAGACTCCTCTTTAGCTGTTTACTCTTTTCACATTGACCTGCTGGCCCCAATGCATCTCTTAACAGGTCAAGGCGTTGGGCGACCGGAGCGTTTCGGAACCTGCAGAGCTGGTGCGGAGAACCCCTGTCCATGTGCCGTCTGATCCATTGAATGTCTGTCTAGCATAATGACCGTGGGAAATTTTACAGAATGACTGAAGTAAGATTTTCACTATATTTTCTATAGCTTTAATGTGCCATTTATCTAGTGTATGAAGCGGTGGTGAGTTCCTAAGGTCCTCTCATACCATTCGGAACAGAGTGGGTGAGGGCTCCGGGACTACACGTCAGAGATTTCCACCGGGGAAGCTCCTGCAGGGGGAAGAGCTTGCTGGGAGAGCAACACAGGTGAATCATCATTAGGATAATTGGATGAAGTGGTAAAAATTTTTAATACATTATTATGTTTGGAGCTATATAAGTTCTATAGGGAAATCTAAGGCTATCTAGTTTACTCCAGAGCAAGCTTGACCCTGCTTTCGGATGCCAAGCCGGCGGATGCAAAGTGTGCGAATACCCTAGCAACGGGGCAGCGGAAGAGGAGAGAAGTAGACTAAATACCCCATCACAACCAAGCAAGATGGGAGTCATTCCATAGGTTAAATCAAAAGCAAATTAAAGAACGTAAAAGCAGAAGAATGTAATGGGGGATGCCCAGCTGTATGTATAACAAGCACCTCCGTTGTCGGTTCATCACGGGACCATCGGCAAAACCGCCCCGGAAAGGCTAAGGGCGCCCAGTTCCCGTGCGAGTCCACCAAACCTCTTCCCATTCCTCTTCTTCCCTCTTTTCCTCCATCCACACCCTTCACACCCTTTAATACCACCTCGCTCTTCAACACCATCATAATGTTCAAGAGGTATGTCAACGCCAAATTCGATCCCCCATTTATCACCCGCGACCATTTTTTCGTCAATAATACCAAATTTTCGTCCCCTAACTCGCGTTTCTTAGCGGTCTCGCCCGGACCTTCGGGAGGGCTGCCTATGCCCGGCCGACCCCCGTCGCCCGCGCTCTCCAGCCTCTCCGCTCCAATGCCCTGCCTGCCCTGTCTGCCCGTTACGCCAGCTCGGATGCCGTTCTCAGTGGAAAGGTTCACCAGGTCATTGGTGCCGTCGTTGACGGTACGTGCTCGACTCCCTGGACGGATCGGTGGCATCGCGAAAATCTTTTTCCTGGGCCCCAATCCATCCCCAAAACCATCGCAATCGATCCCAATCGTCTCTCCTGATCATCGACTGACTTGCTTTGTGCGATTCAACAGTGAAGTTCGAGGGCGAAAAGCTCCCTGCCATTCTTAACGCCATTGAGACCAACAACAACGGCCAGAAGCTTGTTCTGGAGGTTGCTGTACGTGCTTCGTGATTGGCTTAACCCCCTTGGACTACTCCTTGATATTAACTTTTACCTATAGCAACATCTTGGTGAGAATGTCGTCCGTACCATTGCCATGGACGGTAAGCTTACCCCTTCCACTTCGCTATATCCCCTGTCGGGCCACCGTGTTTCCCTTTTCAGCCGAAAGGGGGACCCACACCCGCCCGGCCCGACAACCTCTCCTCAAGAGCATCACTAACGCCTTCTTAGGTACTGAGGGTCTCTCCCGTGGTGTGTCCGCTCAGGACACTGGTGCCCCCATCAAGGTCCCCGTCGGTGCCGGCACCCTTGGTCGTATCATCAACGTCACTGGTGACCCCATTGACGAGCGTGGTCCCGTCAAGGCCACCAAGTTCAACCCCATTCACGCCGACCCTCCTCTTTTCGTTGAGCAGTCTACCTCCGCTGAGATTCTGGTCACTGGTATTAAGGTCGTTGATCTGCTTGCCCCTTACGCCCGTGGTGGTAAGATTGGTCTGTTCGGTGGTGCCGGTGTCGGTAAGACTGTGTTCATTCAGGAGTTGATTGTGAGTATTCCGTGGTTGAACCTCTAAATGAAGATTCCTGAGCTGTTTACTAATTATGCTTTAGAACAACATTGCCAAGGCCCACGGTGGTTACTCTGTCTTCTGTGGTGTCGGTGAGCGTACCCGTGAGGGTAACGATCTGTACCACGAGATGCAGGAGACTGGTGTCATCAACCTTGAGGGTGACTCCAAGGTCGCTCTGGTCTTCGGTCAGATGAACGAGCCCCCAGGTGCCCGTGCCCGTGTTGCCCTTACCGGTCTCACCATTGCCGAGTACTTCCGTGACGAGGAGGGTCAGGATGTGCTGCTCTTCATTGACAACATTTTCCGTTTCACCCAGGCCGGTTCCGAGGTGTCCGCCCTTCTCGGTCGTATCCCCTCCGCCGTCGGTTACCAGCCCACTCTGGCCGTCGACATGGGTGGTATGCAGGAGCGTATTACCACCACCCAGAAGGGTTCCATTACCTCCGTCCAGGCCGTCTACGTGCCCGCTGACGATTTGACTGACCCTGCCCCCGCTACCACCTTCGCTCACTTGGACGCCACCACTGTCTTGTCCCGTGGTATCTCCGAGTTGGGTATCTACCCCGCTGTCGACCCTCTCGACTCCAAGTCCCGTATGCTCGACCCCCGTATCATCGGTGACGAGCACTACAACACCGCCACCCGTGTCCAGCAGATGCTCCAGGAGTACAAGTCTCTCCAGGATATCATTGCCATTCTCGGTATGGACGAGTTGTCGGAGGCTGATAAGCTCACTGTCGAGCGTGCCCGTAAGCTCCAGCGTTTCCTGTCCCAGCCCTTCGCTGTCGCTCAGGTCTTCACTGGTATCGAGGGTCAGCTCGTTGACCTGAAGGACACCATTGCCTCCTTCAAGGCCATCATCGGTGGTGAGGGTGACGATCTCCCTGAGAACGCCTTCTACATGGTTGGTGACTTCCAGTCTGCCCGCGCTAAGGGTGAGAAGATTCTGGCTGAGCTTGAGGGCTCCGCTTAGATGTAATCCTATCATTTGTCTAGCTAGCGGCGTCTTCAACCTCTTCTCCTACCCCCATTCAAATCTTCGCGCCAACCTCTAGCAAATTCTGTTTTATTTTTTCCCTTGGTCTCAATTTTCTTTTTGCTATCCTCCCGTGGTCCGGAATTTTCCTTTGTTCGAACTTCTCTTGGTCCTCCCATTCGACATCATCTTCCCTTCGGATGCGTGTATAATACTCGATCTAAAAGTGAAACAGAACCCCCAACAAGGGAATTTGACTGTCGATTTGCCTCGATTCGATTTTCCGCGGGGATTCCGTCCGATGTCGTCTGGGAGTTTTCATGTCATTGAATTTCGTTCTGGACTTGCCGTATGTTGTCCTGGAAACGGGACGACTAAAGTTAGTCTGCCCCACAAAAGGGGATTGGATAGGGTTTGGACCTGGCGGGTTGGATTCCTTTAGAAAAGGATCGATGGAAGATACGAAACGGTTGTTGCCGAGGAAGGAGGAAGGTTGTTGGTTGTGGAGCGAGGTTGAAGCGTGTCATGTCTAACTGAGCGAGTTGATGAGATTTCCCTGTTCCTCTTGGGCGAGAACTTTTAAAGCCTGGTCGGATATGCAATCCCCCCAAATACCGTCTGGCTGGCTTGTGTTTCATTATTGTGTATTTAGAGTTGAAAACCATGGCCTTACGAGGCGGCCCTGAGAAACTTGGTGTTCAATTGTATTTTCCTTTGTGAATGATCATGTCCAGCGTAGACTAGAGTAAGGAGTCTAAGTGCATTGGCTGCCGGCTGCCTCCGTAGATAGTTCCTGCTGCTTTCATATCCTGTATAGGAGCTCAGAGGACGATATGCTTTATGACTACGCAATGCTACCCATATCAAGAAGCAACAAGACAGTTCTAGTCTCAATATAAATCATTCTAGTATGTATTAACGATCAGCTAGCTAAAACCTGGCTACACAGGCCCAAGACCATGCAGTTCCGTATTGTTGAAACACAGCCAGGGACTATCAATATCCACCTACAGAGTCTCCTCCAAAGCCAGGACCTGAAAACGCATTAGTTCAGCAAAGCCAACCACAAACACCATAGGAGCACTTACCAAAGCAGTCCGCGTAGGAAGATAAACCTGCGTAAAGTTCTTCCTCCCATTCCACGGCATATCAGTCGTGAAAAACCGAGTGTCTTTCTCATTCCTCCCCAAGCCTCCAAACCTCGGTTCGTCAGTATCAAGCACAATCCGATAAGTGCCCGGAACCTCAACCCCAACCCTATAATCCGTAAAGCTCTCGGTAGGATTGAAATTAAAGATCCAAAGCAATCCCGCTCGCTCAAACACAATGACCTTATCACTCTCGTTCTTCAGACTGATGTAGGCCTGAGGAGAATGCAGCCAACCATACTTCTCCTCGGTAAGCTGCATGCCTCGATCGAACTCGTTGAGATACTTGTAACGGAGCAGACTGTCTTCGGTCAGGTTTAGCTGGCGACGTGCATACCAGAATGAGTTCCCGTTTCCTTCGCGGGGGAAATCGAGCCATTCGGGGTGTCCAAATTCGTTGCCTTCGAAGTTTAGATAGCCTTCGCCGCCCAGGCCGTGGGTGATTAGGCGGATCATTTTGTGCATGGCCATTCCTCGCTCGATTATGGGGGTAAATTCGGATAGAGTGGACATGTGTGTGTAGAGTTCTTTGTCGCAGAGCCACATCATTAGGGTTTTGTCGCCGACCAGACTGGGATGGTTAGTAGATGATGAATTGGGGGGATGGGGGAGAGGGGGAGCTTACGCTTGATCGTGACTCTCGGCGTAGGCGATGGTCTTCTCGCCGTGGCGTCTATTTACTAATGTGAAGGCTAGATTGCCAATGTCCCATTCGCTGTCTTCCTTTTCTTTCAGGAGCTTGATGTACATGTCTGGGATGGCCATCGCGAGACGGTAGTCGAAGCCTACACCACCCAGTGCATGTGGGAGACAGAGAGCTGGCATGCCGGAGACGTCTTCGGCGACGGTGATACATTCAGGGTAGAGCTTGTGTAGCATTTCGTTGGCGAGAGTGAGGTATGTGACGCCTTCTTCATCGACAGTCGGACCGAAGTACTCATGATAACCGCCGGAGAAGCCGCTGGATATTGGTCAGCCAGTTCATTTCAAGTGTGTGAGACAGTAAAGTAAAAATAAAGAAAACATACCTTCCGATCCCATGGTGGACGTAGAGCATACTGGTAACTCCGTCAAACCGGAATCCATCAAACTGGTACTCCTCCATCCAGAAACGAAGGTTGCTCAGGAGGAACCGCAACACTTCATGGTTTCCATAGTTGAACAAACGACTATCCCACTGGTCATGTCGACCCTTACCACCCTCATGGAAATAAAGGTGATCAGTGCCATCGAACTCATTGATACCATCCGCAACATTCTTCGAAGCATGGCTGTGCACAACATCAAGCAGAACAACCAAACCCAAGCTATGCGCAGTATCAATAAGCTCCTTCAGATCCTCCGGAGATCCATAGCGACTACTGGCAGCAAAGAAGTTGTTCACCTGGTAGCCGAAACTGGCATAGTACGCATGCTCCATGATAGCCATCAGCTGGATAGCATTGTAGCCCAGACCCTTAATGCGAGGCAGCATGTTCTTGGTGAACTCTTTGTAAGTGGCAACCCGTGTATCTGGGGACGAGATGCCCACGTGAGCCTCGTAGATACGCAGACTCTCGGGCTTCTTGGGTCGGGCATGTTTGAAGTTGTAGCGCTCGCTGGCGGGCGGGTTCCAGAATACGGCGTCGTATATCGGGGAGACGTTCAGATCCTGGACGACACGTTTGATCCAGGCTGGGATTCGATAGACACGCTCGCCGTTGGGGAGAACCATTGTGATCTATAGGAATGCAGTGTTAGTATTGAATCGGTGAGCTGCAGAGGAATCTGGTCCATTTACCTTGATCTTGCTGTCGTGGGGAATAGCTGGGACACCACCCTTCGAGGGAACAATGACGTCCCAAACGCCAAAGTCATTCTTGCTCATTGGATTGGCGTTGACATCCCAGTTGTCTGCCAGTCTCAGTAATGATTCACCTAACTTCGTATCTCAATTGGGTACATACTGAAATCTCCAACCAAAGACGCCTGCGTCGCATTAGGCGCCCACTCTCGGTATGTGATGTCGCCACTTGGCAGTGCATGGATGCCGAAAGTTTCATATCCCTGTTCAAAGAGTTGCGTCAGTATTGATTTACTCCGTTGCAGCTCTTAGCCGCCGTGAGGAGCTTCAACCTACCTTGCTAAACTTATCCAGACCACCTTCCGTGCGATTAATATCGTTGGCCCATTTCTCGACCAAGCTGTACCTGTGCTTCAGCACGTCCTTGTGAGGTTCCAGCCATGGATCAAGCTTGAGAACACCTGCCGTTATCAATTAGCATGTCCCCATATCGAGCAGGTGGATCCACGACGCTTGCTCTTACCAGTTCCATCAGCGGGGATGTCGGCAGCTTCTACAGATGCCATTGTGAGAAATCTTGGAGAGTTGTAAAAGAAAAGAAGAGGGGGCGAAGGTGACAACCCCTCAACGTTTATCGCTCTGGGGGTGATTGGTCGCCGGAGCTTGTAATTGCGGGTGGGGATGCGGAGAGCTCGGGCCCCCGTGGAGTCCAGACTGCCCACTTTCCAACTTTCCTGTGCCTACTTTTTGCATCATAGATAATAATAGGTGTTTGTCGAATTATTTTTTGATTGTTATTGTACTTGCTCTATGTCTAGTCAGTTTTAAAGCTCAGTACATCGGTTCGTGATGGCCGTTGCAAGTTCCAAATGCAGAGCTTCGGGTGATGTAACACTGTTCCTGGCCTGGCGCAACCCAGTTACAGCTGAAAACGGGGCCAAAGACTTTGTTGGGATACGCATTAGACTTTGAAGCTCGTAAATATTCGATTTCTATTCGTAGAATCCAGCGACCGGCGACGGGATAAATACTTATGTACCTATGAGCCATTTGTAGCTCCATGTTTGAAGATGTACGGGGAAATCATATAGAACCCAAAAAGACCCCATCTAAATTCGCATCTCCTCCCGCTCCAACTCAAGATGCAGGACTTGGCGGCAGCTCCCCTGTCGTCCAATTGACTGCGGTCGGCCCCAGCTCAAACTCGAGTGTGCCACCTCGCGCAAAGATGTCATCCCAGGTCAACCAGCTCTTCTTCCACGCCTTACCATTGACCTTGAGACTTTGGACATAGATGTCGCTGTCACCATTACCATCTCCGCCCGTGGACTTAATGTGGAGTTTTTTCTTATTACCCAGATCGATGGTCATGGACGTGAACCAGGGTGAATGAATCAGGAAGGTTGTCTGGCCGGTGATCGGGTACAGGCCGATCATGTTCCAGAGTAACCAAGTCTGCATAGCTCCTGCATCACTGTTGCCTGGGAGTCCAGACACACCGGTGGTATAATCTTCTTTAGCGACCTTGCGAGATCGCGAGACGGCCAGATCCTGTCGACCGACGTAGTTGTACAGATACGGAAGATTGAACATCCTACAGCACTCATTAGTTCAGGTCAAAGCTTCAATGGAAAGGGACGTCACTCACGGTTCGTTAGTTGCGTCAAAAATAGTCCCACTCGATCCACTGGCCCCATCGGTGAACATAGTATCCAGTCGAGAGATAACAGTCTCTTTCCCGCCCATAAGCTCAATCATATGCTTCATATCATGCACATCCGCAAACGAATACGCCCAGGAATTAGCCTCATAATAAGAATCACCCCAGTACCCAGTATCATCCAGCGGATCCGTCTCGATAAAGCCTGAGGTATTGCGCGGGACGACGAAACCCGAATATCCCAACGAAGTCTGGTCCGGATTCCAATGATTCCGCCAATTACGCGAGCGATTGAGATATGTTTTCGCATCCTCCGTCTTTCCAAGCCCAGACGCAACCTGATACAATCCGAAATCGTTATACGCGTATTCCACGGCCCGGCTAACGGCCCGGCTGAAATTGGGTGTGATATACCCATAGTCAAGCCAGTCGGGGAGAGCGCTCCGGCCGTCATGGGTTGAGGAATCTGGTGCCATCCAGTCAATGGGCCAATTCACAGGCGTGACCTCTGCGTCTTTTTTCATGGCTTTGTAGCCGTCTTCCCAATTTACTGAACCGCGGACCCCTTTGACGTAGGCGTCGGCGAGGACGTTGTCGGCATTTGATCCGCCTTGTGAGCGGCCGTTGTAGTTGGAAGATCTGGCGTCTGGCATGTAGCCGACGTTTCTCCAGATGTCGATTAGAGAACGGATTTGCTCTTCGTATGCTGTTGGTTGGAGGACCTGCATTAGGGAAGTAGAGCAGCGGAAGAGATCCTATGTCATATGAGTATCCCTCTCGATTTTTCCTTTTTGGTGGATGATTGAACCAGGTGACCTACCCAGAAAGTAAAGATATCTTGGTAATATGGCTCAGATGATGTCCAGCCGGGGTTTTCTCCGGTTTGGTTTGTCGGGATGAGATGCATGAAGTAGAGAGACGTGTAGAGGAGGCTGAGACTAGTTTCGTTGGTATTGGTTGTCGTGACCTTAGACAAGACCTCACTATTCCATTCGGAAACCGCATCATCGACGACCGAGGCAAATGATGTGCCTTTTGGAATCTCGTTGTTCACGTTATCACAGGCTTTCTGTGTTGAGATCCAGGAGATGCCCACACGAGAAATGACTTCAGTATCATTAAACGAGAACAAGCCACCAACACGAGTAGAGCTGGACGAAGATGTAGCAAAGCCACCGGGCTGCTCAACACTCTTAGCTGTACCTGTTGCTGAATAGGTCTTGTTGCTTGTAGCAGCAGAGTCAAAATAACCACCTAAGAACGTCAGCCTGTATCTCCATCCAAGCAAAGTAAGACATACAGAAGTAAATAGTCCAGTCGGGCGCCTCATTCCATCCATTGTTATATACACCAGACCCTTCATAATGACCATCAGCGAAGATGGTAATATTACCACCTTCATAACCTTGACCCAGGCCTTGACCCCGAAAGGAAGGTAAAACATGCGATACATCAACTAGTATATTCCCCTGCGACTTTGAGGGAAATGTGTAGCGATAGATGCCCGCTCTGGAAGAAGCACTCAGTTCGACTTCGACGTCGTCACTAGTCTCAGCCTTGTAGTAGCCGACAGAGCCTTCATCAGTGCCACTCCGCGATACAGTGATATTAGACAAGGGATCACTGATATTGCCGACCAAGGGCAATTGCGAGACGGTGCCGTATTTAGGTGCCCCGCCTGTTCCTTGTTCGTGCATCATGCTGAAACCAGAGAAGTTACCATCGGGCAGATAGCCTGAGTATGAGTCTGTGCCTGACAGGAGGAGATCAGGGCCGAGCTTAACCATGCCGAAGGGTCGGACCGCCCCAGGAAAATTGTTGCCTCCACCCTCTGTTCCCATGCTATACTCATATTAGTTTTGTTCTCGCACCATAGAAGGAGAACGTACAAAATATCCACATGCTGGGTGAGATCCTCCCCTGCTGCAAGTGCCATAAGAGTAATGCCTGTTATCATCTTTGCATGTTTCATTCTGAAGGCTCAGAAAGAAACCAAATCGCCTCGTGGGCAGAAGCACAAGCAACCTTGTACAACGCAGATGAACAAGGGGAAGCTTGTCAGATCTGACAATCAGGATCTGCAGCGATCAATCTTGCAGCAGAAGCAAAATATCGTCAGGAGAGAAAGATCAACCCCGCGTCAATGTCTTGTCGCGAGGGGACTCAGATAGCTTTAATGACCCAATCCTGCGGGCTGCGCAAGTGGGCCATTGGATTAGCGCCAATGATAGAGCGAGTAAAATTCATGGACACAGTCCTTAGAGAAAGCCCCGCTTGATATCCGACCCGACGAGTGTTTATGCCGCATTAATTCATGGTGATTTTTCCCAAGGGGCTCCGCTCCCCCTAGAATCGGGGATAAGAATGTTTTTGTGGACCCACCATCGTGTCTTGCAAGGATCAAGAACAAATCATAATCAAACATAGCGCGGAGTAATTGACAATAAAAGTAGGATCTGCATTGTGCGATCACTAAGAGCTATCCGTTTATGATGAGGTGTCGCCATCGCCCCCACCCTTTGGACAATGCACCTGGGCTGTTCCGAGATTGTGACTTATCTAAAACTGACTGATACTCAAGTTTGCTATTCTGTTCGTGAATTAGAAATGTTGATTGTCCTGGAGTTGGAATAGTAGGATAGTTGATGTATAGAGGGATCAATCAGGGGTCGAGCTCTACTCACATGCGCGGATCAGGGACCGGGACCACGTGTGGGGCTGGTTGGTCCTACTGTACGCTATTGATAGTATCATCCCAGAGACTGATATTCAGTCTCCAGTTTAATGTCATCTGTGAATCAGATATGATAATGGTAATTACTTCCTTAATCTAAAATAGTTCGTTCAGCCCCGCAGCTAGAGGTGGTATCAAAGTGTGTACTGGATTCCCTGCTAAAAAGCTTCTATCAACATGAAACAAGGCCTGAGTACAAAAATTAAATGGCCTCCTGTTCCTTCAACAATCGTTTAGTAAGATCATGCTGAATCCATTGTTCCACCAGGGCCACCGTTTCACCAACAAGACAATCATAACCTGGTCTATTTGGCAGAAACATAGACATATGCGCTTCCAATTCGGTCATGTCCTCTATCGCCACCGGAAACCAGTTACGATTATCATGGTACTTCCAATGGGAAGAGGGAAGGAGACAGAATCTGCGAGACTTGACTGCCTTTGAAGGGCCGGAGCTATCACCAGAGCCAGACGTTGTAACGGAAACAGTTTCCGAAAGGGCTTGATCCCCTACTTGATTGACTGTGGTGGTGGATGATGCGATGCTTGGGGATATAGACAGCCGATTATTTTTAGGTTTGTTATCATCTGCTTTCGTAGTAGAGTTAGAAACAGATGACTTGACTTCTTTTCAGGAGGATATTTGTTTACCTTTGACTTTCCGGCGAGGAGTACTTGACGTATAGTAATTGGTAAAGCGTACTCTGTCCGGACTGTCTTCGTCCTTTTCCCATTCCTGAATGCGCTGATACCGCCGCCGCAATTCAGCATAGTTGTTGACACCGCCTGCAAACTTCATAGGAGCCATGAGGCGCTTAAGATGTGATGTTGCAACACAATTTTCCCGTTCAGCTTTCTTCTTCTGGTAAAAATCCTTCACGCTACCTACCAAGCCGCGCTCAGTGCGACGATAGTCATCCAGCCACTTGGGATCATAGTTAGGTGGTGGATCGGGTGGATTGAAAGTGGGATCATTGAGGACAGGTTCAAAGTCCGCAGCATTTGCAGAAATTTGTTCTTCCGGTACACCCCCGTCCTTTCCAAAGAGGCTGGTAATTCCAGTGGAGACAACGTGAGGATGTAGTCCTAAATAAGGAGTATCGTAGCTGATGATCCCCAAGATGCGGTGCTTGGCCTGTGCAGTCTTGTCCTTGTTCAACAACGCGACGTCGGAAGCTATAATCCCGCCCATACTGTGCCCGAGCAGGATGACATCTAGATCGTGAGATTCATGTGGCTCCAGCCTGTAAGCATGTCAGCTTATTGCTTACATCCCTTTGAAGCGATGATCACCGCGTCACATACCAACTACTGAATCTCTTCACCGCCAGTTGATACTCGCCACGAGTCTTAAAACGAGGGTATATACGAGTATATACCACGTGTGACTCGCTTAATAAAGCAGCCAACGCACTATGGACGTGCACGGGAAGCTCTGAAAAGGTAGTCTCGGATCCATTGAAACCATGAATGTAGATCAACAACAGCCTGCGTCGTGTCGCATCCTGTGGCCCCGGTCCGGCCATCGATAGTCCAGAGGACATCGATAGACCGGTTGAAGAGCGGTCAGGCGGAGTATAGATTGACTCCGGTTCCATGGTGAGATCCTAAACGTGGGTACGAGAGAGAAAAGCTTGAAATGACTTTAAAACATTGGGACATAAGCCGCACCCATATTGACCCCGCTCAGTCCGGCCCCCACTTGTTAGCGTCAAAGAAAGAAACGTGTAAACCTATGAGATCATGATCTCTAGCCAAAGGAGATTATCGTTTCTTTAAATAAGAACCATAGCCCCACAGCTGATTCGGGCCAAAACCAATAATGGGTTAAATGTCTTCCCTTGGCTCCGTGAAGGGCAGTAAACAAACAGTCATCCTAGGGCTGTAGAGCTGACATGGCGTTTAAATACAGTAGCTATACTTTATTTCCGTGAGGACATCCTCAGTTTTGTTCCAACTCTAATTTGCGCATCGGATTTCCCTGTGGGGTCTTGAATCCCGATGCCCAGCCTGCCCAGCCTTATGGGGTTATAGCCGCAATGAAATCTTGCTTTGACCTCACTCCCTGTCCACATCTCCTTAATCCATGTATTTGCGGTATTTATATCTCCCAGAGGTTAGTGGATCTATGATGCTGATCTAGACCTATTCAGCAAACGTACAACCCGCCCCATATCCACCACCAATATAACCTACTAGCCAATCGACGCTGAGGACCTGAGCCGTTTGGGGGAAAAGACAGACTGATGGACTGGTTGAAGAGGGTATTTACTGGAAAAGATCCAGCAACGATAGCCGCCGAGAAGAAAAGCAAGCGCATCAGAAAAGCACGTCAACAACAGGTTCGCGCGCGGGAAGACGAACTGAGACACCAGGCGGATGGCGGTGGGGCCAAACGTGCACGTCTCTTTATTGGGTCACAGGGAAGAATGTACTCTCATGAAAGAGACGGGAAGAGGGAACGGAAATAGAACGAAATGAAGGATGGGGAATGGTTTGTTACCTAGCGAGAGGGATCTGTTGATCGTTTATCATGGAATATCCAGGCCTCAATGTAAACTCAGAATGATTACAAAATGATTTCAAAACAGCACATGATCCTCAAGCCTCCAGCTCTTATCAATCCTCTAATTTGGACTGAGTAGGATTCCACGAAACAGGACTATACTCATCCGTTTCAAGCTCCGAGACCTCTTCAGTCGTAAGTGCAAAATCGAAAACCTCCGCATTAGCAACAATGCGTTCCGGTGTCACACTTTTAACCAGCGGAATGTATCCCTTATCAATACTCCACCGAATAAGCACCTGAGCCGGGGTCTTGCCATACTTCTCCGCAAGCCTCTTCACTACCGGTTCTTCAAAGCGAGTACCACGCACAATGGGACAAAAGGCTTCAACCGCGATGCCACGTTCGCTGCACCAGTTCGCAATTTCTGTATGCGCCAGCCAAGGATGAAGCTCGATCTGATTGACACTTACCGTCCCGCCTTTACCTTTTCCACCACGCTCCGCTTCTAGTTCACTGATGTGTTGCTCCAGTTCATCTAGATGGTGCACCCCGTAGTTGCTTACGCCGATAGAGCGTACTTTGCCGGCTTCGTTAGCTTCCACTAGCTTTGGGGTAGTGTTAGTCTGAGTCATAGTGGTAATGAGAATACTTCGATGCTTACGGCTTTCCACCCGCCTTTCCGGTTTTCAGATCCACCGAAGGGGTTGTGTAGGAGCATTAGGTCTATGTAGTCGAGCTTTGATTCGGAGAGGGTCTTGTCGATTTGTGACTTGGCTTTTTCGTAGCTGATATCTCCTACTTTGGATGTGAAGAATATTTGGTCCCGTGGGAGTCCGGATAAGCGAATGGCGTTGCCGCAGCCTGCTTCGTTGTAGTATTTGGCGGCTGAATCGATCTGTGCTGGAGTTAGCAAATGTTCGTTATTGTCTATGATGGTGAATTTAACTTACGTGACGATAGCCTGCTTTGAAGGCCTCGAGACAGCATCGCTCTGTCTCATCTGGTGGACTGGTCAAAGTCAGCGTTAAGTGGACAGAGAACGTAGGTGGAGAGGGAAGATTACGTCTTGTAGACCTGTGACCATTTGTCAGTGATGAAATAATGGCCATCGGGTGTTTCAATGGACACATACCCCGAAGCCTAATTTAGGGATTTCGTAGCCACTGGCGAGCTTGATCGTGGGGTGGATCTTGGAAGCCATTCTCAGCATGAAGTGTCGGTGTGGCGGAGTTGTAGAAGGGAGTGGGTTACTGCACTCTTTTCTAAGGGAAAAATCCGATTGCTTCCTAATCTGGATTCAGTTTGCTGTATCCGATTAATTCCTTTCGATAGGTTGACTATTGTCGCCAACCAGCGTTGGATGGTTCATGCTCCAGTTCGTCATCTGCGGGGCTGTCGGGGATAACTGCATCCAGTAAGCCCGGTCGGATCTGATGTATTGCCCCGGATCAAGAACTTTGTTTGACTCTCATCGCTATTACTACATAGGCTGTATGAAGATACAAAAAAAGACCAAAATATGAAACCATATTGCAGGGGACTGAGGTGAGTGCAGTGCAAAATATTATCTCGCAGACCCCACTCTCAAGGCTCAATAGCCTATAAGGGGTAGAAAGCACCGGCGCTTGAGGCTGAGCCTATGCCGGGGACAGCGCCTATGATCGCCTGATGGTGAAGCTGAAGGATTTTGTGAGGTCTGCGCACTTTCTACAGTATACCCCAATCACGTCTGCATCTCCTATTAACCATGGCCTTTTATTAATTGACAATGATGATTCTGAGGACTCAAAGAGTAGCTCGCGAGAGCTGACGTGTAATGATTACACTGTGGGATGGATCTGTGCGTTGCCAAAGGAGCAGACCGCGGCGATAGCTATGCTCGACCATACACACCCCGAACTAATCAAGCCGCCATCTGACCCCAATGCCTACACACTGGGATGTATCGGCGAGCACAAGATTGTCATAGCCTGTCTCCCGAAAGGGAAGCAACTTCTGCAACGCAGATGGTGCGGGCTTTTCCGTCTATCAAGGTCGGCCTTATGGTTGGCATCGGGGGCGGCATTCCGTCCAAAGTATTAGCACACCTGTTGCTGAGTTCCCTGGGGTAGTCCAGTGGGATATGGGCAAGGCGGAAGCAAACGGCTACTTCAAGCGGACTGGTGCGCTGAACAATCCACCAACCGCACTGTTGACGCATTGACGAAACTTGAGACCAAGCATGAGATGCATGGAACTCAGATCAATCAATACCTTGACGTCTTGGGGAAAAGATATCCGAACTTGATATCGAAATATACCTGGTCCGATTCCCTCAAGGACCCCATTTCCATCACGGGACTTTCTGATGGTGCTCGGAGCAGATGGCAATACATGTGTGTCACATTTTGGGAAATGATATTAGCTGTCTTCATGTGTGTCTCAGGATTGGCGGTGCTTACAGCCAGTCCTTCGGCAGAGCGAGAAGCTAAAGCAACGAATATTGCCGTTGATCAGCTTCGAAGGAATCCAAGGGACATGCGCGTGCATTATGGTCTTATCGCAAGCGGTGATCAGGTAATCAAAGACGCCGTGGCTCGAGACAGTCTGAATAAGAGCCTTGGTGGACTTGTTTTGTGTATCGAAATGGAGGCGGCAGGACTGATGGATAACTTTCCCTGTATTGTCATTAGGGGGAATTTGTGATTATGCCGACGCGCAGAAGACCAAGGATTGGCAGGAATACGCGGCAGCTGTGGCTGCGGCATGTGCGAAGGAGCTTCTCGAATACGTGCAACCAAGTGATGTTGAAGCAGAACGCCCGATGAAAGATATCCTGGGTGAAAAATAGTTGCTCCAAAGCTCAGGAGGCTGTGTCATCAATTATCTCCTAACGCAGTATCTAGTCAAGGAGGCTATGCTGAGAACTTAGGCCAATGTGAGATCAATGCGATCCAAGTCAGACAGAGAAGAAAATTCGGAGTTTCTGAAATGGCTTACGGCAATTGAGTATGGACCTCGGCATAGCGATTTGTTAAAGAAGCAGCAGCCAGGGACTGGCAATGGTTCCTAGACTCTGTTAATTACCAGAATTGGCGAAAATCCACCAAGCAAACATTGTTCTGACCAGGCATCCCCGGGGCAGGGAAAACAACTCTAGCTGCAGCAGTCATCAACGACCTCATGACTAGAAGCCTACACGATCAATCTATTGGAATTGCATATATTTATTGCGAATGGCCCCGACAGAAGGAACAGCAGCTTGAGGACCGGGTCGCAATCTTGTCAAGCAGCTAAGCCAAGACCGCAATTCCCTACCAGAGAGCGTTGGCGATCTTTACAACAGGCATCGGAAAAAAAGGACAAGACCAACTTTGGACGAGATCTCAAAGACCCTTCTGGCTGTTGCGGCTACGTATTCGAGAGTCTACATTGTGCGTTAGATGAATGCCAAGCATCTAATGGGTGCCGGTCAATATTCCTGTCTGAAATATTCAATTTACAAAAAGAAACGACAACGAACATCTTTGCCACCTCAAGGCCCGTCCCAGAAATTGAGAAAGCTTTCAGTGGATGTATCTCAGAACCCATCTCAGCTTCAGAGGGGAATATTCGGATTTATCTCGACAGTCATATGAACCGGTTGCCGGGATTCGTCCTTGAGAGTACTATCTTACAAGAGAATATCAAGGCTGAAATTATAAGAGCAGTCGACGGAATGTACGAGGCTTTGAGCTTTTCTTCAATATTACGCTGACCTATTTTACCCAGGTTCTTACTTGCCCAGCTTCACCTAGAGAACTTCTGTCTCGTTGTGTCCGTTATTCCAAGGTCATATCGCGCGACGTGTCTTACAGTGGTTATCAGAGATCATAACCACACTTCGGACATGGAGAATTCAAGAGTGTAGAGAACATACTGATTGTTTGAGACCAATCTAGACAATACGGTTCAGATAATTGTCAACTTAATGTCATTTTATTTGTCATTTGACATAGTTGCTTAAATCCTTCGATGAGACTCAAACCATGCCGAACAGCGAATAACAGTCTAAATAATGAGAGCCCAACTACCAAGGATAGAATCCATCTTTGTGAAGAAACTTACCAACGTCATCATTCCTCCGCCCGAGAATAATCTCGAAGATCGCCTTTCCCGACTCCATGGGATCCCCAGCATGACCTTGAGCACTAACAGCCTCTTCCGAAACACCCCTCAGCATCGATCGCACGAGACCAGGACAAAAAGCAAAAACACGGACTTTCCCTTCGAGTCGCTTATGCATTTGAACAGTCATCATATTTAACGCAGCTTTGCTCATCCGGTATTCATCCCAAACCGGGATACTATGCTCACTATTTGGATCAGATGCAAGAGCCAACGAACCCAATGCGCTTGATATCTGAATGAGACAAGGATGACGTGATTGAAGTAGAAGTGGGATGAAAGCCTCTGAAGCAAGCATCGCACCGAAGACATTTGTGGAGAATATTTTTCCGAGTTTATCGCGTCCAGTAGAGCCAGGCGAGGTTGTGCCTGCGTTGCTGATAAAGACGTCGACTCGTCCGAATTGCTCGGATACGGTGTTCACGGCCTTGGAGATTGAAGTGTCATCTTCGACATCTAGCTGAATGACAGAAAGTGTTCCTTGAATATTGGAGGCCTGGAGCTGAGAACATGCTTCTTGTCCTTTCGAGGGATCTCGACAGGCTAGTATTACATGGTACTTTGGGTCGGATAAGATGGCTTTCGCTGTTGCGTAACCGACGCCAGAGTTGGCACCTATACCCATGGAGTAAGATGTGTGAATCGTCTGATGTGGTTAAGATCTTACCAGTTATGAGGACAATAGTTTGTTCGGACATTGTAATAAGATGGAGATGGCTGGATTCAGGTCCGTGATTCTAAAGTTAAAGGCTTCATTGAATAGTTCTGACTTTAATATGGAGTTTTATAATGCAATTTTTGCGAGTGTACATTTCAAGTCGGAAATAAGAGCAAATCCGACCGTTTTTCGTGCTGCCACTGTTCTCGATCTCCGGCGGAGTAAAGCCGTTCACTCGTAAATCTAGAAAAATACCGAACGACATGGAATTTCTTTTATTCAGAGAGTCTATTTTTCTGGAGCCGAAAGGCTAACGAAAGAACGGAAAATGCTATTCCGGAATGTTTTCCACTAATGTCACTACGTCACTTGAAATGGACCACTACTTACTGTAGACTATTTTGAGGGCCTATGTCGCCCTGACACTTGAAGGACCGTCAACCCCACAATTGCCCCCACACTTGCTAGTCGCAATGAGGAACAGGGCCCGCCAAGGGTCGTGATGCGCTATTGAATATGCCAGATATTACTGTATCAATACACTCCATTTTATGTATAATACGCGAAATCATATTCCGCCCTTTGAGCCGCATGATGTGAATAGACTAGCAACGAGAAAGGGGGAGCCGGTGCGGTGAAGACAGTACGTAACTCCGTTACACTGATTTGTTTCTGGACGGGGCGCGATAAACCTAGACGGGGATAGAGAGCGCCAAGTGTCGAGATGACCTCTATTCTCAACTACTTTCTGGTCATTACATACATTCTGTCCATGCTTTCCATCACCAAGATCGATGATTAGTCGAGAATATTTACCGAGTTCACATAAACTGGGGTCCATTGCATCAAGTAAGGGACCGAGACACCTAATTTACACCGCTGGAGCCTATTTTGGTTGGCGGCCTCGTTCAGCCCGGTCATACGCCCCGGGGCCAATCTCAAAGTAATATTCAGGGCAGGATAGATATTTTCGCAGTAATATCACGTACATCTGCAAGGGTCTTCAGTTGGAGAGGAGCTTATAGTGTACGGCAGCTTCGCGCCATTAGATAAATGCGCCGGAAATTAGGTACCATCCAAGTGATCTCAAGGCTTTCCAAAGGAGCCGGACAGGGGCAAGGCAGCATCCTAGACACAGTCATTGTCGATCCCACTACCACCACAGGGTCTACTATGGGGCAATGCAGTGGCCTGTTCAACTCTGCATGATTGAACTAATTATAACTTGAATTCAAAACAGATGATCAAAGCGATGTGCACAGCCCTGCCATCGGGGAGCCTCCTTCAATTATATCACTTTCTCGCTCTTCATCCCGGGCCTCTTACTCTGACCTCCCTCGTATAAATACCATCTAAATCGCAAGTTCATTATGGCCGGAAGACCGGCTAGCGAAGGTCTGTCCAGGCTCTCCTCATGACTTCATGACTTGTCGTATTCAAAACTGACCATCCACAGGCCTTATCCCAGTCGAGACTCTTGAACACCATATTATAAGCCCCGTGAGCCCATTGCATACCTCTGAACGAGCCAGCACCAATTCAGCACCCCTCTCGGACCCGATTAGCCCACCTCCAGTCCCATCATACGACCGTACCCGACCCGAAGACGCACCGATGCCTGTTAGCTCTCTTCTAATGGAGAAGGAATACCCGGGGCAACCTTCTTCTAATGAGCCTCAACCGGCATTTGCAGGTCAACGCTCGATGAACTCGGCGCCTGAGAAGGCTTATACCGGCCAGCCACCGCCCAACTATGAGCAGCCACAACCGCAAGCATACTATACACCCGTTCACCCTAGTGGCTATGCGTCCGCAGTGCCTTTGCATGCACTTCGGCAGACTCCGGCTCCTGTTGATTGTCCTGCTTGTGGACAACGAGAAATGACAAGGACACAGGCTGTATCGGGATCGACTACCCAGTGAGTTTGATATTATGAATGGACGATTCCTTAGAAATTGATACTAAATATTGAACAGTGCCTTGGCTGCTTTACTTTGCTTCTGTTGCTGCCTCGGATGTATTCCATACATCATTTCGGGCCTTAAAGATGTCGACCACTCTTGTGGAAAGTGTGGTGTTAAACTTGCATGCTGGCATAATAGTGGGCGTGTTGAGATGTTTCAAAACGGACGGGCCTCAGCAGTCTAATTTAGCTTTGCATGAGCAGGTTCAACTAACAAAGCACACATTTGAATCTCGCTGCTCAAGACATGGTCGCAGACTTGATTCCATGGTTGTTATGTTTGATAATGATACCAATTTGTTTTACGTTGACTCGTTTTATGATTTCTGCAGGAGTCACCCCGTAGATAGTTTGTTGAATCTACATATCAGTCTCGGAAGAAATGTTCAGTGATTCTTCGATACTAGCATTGAGAAGATAAGAAAATGATCCATAGAAATCCCATGACCGATCCACTCGCGATGCCAAGAAATTCGTATTTAGGTTCAGCTGACGCTTCGACTGATGCGTCATACACCGCCGCAAAGACTTCAACCGCAAGAACACTACAACTACCTGGGAAGAACGTCTATAACCATGTTTCGATTAATCGTAACAATCAGCGCCGTGCTAACAGGCTCCTCAGCCGTATACTTCTACATCTGCCACCAAAAACTGTCATCCCGCATCCAACACACCTCACAAAGCGGACTTTCATCCGCAAAATCCAAACCGCAAAGCATCGAATCAATCCCGGAGGGCGTCCTCACAGAAAAATTCTTCGCGCTCCATGATCATGCCTCGAAATCTGTGCTTCGTGGCTCACTCCCGAACATCCCAATAGAGCTTCTGTTCACCAAGCTGGTCCGACGCAATATGACTACCTTCACGCATTTCCCGCAGGCCCTGATGATCAGACTTGTCTGTGACACTAAAGAACAAAAGCGAAGCTTTAAAGCATCCCATATCTCTTCACTCGACTTTAATGAGGGTGATTTAGTCTGTGGTGTGTATCGCGTTATTGCCAGAAGCAGCAATAAAGTCGAATTTGAAATCAAGATGGTTAACATGGACTTTTGTTGTGCGAGGCTTGCTTTGAGTTTTCATGAGAAGGGAGATGAGGTTGTGTTTTGTTCCGAGACTATGATGTGGAGGCCGGCGGATGAGTGTCAGAACATGCCGCTGGAGAGGCCGTTGATTCGGTGGATGCATGAAACTGCGGCTTGGTGGCTCATTGACTCTGGCGTGAAATATCTGACGGAACTTGAGTCGTGATTGGGTTGCAACCCTCCAATACTTGTATAATTACATGTGTACGTTTATCTAATTGGGACATCTCTATTCAAAATTTATGATTGGATTTGTCGGGGGTGTAGAGTACTGACGGGCGAATGATCCATGAATGTGGTTGGTGTGCTACCTCAGCTCGTCCTAGACCAATTTCAGCCCCTAGCGATACCGTTTGCTCGCTGTGCATAATCATTAGAAAAGCTTATACCCCTAACAATGAGCCGTCAGAGCGGGAGCTGGAGGAGATGACTTCTCCTTCAGACCGAGGGAACTTGACTGCTGAAAGTTCAATTCTTTCTGTCGGTAAACTTTTCTTTTTTCTGTCACTATCAATATTGTTGTTATTCTTCCTTCTTTTGATTCTTTCCTTTTATCTCTTTTCCCTCAAAGAGTCAATGGCCTACCCTTTGATGGCCAATTGACAATGGCTCCGATTTTCAAGCGATGGAACCATATCGTTGTCTTCAGCAAAGTCAAGGGGTTCGAAGTTTTCTTTTTGTTTCCATGACTTAACAATGCACAAAGGGAATTACAAGCCCCACTGGGGCCAAGGGCTTTGCTGGCTTTGTTCGTAATCACGGAAGACAATGAGAAGTCTGCTGTGCATGAATTTCAAGAGCTTGGTTGTACTTGTAGATGAAGAAGCCAATAGCCCTGTACGGTACATTCGTACCCAAAGCTCCCGTCTCAATCTTATATAGCAGGGTTCTCTACCAAGTTCAAAGACTCCAATCCCATCAAAATTACTCTAACCAAATACGCCATGTGCAGATATGGATACCACTATTATCCCAAATGTGGGCACATCGCCAACTACACAGTCGTGAGCTGCTTGGAGTTTACTAACCACCTTCGATTCCAGACTGCCAACGTTGATTATTCGCCCTGTGAGCCTCGTCATTCATCTTGCAATGATATCAAAGCCTCTCATGATCTCCTTCCACCCGACCACCCTGACCTCTGTCTACAATGCGCCTATGACTGGAATCTCCCACAGGATCACGATGCTCAATCCCCCAAAGAGAATCGAGCCCTGGAGGGATTGAACGCGGCAGATCCTATCATTGATTTCAAGGCCCGGATGGTTGTTCCCAAGAGAAGTCGAGTCACGAACACAATTCACGAAACACGAACTGACATTTATCAAAGCCACCCCTCCGGCTACGATACAGAATACACTTGCTCTGCCAGTTTCTCATCGGTAGGATCTCCTATGAGCTTGGATTCCCCACGTTGTGTCCCTTTTGACTCATCCCGTACTCTTGAGTTTGATACATCTCGTGATCTTGACTATGATTCGGATGAAGCGACTGATCCCTGTTCACAGCTTGATTTAGGCCATGAAAGCCACGGACTATACCCTTCCACAGGGACCTGCTTTGATGTGTGTGCTACTGATGATTTATCTTCCGCCTTCTATGATTTTGACCATCTGTCATATGTCTCCTCGGTTGATTCCTCTGACATCGATATGAACGACGATCTTGAGCCCATGCCCGAAATTGTGACTGAATGTTTGGCACAGTTGGACCTAGGCTGCATGGAAAAAGACACGACCCATAACGGAATTGATCTTCTCGCAGCACTCCCTTCCCCAAAACACATCATCATCGAATTGATCCAGGCCTTTCGAACAGGGATCATATCAAATCATATCACCCCGGAAATATTACCCCTTGATGACGGATCCAATGATAATCAAACCCTCCGCAAACCCACTCCCACCCTGAATCACTACGACTCAAAGACTAGTCTGTGGCACGCAAACATGTCAAGTGTGTCTTCACCTGATTTTCGGAACCATGCTGACAAGTGGTTCTCAGACCTTGAGCTTGCCTCATTCGGGATTAAAACTAGTCTAGACTCTACAGTCGAATATGGGGCAACTGCAGAATTCCTTGATTTATCGGACGACGAGGAAGGAGGTTGCTTATTAGCAGGGTGGTAATTTCTTCTTTGAGTTGAATGCAGGTATCTAGATAGATCCTTTAACGCCTCGTCATCTTTTTTTGGCGAGCAATGCACTTGATGCGTTGTCGGCGCTGTCGGCGCTTAGTTGGTTATATGTGCCTCTGTTAATACTTAACGGGCGCGATTCCGCCCGAGAACCAATTCATCATGAAATTTTCAATTTTTCATAACTCTAAATTCTACATTTCTAGAATTCTACAATTCTACCGCCCCTCTCATAACGTTCCTATTGTAAGTGACTGTAGAGCTCTATAACCTTGGGACAAGCTCGGTCTACCCCGATAGGCTCGGTATTTAACGTTGAAGCTCGGGCAGTCGGACTTCGCCCGATCACCCCACTCGGGTATAACTCCGTTTCCCCAGAGCCCCTCCGGCCCCCACGCTCTTATTTATCAACTATCAATCCTTTTTCTTGGTTTGTTCTTACCAATTCCTTTTTATTTGAAAACCATCACCAATTATTATGTCTAAGCCAGCTATCGGTTTCGTTGGCCTAGGAGCCATGGGCTTCGGTATGGCCACCCACCTCGTGAAAGAGGGATACCCCGTTCACGGATTCGACGTGTTCCCCGCATCAGTTGAGAAATTCAAGAATGCTGGCGGGATCCCTGCTTCCTCATTGGGGGAATCAGCAAGCGAGAAGCAGTACTATATTTGCATGGTCGCATCAGCTCCGCAAGTCCAGTCCGTTTTGTTCGGCGATGACGGCATTGTTGCTGGTACGTCCTAATTCTGATTGTGGGATGAATGAACTGCTGACTGGCTATATGAAAAAGGTCTTCCTCAAAATGCGACCCTCATCTTATGCTCAACAGTCTCGGCTTCGTATGTGCGGTCCGTCGCTGAAGATCTAGTTCAACGTGGCCGTGGAGATATTCACTTTATTGATGCGCCGGTCTCGGGTGGTGCTTTGCGCGCTGCCAATGGAACCCTTTCTATCATGGCTGGTGGACCAGATGAAGCTCTGGAGAGTGGACGATTTCTTCTCGAGGCTATGTCTGATACCAGCAAGTTGTACTTGGTGCCTGGTGGCATTGGTGCAGGAAGTAACATGAAGATGGTGCACCAGGTTCTTGCGGGCATCCACATTCTCGGTGCCAGTGAGGCAATGGGCTTTGCAGCACAGCTGGGCTTGCATGCAGATACCACCGCCGAAGCTATCAAAGAGTCTAGCGCGTGGACGTGGATGCACGAGAACCGCCTGCAACGTATGCTGGAGGAAGACTGGAACCCTGGTGCTAGCGCGCTGACAATTATCCTCAAGGATGTTGTAAGTGGATCTCTGGCTCTTTTCGTGAAATGAACCCGCTAACAAAGCCGTAGGGAATCATTACCACCTCCGCTCGCCAGAACCATTTCCCCACTCCTCTTTGCTCAACAGCTGAGCAGGTCTACCTCGGAGCTCTTTTGCAAGGCTATGGATCTATGGATGACTCATCTATGGTTCGCCAATACTTCCCCACTCCTATCATGGAAGTCACGAATAGCAAGATGTTAGAGGAGGAGGTTGAATTGCGCCAATTAGTTCTGGATATGATGGAGGTGACAAACCTGGTCGCGGCGGCTGAAGCCATTGCATTTGCGCGTTATCTCAAGGTTGATCTTCAGCAATTCTTTGCGCTTGTCAGTAATGCTGCCGGCTCTAGCCGTCAATTTATGACAAGGGGATTGGAGATGATTGAAGGCAATATCGACATGCAAGCTGGATCGGAGAAAATCGATCATGCCATCCTACGATTGGAAAGAGCTGTGCAAAAGGCGAGAGACCTACATTGCCCACTGCATCTTGGAAATGCGGCACTCAATACACTGTTTTTGGCTAAGCGGGCTGGTTTTGGTGATGAAAGCACTGTCAGCGTTATGCAAGTTTATGGTCTTGGATTGTAGTTGTACGTACTACGCCTTTAACTTTTGATTGCTAGTCTCATCTTCATAAATTCATTCTTCCAAAATGGACGTTTAAGGACACTCCAATCCAGCTTGCTACATGGCCAACCAATAACATCAAATCTATAGTACATGCTTGACAGTCAGGGCTGCAGTAACCATGAATAACAACCACTCCAGTGCTCCAAATACTGTCGCTGCCTCGAGCAATCCACATGGGCTTTTTCCTGTCGAACATGAATTGGACGAAATTTGTATAGCGACGGCAATGAAACCAGCAAGCCATGAGAGGACAGCCACAGCCTCGACGGCAGCATGAGCATAGGTAAACCATCGATGGTCCGCGAAGATAAATCCGGCAAGGTAGTGGAAGAGAATGATCAAAATTGTCCAGGCAGCGCAGAATAACAAGAAGCCCCACGCATTAGGGATGCCGTAGTAATCGTAGAAGTTGCCGAAGTCGAAGTGTTCGTAAACAGTGTGGCCGTGAAATATGTGAATAGCTAGGCGATGGGATCAGAGTTAGCGGTGCCATGATAGAGTAGAATGCATTTATTATGCGCACCATAGCCGTCTATTCCCATGACGATGATGGCGAAAATGAGCTGTATCGCTCGTAGGGTATAGTCGAGCGTTCTGCTCTTCGGTTTGTCCACGGTCATGATGCAGCGATATGTGATGAATTTGAGATGAGGTGGGCACGTCAAGTGATAATTATTGTTTCACCCCTTTCACTGAATATTTACTCTTTAAGTACATTTCCTCTGCGGTTGTAAACCATGCGAACTGCATAAAGGCGCTAATCCGATTCTGGTTAGTCGGGTACGAGGTTATTCTGGGCCAGGCAGCTACGAAATGCCCACCAATCAAGAGTCGTGTCTTAGACAGGCCTAACCATTCTCGGCTAGGTCGAAACGAGTCAAGTTCGCTGGTATTCGAAGCTTCGTAAATTCTTGACCGGACTGAACCTATCAGCAATTTTGAGTAAGATAAATCATAGTTCAGATTAGCAAGCGTTTTTGGTCACTGTTTTGACGATCAAGATCTTGAATAGAAGCCCTGAAGGTAGGTCATGCATACCTGCGCTTTCTATTCTAGTATGACTAACAACGCCTGGGCAGATACCCTCTACATCATAGCTCAATATACTCCGTGATTGACTGCCACTCTCCCAATGGCCCCCACGGCTTTGTGTGGAACACAGCTTCAAGCGTGCCTGGATAAGCCGGACTGGGCACGATGCTGTAGTCAAATTTCCGAAAGTCAAATGGCATCTCGCTCAGGTTATACATCCGTGACTCATCATCGGGCAGGGTGAGACCATACAGCCTAGAAGTCTCGTCTGGCAATTCTTGCCCGTTGAGATGTCTTTCTTCTAGCTCGATCACTCGTTTGGCAGTTACGTATGCGTGATGTGCATTCCAGAGCCCTTCTCGACGAGGCGCGAATTGCAGCATCTCCAGCGCGCGTCTTCGTATTGTGGGATGACGGCATTTAAGCGCGGTATAATACAGAGGCCCTAGGATTTGTATGTCGAAAGACAGTGTTTGCGGTGTTGCCCTGCCCACGCCTGGGTAGATGATTTGCTCCGCGTAATGCACAAGCTCTTCAAAGTCTGAAAAGTAAGAGTCTGTGGCCATTTCTCCAGCTGTGGTGCATACCCGTATCCAGATGTAAATGACTTTGTAGTGTACCAAAAGTAGATTGAGAGCGTCCTGCTTCGCCGGATTGCCGGTCGCTTTCATTCGTGCAAGAAGCTCGGCTAGCCGGTCATGCCATGCGTCTAGCCTTGTTTGGAGTTTGACCTGTTCAATGAGACTGTCGACGTCAAATTGGAACGTGGCTGCGTTAATATCAATCTTGCCAATAAATCGAATACAGGCATCTAAGATTCCGACGAGCTGTTCTCTACAATGAGTAAGATCTTCCTGAGGAGAGTCTTCTATAGCTGTTGGGGCGTATATTGGCGGTGTCATCCTGCCAGCGAGAGAACAGAGGATATTGAGACGTGAGAATATCGGAACGATGTGATCTTCGATGGCTTCAAGATCATTGGACGAGAAATTAGAATCAAGACCCGAAGCCATGTCACTGTTGAGACGAAGCGCAGCTAGAATATTGAATCCACTTTGAACGTGAAGCATGAAAGATTCAATATTGCCCCTGAGGAGCTCGATGCATGTGAACAGAAGGCAGCAGGTCAAAGGTACCAAATTCGAGTTGGGATGCGCTTGGATTCGAGCTGAAAGGCTCTTCATTGCTTTGTTCCACTCCTGTTGAGCTTGGAGGTTGGCATTGACATAGCCTGCCGGATGCTGTAAAGACGATTCGACATCTTGATAAATGACGGTGACGGCTGATACGGCATGTCGAATTGATGGTTCGGAGTGTGATAGTTGTAATACAAGCTGGCTCCAGAACTGGGAAGTGAATTGACCATCCAACTTCTCAGCAAGGTTTTGGTGGAAGAAGTCGAGATCGCGGTCATTTACGAACAATACCGGTTGACCTTGCGCAGGAGGCAGATATACCGTGACTATGTCTCGTGGTGGCGCTGTACGTGGGCTGTTGTACTCGCATTTTCGGTCCCCAATAGTGCAGCGTCTACAGATAGGTTTCCCTTCATCGCACTTCACCCGACGAGCTTTGCAAGTGCTGCATCCAGTTCGAACTTTAGACGTACTTTCTCGGGTTTTCTTTGGCGTATGATTCAGTCCAGTGGTCATGACGAATAAGAAAGGCAAGTCTATTATTCGAAGATCGGAACAAATTATCCCAGGGCATATAGATTCTAGAGGAAGAGGATGACAAGGCTTGAGAATATGCGAGATGAGGCCGCTCGTTTTGACGTTGTGTGGCTTAGAGCAGACCATCTCACGTGCATGACAAAGGTTAAAGCGGCGGCGTCTTAGATCCAAATCAGATACGCATAGTTACACTACGCGGGGCCTCCAACACAACTGACATAGAATGTAGAGCAGTCTTCATACCGATGTAATTCCTGGGGAACTAATTTCCGTAAGGTTCACGTTGAATACGACACACTTGGATTCGGCCTAGGTCAATTGACGTAATTGTACTCTCGGGCCATCTCCGACCCATCGGACAACATGCGACAAATACCAACACGGACAGATCAGCGAACACCAACAAGAAGGCACCCATTCTACCATTTAAAACTGTCTAAACCCCCGCGATCCAAAATACCCCGCAACGCAAACCCTCTCAATTACCCCCAATTATCAGCACAATGCCTCTCACCGAAAATCGCGCTCTGCGCATCCTCGACCATGCATCCACAAACCACTACGGCGTCCCAGCGATGTGCTGCTACAACGTTGAAGGTATTCTGGCCACAGTCCGTGCAGCAGAAGCCAAGCGTTCACCGGCAATGATCCTCCTCTTCCCCTGGGCAGTACACTATGCCGACGGAATTCTCGTCCACGCCGCCGCAGAAGCAGCCCGCAAGGCCAGCGTCCCAGTAACAGTACACATGGACCACGCGCAGACGCCCGAGATAATCCGGTATGCGGCCGACCTAGGCGGTTTCGACAGTATCATGGTCGACATGTCGCACTACGAGAAAGCAGAGAATCTAGCATTAACCCGCGAATTGGTGGAGTACTGCCATGCGCGGGGGATCGCCACTGAGGCTGAGCCTGGGCGTATTGAGGGTGGGGAGGATGGAGTTGCTGATACAGCTGATTTGGAGGGACTTTTGACTACACCTGAGGAGAGTCAGGAGTTTGTTGATACGGGGATTGATTGGTTGGCGCCTGCTTTTGGGAATGTGCATGGGGAGTATGGGCCGAGGGGAATTCAGTTGGAGTACGAGCGATTGCAGTCTATTAATGAGGCTGTGGGGGGGGGAAGGTCAGACTTGTGCTTCATGGAGCAGATCCTTTTTCTAAGGAGATATTTCAAAAGTGCATTGATTCTGGGGTGTCGAAGATCAATATCAATAAGGTTTTGAACAATGAGTATGTTAGGGTGCAGGCGGAGAAGGCTGGGAAGGTGCCGCTAACTACGTTGTTGGAGGAGGCTACGAATGCTATGCAGAAGGCTGTTGAGCGGTGTATTGAGATGTTGGGCGCTGCGGGAAGATACCCTTGAGATTTGGTGATTTGTTGGTTTTTACATTTACATTCAAGATTAGAAGTACGTTGCTAAAGTGCTACCAATTAAATAAATTTCTTGAATATGAACGAGGCCCTTCGCAACGACAATTGCCTCCACTTCCATCTTGGATATATGAGAACACAGAAACGCCAAATAGAAAGAAATAGCAAATGACATATGCCTACAGACCGGGAATAACACCAGCAAGGCCACCAACAAGGGGCAGACCACCGAGAAGGCCGCCAAGGCTTCCAAGACCACCAGCTTTTGGCTTTGATGCAGGGGTGGAGCTGGAAGGCTTTGCCGAGCTGGAAGGCGTGCCCGAGCTAGAGGGCGTAGCAGAAGGGGTGGTGGAGTGGCGGCTAGGAATCAGGGGAGTGGAAGTAGGCTTGCTCGCCTTGCTCGTAGGGGCCTGGTACGAGGGAGCCATAGGAGTTGGCTTGACCATGGAGCTGAAAGAGCTCGGGGACGAGGGCTTCGGAGTGGCATAAGCGGAGGAGCTGGAAGAGCTGGAAGAGCTCGAGAACGAGGGCTTCGAAGTGGCATAAGCGGAGGAGCTGGAAGAGCTGGAAGAGCTGGAAGAGCTCGAGGACGAGGTCTTCTGAATCAGAGGAGTAGAAGAGCTGTGCGTGGGCTTAGGCTTGGCAACCACGGCATGCGATGTAGACGAAGGAGCGACAACCACGACATGCGAGGTGGGCGAAGGAGCCACAGGCTTCGGCATCGGGGGAACTACGTTTTCGAGGGGGAGGTACTCATTCTGGCCATCATCATCCTCTAGGTCCTCAGATGGGGCAGGGATGTTCTTCGAAGCAGAGGTAGGCTTGGACTTTGCCGATGACTCCACGGGAGGCATATCGTCAAGGTCAGACATGGTCAAATCCGGCATAGAGAGATCATCGACCATAGAATCAGGCACATCAACGGGCTTGGGGGTGGGTGGAACCGTTGGCTTCACGGCAGGTTTCGTAGTTGACTTCTCGGTGGGCTTGGGCTGCACAACAGGCGTAGGCTTCACCAGAGGCGAAGGCTTCTCGGTGAGCTTAGGCTTTTGAGTCGGCTTAGGCTCCTCGGCGGGCTTGGGCTTTTCGGTAGGCTTAGACTCCTCGGTGGGCTTAGGCTCTTCAATAGGCTTGGGCTCCTCGGTGGGCTTGGGCTTTTCAGTAGGCTTAGGCTCCTCGGTGGGCTTAGGCTCTTCAATAGGCTTGGGCTCCTCGGTGGGCTTGGGCTTTTCAGTAGGCTTAGGCTCCTCGGTGACTTTGGCCTCCTCGGTGGGCTTAGGCTCCTCGGTGGGCTGAGGCTTCTCGGTAGGCTTGGGCTTTTCAGTCGGCTTTGGCTTCTCAGAAGGCTTAGGTGTTTCGGAAGGCATTGAGTCAAATCCAGGCATATCCAGATCCGGCATGTCCGGATCATCAGCGGGTGGAGCTGGCTTATCAGCTGGCTTGGGGGTCTCAGATGCCTCTGGCTTCACCACAGGCTTCGGCTTTTCGGTAGGCTTGGGTTCCTCGATAGGCTCGGGATCCTCAGTAGGCTCAGGAGCCTCGGTGGGCTTGGACATCTCCACCGGAGCATTATAATTGACAGGAGCCTCGGGGATCTCAGCGTCACTGACCACATCGGGCTTCTGCATCATCTTGTGCGTAGCAGATTGCACAACTGCATGGCTCGGCTTTGCAGCAGAAGCCTGTTCCACCCCGTAAGCCTTGGCGGACTCGACAGCCATCATTGCCTCCATAGCGGCAGGGATAGCACTATCCATTCCGTCATCGTCGTCATCCATAGACGAAAGTCCACCAGTCATGAAAGGGAAACTGTTGAATGCATCTCCGGCCTCGTCGGGACGGGGGTAAGAAGGCGCAGCGGCGGCGCCAACGACGAAAACCGCCAGTGAGACGTAGGCGTAACGCATTTTGTCGAAGTGAGGTACTTGCCTCAGGAACTGGTAAGGAGTGTAATCGGTCGGAAAAATTACTATAGACTTGGGAATGGGGGCAAAGGGGTATCCAGGTTTTTATAAAGAGGCGCGTTGGATTGTTGATCTCCATTCTGTTGTGATCTTGATCTGCCGCGTCTCTCATACCGGACACGCGAGAACATAATCAGCCTTTTGGCCTGGGATTATGACGAGTGTTGGCAGCGTAGGGGGCGTTTTGGGTCCTGTTGGTATGGTCGATCAGGAGAGAAGCTTGGATTCCTCGATCCGGCTTGGCTTGTCCGAGGAATGATAGCCGTCGAAGTTTCCTGTCATGGTTTTCCCAGGTGCTTAAATAGTGCAGGAAGCACTGTGTTCATATTTTACAAAGTCAATGGGCCACGCAGCTTCCCTGGCAGACAATTTAATGCTCAGGAAAACAAATTTGTCCCCTATGCTCACGTTGAGACGTGGTGAAATGGTGCTTATGGAATTTGGCTCCTAGTCAGAGAAAATAAAATAAGAATAAAATAAGATCAAAACCAAAGGGACGGAACGCCTCGTCGAAAGCTTAAAAAATGGACAATGATCCATAGCAATGCTTGTATGTACATATGTAATTGTCTCCTACAGCATATATCAACAATAGTTCGCACCTGCCAGAAATCCTTTAAAATTATCTACTTGTCCCCGTTTTCGGTGCATCAGATGACTATATTTGTGAGCTCGAAAAATTGATTCTTGCCAATATGGAGCTCTCTCCCCTTTCAAGGTTATGTATGTAGGGATACTCAGGCACGCAACGGAAGATTCCTCTGGTAACCCTGGCATCCCTTACAGAACCAAACACCCGGAATACAGCCCCACCACCAACGCCAATCAAGGAAAACCTACGAACCAATTCATTTGTAACCTTGTGCTAAGATATTCCCTTTTTATGTTTTGATCTGCAGGATGAAGCTTAAGCGTTCCACATCTGTTACATTCAAATCCAATGTAACCACATCGAAATATCTGCCAATAACAGATCTTTGGCAGCCCCTACAGTAGCCTGGATGGGATTTTGTGATCTACATACACAGCTCTATACTAACTTTCGTTTTGGTCGACCCACGCGTGATTACCAATTTCTTCACCATCTACCATAGCTCGAAGTTTTGAATTGCGCTTTTGATTTACTACGCCTGTGTACTAGAGTAAAGTGTACCTTGAGCGCTGCAAGGCTGATCAAAGTTAATCCTTTGCCGAGACTAAATTTTACCCTGGTAGTTGTTATAGTTATGAGGGTTGTTGAAATTGCCAATAGCAGATGAGTGTTATTATCTTCTCAAAATCATGAACAACTTCTCCAAGGTTGGGCTGACTTTTGCAAATTTTTCATCTTCATTCCGTAGACTTTCCTGCACGACGTGAGTACGGATTTACCAATGCTCAAGCAATATGGATTGCCTACCTCTGTTATTTTATTACATGTAACAGGTTCGGGCTTTTTCCACTATCTCATGGTGGTGAACTTAACTTGGAGTCGATCTATCCAAATCCATGGATCTTAATGGGGATAGCGGGATACAGAGCCAAATTAGAAAATATATTCCTATTGAACGAACCTACCCGGGGGTTGACTCGAATCGCACATACCTAAGATATATATCTCTACCAACGTAGCCTTCCCGAGGTCACCCCAAGCATTCATCGTTCTTCATCTTATGTTATGTAGGGACACACATTCAAGGCACTCTTCATGGATTAATCTTCAAATGCATCGATGTTAGACTTCACTAACATCAACAAAGATCTTATATTGAAAGATTCTGGGACTTAGATATGTGTTTGACAATTCGTTGTGGAGTCATTGCGAGACACCGCCCGCGCTATCTATTTACCTTACCAAAACTTTGGGAAAAGGGGCTTCGCTAACTGAATTGCTACCAATTTGCCACATCTTGGCAATACAGAGAAGACTTTAGCCGGTTATGAGAGGTATAATTATCCTAAGCTAGTGACCCGACACCCCAGCAAGGCATCAATCTCAAAAAAGGGCATTATACCTCACGATCGCCAATTCCTCCTCTTCTCCATCACATGCGCAAGATTCCTCACACTAATGGTCTTAGCAAGCCCAAGCACAACTTAGTTGGCGTAGCACTTGACAGAGCTAACTTTGTCAGAGCCAATGTTGCTGTTGCCGGGGGCTTGGATATCGCCAGTACCGCCGCCATTGCAGACGGTGGAGCTATAGGAAAGTACAAGTTAGCTAGGATCTCCCATTAGAGCCTTGAAACACATTAGAGAGCACTTACCTCCAAAAGCGACAGCGGTAGCCGTTGGGAATGCTGACCGACTTGACATTCTGGTTGACGGGACTGCCGTTCAAGGAATCTGTACGTGACCAATAGATTAGCTGCAGTTTTGGTAGGCTCAAAGGGCACAAAAATTGAATTGGCTTATGGCGACAGAAGGCTACTAACAGCAATCATGCTGAGCGTAAACGGTAGCATCAACACAGTCTCCTCCCAAGTTGGTGTCGTTGCAAATTTTGATGTCGACGCCCGCTTCTCTTGCCTGGACTTCGACGGGCTCAGCGCTGGGCGCGGCGGCGACACCACCAATAGTGGTGGCGAGCATCAGGAAAGCAGTAGTAAAGCGCATGGTGACTGGTTTTTGTTTTATTGGATAGTAGACAATTGATCTTAGAGAAGTTGGAATCTGGATATCCTCATCTTCTCAGGTCCAAACGCTGCCTTATATACCTTTTGTTTCGCCCCCCTTATTGCTCTCTGGGTTTGCTTCTGAATCAGGCCTCCCATACACATCAGGATTTAGTATAGATCTCAGCATGAAGTTGCATTCATTACTATGGCTGAAAGTGACCATCATGCAGAGACGGTCCAATTTGTCCACATTAGGCAAATGCTTGGCCCCAGGGCACCAGCGACACTAACAGGATTTTCCCAAAGTTGTCATCCATTATGGAGACATCGGATATTCGGGATTCAGACCATTGCCCTGTCATTTGTTATAGCCCCACAGCTGCAACTTCAACATGGGCAGAACGCAGCTCAGCTAATCTCTTGGCGGTTTATACACCCTTTCAGGGTTAGCGCGCCCCATCCAAGGGAACCAGCTCCAAGTGACTGCTTTCAAAAGTGACTGCTTCTAAGACATACATACGCTCCTCAAAATGAGCTTTCGGGGCCGGGAACATCCAAATCATCTGCAATATCCAAGCTCCGAGCTAATCAGATTCAAGGGTCCACGCACTAGGCAGATCGCCCCCACGGTTCTTACGAGGGACCAATGACCTACCAAGGTGCATGCTGATCACGTTTCACGCTCTACTAGGCCTATTCGCGTAACTCAGATGCTCAGCGGCACCAAAGAGAAATTTGCCCCTCTGACTCAGAATGCTTCCCGGGCACCAACTCTTGATGCTGATCTTGAAAACTAGATCTTGAACTGATGAGCCAGTCATGTCATTCGAAAGGGAGAAATAGGAACAATATCTCTTCAAAATTTACTCCGGAGCAGGTCTAGAGACTTAATAGGTTCGAGAAGACCCAGTCCCACAAAAAAATGGCGTCACCCTACGCACAAAGAGGCCGCGACTCTCACTGAAGAAGATCAAAGCGCTATTGACATATCATTGAAACATCATCTGAGCTTGTATGCGCGATGTAAATCCTCAATAGCGCCACGTTGGCAGAGTATTGAGTTAGTGAATATTTGAATATTTACGGAGCAACAACCAATGAGAGATAATTCAAGAGACTGTCTAGATATCTCTGAAATACTCGCGGTTGGCCAATCACTCCTCTATAATACCCACCACTTTCGCCTTGATATCAAATTTCATGTCCATAGAATAGCCGACTCCCAGCTCTCGACGAACAACAAGGTGGTCTGCAGTGGTTTCATGTGGTGCGAACTCAAAGCGCCGGGCGATGTGAGCCAAAGTCATATAGATCTCAGCATAGGCAAGGCTGTATTGTTCATCAGCAAAGATAGTCGACCGTTTATTGTTGTGTGTTCAGGACTTACTTCATGCCTAAGCATTGCTTAGCACCTTTGGTGAAAGATACAATGAACCTGGTCAAATGTTCGCCCTTTTCAGCAGCACGGATCCATCGCTCCGGATCGAATTTCTCAGGTTCAGGGAAAAGAGTGGGATCCATGTGAACAAAGTAATTCGATTGACTAACCGGGGTCTGGAGAATGTCAGCAATCCAATGACTTCGATGAAATAAAACGCTAACACTTACACCGGCAGGAATAACCCAGTCCTTGTAGAGCATGTTTTCAATCGGCGAGATACGGCTTAGACGCGCCGTCATACCGTGGCTCAGACGCAGGCCCTCATTAACAACGCCAGTCTAGATATAATCAGCAAAAGAAAGAGAAACCACCATGTCGCACATAACTCACAAGATAAGGAAGATGCTCCAACTCAGTCCACGTAGCTTTAGAAATAGGTTTCTCCATGACAGTCTTCAACTCTTTCCTCAACTTATTTCCAATTTCTTTATCATTCATAACATGAAACATCGACACAGCAAGAGATCTAGCCGTAGTCTCCGTTCCAGCACCAAGAAGCAGAGCAGACTCATCGACCAAGCGATCAACCGTCTTCTCATTCTCAGGCACATTCGGCCCGACAAGCGTATCAAAGATAGAATCATTCGACTTCTCATCAATTTCCTTGGTTTCCTTGGACTTCTTCTGCTTAAGCGCAACAATCGCCTGCTTACGCAATTGAGCCTTGACACTACACAAATCACCCATGTGCGGCTGCAGAAAGCGTACAACAGTCTCCGGGGCATTCCGAAAGATAGTCACAAGAAAGGGAAAGAACCGGTTCACATGGAACATAAGCATGAGACCATTAACAGCGTCGACAAGATCGTTCCTTGTCGAGCTTTTCTTGTCATCTAGATAGCCATAGCTCCAACCGTAGCAGTACTGTGTAATAACATCAGCAGTGAGGGCAGCGAAATCATGCTGGAGATGGAGGATGGTTGAGTTTTTGTAGGCGGCTTCAAAGCGGTTGAGGAGTTGGTCAACCTTGACCGTGATATAGGGCGTAAGACTGGTGACAGACCGCTTGGAGAAGTAATTTTGGATGAAACTTCGACGGAGCCGGTGGTGGTCGTGGTCTATTGTTCCGACGAGCGAATATGGAGCTCCGAAGGAGACAGCGTACTTCGGGTCTCTGTTGCGTTTGCGGGAGCCGCTGGCGTGGATGTCCTCGTAGTAATGTGAGTCTTTGATGTGGAGCTCTCGGGGACTAATGCGGACAATAGGGCCTGGGAGGATTAGTTAGACTGGACAGGTTATGTGGGAGTTTAATTTGGGACCGATTGATCATGGGGTTTTATGGGAGAACCACGGAAGAGGAACAAAATTACGCACCATATTTCTCATGCATTCGCTCTATTTCCCAAAGGTACATGCCGCTCTTGACGACATCATAGTAGAATTCATAGAGGAAAGTCACCGCAGCAAGTTTGGGACCGGGGAATCTCGACAATGGATGGGCGTACAGACGATAGAGGGCTGTGTGTATGGCTAGCAGTATGAGTAGGGCTGCAGCAATGAAGGGGTAAAGCAAAAGGAACTCCATTGCGAAGATACGCGGCCGGGTAGTATTTTAAATTTTTAGAACACCAGGTAGAAAGAGAAATGTCACGCAATATCAGGGGAGGGGCAAACATATATGAGCGAGGAAAAGAAAACAATAAAGTGCAGTATAATGAACCAGGATATCTTGTCTCCACCAGCAATTAAAATTTGTAAATCCGTTATCGTGACTGGCTACTCAACAAATAATGCATCTGAGTGCAGCAAGCCACATTATATGGCCCATTTCACAAGTCGCAAGCTGCATTGACCGCGACATGGTTTCAAGGTGACTGGACAGCCCCGCTGAGCCCCGCGAGGCGTACCATGAGAGGAAAGAGTCTCGGTGGCCAGGGTGGGGGACTGGTGTGATAAAGGTCAAGGTGGACACGTCCTGCATGGCAGGACCTCATGCATTTCGCTTGAGAAATCGAACCAGTCAGCGTTGTCCTGGGTGTTGCCTAGATAGGTAAGAACGACGCTAGGGCCGGACCCCCTGCGGGCCGGAACGCGCTAAGAAAAGGACTAAGGTATTGTTCGCAACAATGAAAAAAAAAAAAGAAAAAAAAAAGAAATGGGATAGCCTGTGGACTATCTGGGAATCGAACCCAGGACCTCTCGCAGCTTCAGATGCGAAGCGAGCGCACTACCAACTGTGCTAACAGCCCAGATGATGTAATCTCAGGCATTTCTTTATAATATAACGTAATTCCCGGTCCAGTCGCCCACCCGGTCGGCCCGCCCACCCTAACCAAAACGCGTCAATTAATTCAACCTTTCTTATTCAACCAACCACCATGCCACCAATTCGCGCTCAAAATCGTCAAAAATTGACAGAACAAGAGGGCCGGATATTACTTGCTATCCAGGCTCTTAAAAAGCAGGAAAAATTGACAATTCGCGAGGCAGCACGCATATATGATATCCCACGTTCAACACTACGAGGTCGGCTTAATGGAATTGAAAACCGCGTTGAATTCCGCTCAAATTCCTTCAAATTGACTGAAATTGAGGAGAATTCACTAAAGAATTGGATAATCTCTATGGATATACGTGGAGCGGCACCCCGACCTAGTATGGTGCAAGAAATGGCTAATCTCTTACTCGCGACGCGTGGAATAACCCCGATTTAAACCGTTGGCAAAAATTGGGTCTCAACTTACGTTAAACGACACCCAGAACTCGATACACGGTTCTCAAGACGCTATAATTACGAACGAGCGAAATGCGAGGACCCTAAAATCATTATGGAATGGTTTAATCTGGTTCAAAAGACGATTCAAGAGAATGGTATCCACGAAGATGATATCTATAACTTTGACGAGACCGGTTTCGCGATGGGCTTAACCGCGACCGTAAAGGTTATAACGAGAGCGGAATATTACGGTCGGCGCTCTCTTTTAAAACCTAGAAATCGTGAATGGGTAACCTCAATCGAGTCTACGGGCGCGTCTGGGTTTAGCCTCCCTCCAACGGTTATCTTCAAAGGCAAAGTCTTCATCGTAGGTTAGGCTAATGACCTTCCGGACGATTGGCATTTTAAATTTAGCGCGAATGGATGGACTACGGACGAAATTGGACTTCGTTAGCTTAAAAAGGTCTTTCTTCCCTTAACTTTTCCAAGGATGAAGGGGAAATATCGACTTTTAGTTCTTAACGGTCATGGAAGTCATTTAACTCCAAAATTTGATGAACTTTGCCATCAAAACGACGTGATTCTAATTTATATGCCACCGCACTCTTCTCATCTTTTACAACCTCTTAATGTGGGTTGTTTTGCCGTTCTAAAGCGCGCATACGGTCGAATTATTGAAAATCTTATGCGGGATAGAGTGAACCATATCGACAAGTTAGACTTCCTTAACGCTTTTCCAACCGCCCAAAACGAGGCATTCAAGCCAGAAGCTATCAAAAATAGCTTCTTAGCAACAGGATTAGTTCCATATAATCCAGATCGAGTGATTTCAAAGCTTAATATTCGACTTTATACACCTACACCACCACCACCAGCATCTTAAGGCAGCCAAAGCAGCGCGTGGGAACCAAGAACACCATCAAATTCAAAACAACTCCAGAAACAAGCTTCTTCAATTCGAAAGCTCTTATCTAAGAGCCCACCAAATCTTGTGAAAACTGGTCTAGATCAGATATATAAAGGCTTCCAAATAGAGCTGCAAAGGAACGCTTTTCTTACTCGAGAAAATGAGCTCTTACGTGCCGGAATGGAGAAAAAGAAGAAGAAAATGGCAATATCAAAGCAGCAGATAGCTCATCCAGAAGGTCTATCAGTAGCAGAGCTCAAAGAATTAGCCCAAAAGGTTGAAATTCCGCAAATTCAACCTCAAGATGGAGAGCCAACCGGTCAAAATCAAGCTCAAGAACCACGACGTCGAGCTCCACCAAAGTGTTCTAAATGTGGAATTCGAGGGCATAAGATAACGCATTGCCCAAATTTGGCTAGATAGCTTATATATTCAATATTATGTGGATATGGTTGAATTATTCTAGATTGAATTCTAATATGTTGGTTGGGGTGGGCGGGCCGACCGGGTGGGCGACTGGACCGGGAATTACGTTATACTCATTGATTAGGTGATGACTCAAAATTAGAGTCGATGATAAAATATGGGAAAACAAATAGCCGCATGCATTGGACCCGCGTAAGTTAAATCCCCGAGAAAATCTGGGGATCGACACCTGGAGGGAATGAAAGAATAACACATTTTACTAGTAGTAATACACGGTCAATTCCAAGTGTTGAGAGTAATGAAAACCGGATTTTAGATCGTACAAAATCGATCTGTGGCAAACTACTCTATGACATGGGTGCGGCTCATCGCCATAGCATATAGCCGAATCAACTCCTAACTCGGCTATGGAAATCAAGATTCAAGGAAATTGGATTACCACTGCATTCCTGGAAGAAAATGTCCACACTTTACACCTATGAAAACATCCGTGATAGGGTCGGTAAATAAAAGTAAGATAAGAAACAAGGAATAAAAAGACAAATAAAAAAGCGGCTGGCACATAGGAAAGGAAACTTCCAACTCCGTTTTTATATCGACAATTTAAGTGGCCAGGATCTTCTTGGTCTCAGCGATGGCACGACCGGGGTTAAGACCCTTGGGGCAGGTTCGTGTGCAGTTGAGAATGGTGTGGCAACGGTAGACGCTCATGCTGTTGTCAAGGGCGGCCTTGCGCTCGGCGGTGCGCTCGTCACGCGAGTCGATCAACCAACGGTAGGACTGGAGAAGGATGGCAGGGCCAAGGTACTCCTCGCTGTTCCACCAGTAGGAGGGGCAGGAGGTAGAGCAGCAGGCGCACAGAATACATTCGTAGAGACCGTCGAGCTTCTTGCGGTCCTCGGGACTTTGGCGGTTCTCAAGACCCTGGTTATTCACCGTTAGTAACCATGCGCCTTACAAAGGGTTCGCAGGAAATTGAAAGAACGCATCACTCACATCGGCAGTGGGGGTATCGTTCTGCAGGTAGGGCTTGATAGACTTGTATTGCTTGTAGAACAGGGTAAGATCGGGAACAAGATCCTTGACGACGTAGGTGTGAGGCAACGGGTAGATGCGGGATTCTGAAGCAGTGTCGGTAGGGATACGGCCTGTCCGGTTGTCAGTAAATGTTGTATGCACTGAATAGACGCCTGTATGCGGCGAAACCAGAGCGAATGCGTGGGGACCACGTACACAAGCAAGCCAGGGTGTTGACACCGTCGATGTTCATGGCGCAAGAGCCACAGATACCCTCACGGCAAGAACGGCGGAAAGTCAGAGTAGGATCGATTTCGTTCTTAATGCGGATGAGAGCGTCGAGCATCATGGGGCCGGTCTTCTTCAGGTCGAGCTGGTAGCTCTCCATGGTGGGCTTCTCGCTTGGGGTGTCCGGGTTCCAACGGTAGACCTTGAAGGTCTTCATGGAAGGGTTCTCAGAGGGGATGGGGTCGACATTCTTAGCGGCCTCGACGGTGGCATAGGAGCGAGCAAAGGCGGCGGGCCGGAACAGCGGGCGCGACGCAGCGAAGAGTCGCGATGTAGTGCGGAGGGAGGCCATGGCGATGGTGACAAATCTCCAGATGGGTCAATGGAATAGCAACACGCGGGGATGAATCCGTGGAGAGAAGAGGGTCAAGATGGAACGAGCCGTCGTTGAGGATCACCAACAAACCAAGACGAACAAATTGAAGTCAAGGAGTCCTGTCAGTAACCTCGGGTTTGAGAATCGGTAAAGAGCTGAGTCAGCGAGCGAGGACCAATCACGGCAGGGCTAATTGTCAAGAAATCGGGCGGACACGGCTTTTGCTCTGATGTGCGTCTGCTCTGGGGAGTTGTCTACTGCCGCTCGGTTGCCGGGTGACGATGATATTGAGAATGAGTGTAGATGCAATTGATATCTAAATATCGGCCTGATACGACTGATCAAATTAGTCAATATGAAATGTCTTTTTTCGATAATAGTTCCTTAATTGCCCCGGGTGGAACGATCCGGAAATAGACACCTCAGGCCTGAAGGCATCTATATTTCCGGGTCGGTTGCCGAGTAGTTAACGGCTTGCCAGCTCGGCTCAGCCTCGGTGCTACATGCTGACCTACTCACATGCCGCCAGTGGATGCATCCAACATCTCTATTATTTGACCTAAATTTTGGTACACAACTAACCGCGATTGGCATAGTTCTGATGCCACTCATAATTTCGATTCTCCTTTAGAAACGCGCGAATGGCATCCCGGGCCGGCGTCGGCTCTCTCCCCAACAAATCCGCCATCAGCGGATCAGTCACTCCAGCATCCCCTTTCTCGATCGCATCATACCATGTCACCAACTTCCGAAAGAAAGTTTCCGGCTTCCCTCCAATATCCTCGGCAGCCTTGATTCTTACAAATTCCTCGGGAGACACTAGCTCCATCTGAACTTGGCGGCCCGTGGTCTCATTGATCACTTCGATTATATCAGCGAAAGACACCGTTTCCTGTGCCGTGAGAAGCACAATCTCTTTATCATGGCCGCCCCGAACCATCAGTCGAGCAGTCGCCTCACCCAGCTCCGCTCGCAGCGTGAATGCGATCGGGCCGTCGGACGTTAGATATACCTTCTCAGTACTAGGGTACCAGCCCATGAAGACCGGGAACGCATCAGTGTATATGCCTTCGCGGATTGACGTAAAGTTGATATCAGCGCTGGAATTCGGGTTAGCTACAAGGTTGTCGACGTCCACGGATAGTTAGACTTACTTTCTCAGCATCTCCTCGGTGATCAAATGGGCTTGTTGCACATCGGCTTTGGAGTCGGACTGGAATCCACCAAAGGCAAGAGACGTGTACCATACCTGTTGATTGTTAATGGGCTGCTGCACTTATTATGGGGCCATGAGCGTACATGTTTTACGTTCATCTCTTTCGCTGTGTCGATGAAGCGCTGATGTTGTTTCTCTCGTTTTTCGACGTCGAACGTGTTGGTGCTTACGAAAAACAGATTTTCGACGTCCTGAAATGCCGTCTTCATTGACGAAGCATCGTCGTAGTTGACTAACCGGAAGGCGATGCCTTGGTCTTCGAATCGCTTGCGGTTGGCCTCGCTCGAGGAAGCGGCGGCGTATTCTGATGCAGGAACATTGGCAACGAGGTAGGACAGTACCTGCGCGCCTAGACCTCCCGTGGCCCCGGTTATGAGATACTTCAGGGTCATAATTTGCGAAGCCCTGAAGAGTATAGGAAGCAAGTTTCTAGAATTCGAAATTGCACCAATAAATGAATAGGACCGAAAGATTGAACTTCCAATGTGACTGAAAAAATAATGAATGTTAAATCAATAGGAACTCAATTTATACTATATGAGCAAGACCTTGAGTACGAGCCAGATTGCCATGGAATTGTCAGGAATAATCCTGTGCTACGTGGTCCGTTTCGTGGTTTGTTAAGCAGGTGATTATTAATCAACTTCATTTCAAGTTTTGAGTGCCTCGAATTTAGACTATAGCTAATACCCATTCGGTGCTGAATACCGCCGAAAGCCCGTCTCTTTTCCCCTAGGAGCTAGCTTGATGGGGTTCATGCATAGGAGTGGCCTAGGATTACTAATTACCCAGGCGATGCGGGGAAGCTTCAGAGCCCGAACCGATAGGGGCAACCGTGGGTCCAAAATATGGATTTCTCTAGATTACTTTCGGTTCTTACGATATGCTTTCCTTGGTGACTTGCGTATGCCTTTTGTGCTGCGAATAGTGATGAGATCCAGTAGCTAATTAGATATTTAGATATTTAGAGAATCTAGGCTTCAAGATTATGGATACAATATTTTATTGACTATACAGTATATCTCGGGGGATTCTTGAGATTTACAACGCTTGCCCATTCGCTGGACGGGAGGACACAAGGTTCGAGTTAATTCGAATTCCCCATCCTATAATTCTCTCGTTTCACCTCTTATAGATACTATCCTTCCTTCCTTGCCGCGCTTCATAATCTCATATACATATATACTCTTCCAAGATTATACTCATGCCAGTCCTTGTAGTTTATGCTGGTACTGGATCATCATATTAAAAAGTGGGTTCAAAAGACTTTCAAAAGAATGGTAGTGTTATCTTCTTCTTCTTCTTCTTCTTCTTCTTCTTCTTCTTTGTTTTCATCATGAATCGAATCCTCTACATACTGCATCGCTGCGATATTTTCTGAAAGAAGTCCCTCGAGCTTTCTTTTCTCGTCTGTGACTTGGTCAAGGAGCTGCGTAAGCTCTCTCAAGGCCCCGGTAAGGGGGTGACTGTTCTTGGTCGGGCTGTGCTACTCTGTGCAGTGGCCAGGATGGATATAGAAAGCGAAAGCCCGTCTCCATTCCACTAGAGGTTAGATAGCTTCCAAGAGGGGATTTATGCATATCGATGTGGGGTGCTTGGGAGCTCAATCCCACACAACATCCTTAGGTCCAAAATATATTTCAATCATCCATTAATTGCCCCCTGAGGAATAATACAAAAATAAAATAGAATGAAAACAAAAAAAAAGTTACTGAACACAATGATCATTACGGAAAGAAAGAGCTTTTGTATTAGTTTATAATCTAGTAAACATATTCTATGTCTCACGAGAAGAAGGTCTCGAAGATTGCGGCGACGGCGATCTATCCTCTCCACGAGTAATATTAACCTCGTTAGTCACACGAATACCAGGAGTCTTCATAGACTTCGACAGCTCTCGAGTGACAGAAACCTCCGACGGCATCATCTCATAATCATCCTGGCCAGCTTTCGACCAGTTAAGCAACCGCTTATCATCACGGACAGTACCCAAGGCACTCGTAGGCTTGGACTGACTCCGCAGTCTGCCCCCATTAGATCGGGACCGGGACCGAGTGCGACTGCCAGTGTACTCAGTCAAGCGAGAAAACATGTTTCCAAAGACGGGCTTCAGGGCAGGCACCGAGAGCGCAATTAATGTGCCTGCGATTTCGGCGTTCTCGACACACAGCATAGGGTTGTAGGCCCAGCTACCGTCGGAGGCCCATTGGCCCTTTACGACTAGCCAGACACGGACGGCGGAGATAACGATCACGCTATGAAAGGTTAGTTGAAATCACGTTTTTCAATTTAGAGGTGGGGGACCGACAAGACACCGGGGAACATGACGAATGAGAGCTTGATCTTGTTCTTCAGAGAAACGTGGAGTTGCTTGATGAGGAGCGCGGGAATGATGAACATCATGACATCGCAGGCTAGCGAGAGACCTGAGTTGACAGAGTAGACCAGACCCCAGGTGAGACACTTGTAGTTGTCGACGCCTGGTTGCCAGGCATAAGGCCACAAACCGGTGACGGGCTTGCAGTGGAAAATCAGAAGAAAGAGCTGGGGGAGGAATGCAGCGAAGAGGAATGGTCCAGCGAAAAGAATGGCTTTGTGCAGTCTGCCTGTGCGTGCGGTAAGTCGATAGTAGAAGGCGAGACCGGACAGTCGACATAGGAAAAGGGCGGTTGTATAGAGAATGTGTGCGGTAAAGTCCAATACCTCGGTCTCACGGACGGTTGCCATCGATAGGACATATTGGATATACTCGATGTGACGACCGCTTCCCATCTGGATCAGAACGATGGAGAGAACGACGAAACTGATATAGATCATCTAGTCAAAATGTCGAATTAGTTCGGATGACTATTGCAAGGTCTCGAAGCGCGGAATTGCATTGAATGTGCGGGGGACTGATAAGAATGCCGATCTGTTCAGAAGTGTACATACCCAAGTCAAAATCGTCAACCAATCGTCAAGACCAACTTTCTTGATGAGAAAAACTCGGGCATAGAGTCGCAAAATGGTCAAGACTCCCGTAAAGCAGACCATGAACAAGATGCCCACAATGGCCGAATGATCGCGGGACTGCGCAAGGTACGAGAGGGAAATGCCATCAGGAATCCTCCCCGCCTTGTCTGCAGCGAGGATATCGGCAGGAATTGTCATTGTGGATTCAATGGAATGACAGACATTAACCACCTAGCAAGACATACTGAGGAGTATAGCAAAAGTACCCGGGGAGAAGGGTCGGACTATAATGAACGAACGACTGGAGCAAAGTAAGTGAACCCTTCTCTGCAAAGGAAAGAGGACGCGTGAGCGGGGGCTTTTGTTCAATAGATCCAGGTCTAGAGAATCGGAGCAACCAACGAGAGGATGTACCAGCAAGCCATGTTCGGACTCGCCCTGATGGAAGAAAAATAGTGGACCCGTGAATAGATTATCCTCGGCCCAATTACGTTCGTTCAAGCCATATGCAAAGGGGGGAATCCACAATCAATCATACGTTGGAAAGGAAAAAAAGTTTGGATCCCACCGATGAAAGTTTATCAGAGAGTATATCGATGTCAGAGACGTCAGAATCTGATTAGGCAGCCGAAAACATGCACAGATGTAAGAAGATCAGCATTCACACCAGTCCATGCGCCTAATCTAGACGTGCAGGAAGCGATCCCAGGACGGTCCTAGGTGGGCATTGTTCCCAGTGAGGCATTTTCCGGTGACCATCAGGGCCCATCAGATGAAACAAAGACCTATCAATCAATTTGCATGCGTAATGGGAAGGTCGCTAGAACCATTCACCTGCACGCCCAGAAGCTTGGTAGAGTTTGTTGTGGGTGTCGGTGGGTCTGGATCGTGGTAAGCGATCTGGAAACCGGGCGGAATCCGGCTCCGACCGTGGTTGTTTTGCCGTGCAGAGTCTGCGGTTCTGGAACTACACGCAATTAGGCAGGTACGAACAGCATTGCTACACTAACGGCGGCTATACTTGCCAGGATCAAAATACTTTCGGCGCACATGGTAGAAAGGGCGTAAGTGTGGTGTTGTGGTTGGTAGAAAATAGCGCTCAGGCGCACCTTAATGAACGCCTGCGATCTTTTGCCGGCGTTCCGTCCCTTCCAGCAACCATTGACCACGCATTGAGTTGGAGGAAATATTCTCCTGCGGTGGAGTCTCGTATGCATTAGTCACAATGGATCCATAGCCGGTCCTTCATGGTATCCAGTGGTTCGTATATGTTAAAAACAAGCTCCCCACGAGATCGTCGCTTTTTCTTGCCACATGGTTTTCTGTGGAGTTTGCACTTGATCGTTTAACATATACACCATGTCGCCTTTGTTGAACGTGTTGGTGAGCGGCTTGGCCTTGGCTGGCTCCGCCGTTGCGACACGCCATGAAGTCGACTCTCTCGTCGCGTCCCAGATCCTGACGGATCCCTATGCCTATGATTTCCCTCGTCTGGGTGCTAATGGCTCCTCCCTGTTCCCCATGCGCCACTGCCATGGGTTCAAGCTGGAGGAGGCCAGTGTCGATGACCTCCAGGAGCGCTTGAGCAACGGTACTTTCACCAGTGTTCAATTGTTGGAGTGCTACCTCAACCGTATCGCCCAGACCCAGCCTTACCTGAAGTAAGCCCCCCTTGATTCAAGCCTGATATGTTCTTGTGCTGATGAGTTCCCAGTGCCATCCTGCAGCACAACCCTGATGCGTTCACTATTGCTCGGAAGCTGGATGATGAGCGTGCCAAGGGTAAGGTCCGTGGCCCTCTGCACGGTATCCCTTTCATTGTCAAGGACAACATTGCCTCCAAGGATCGTATGGAGACCACTGCTGGTTGCTGGGCTCTGCTCGGTAGCGTCGTCCCCCGTGACTCCCACGTTGTCCACGGCATGCGTAAGGCCGGTGCTCTGCTCTTGGGTAAGGGTGCCCTGAGTGAATGGGCTGATATGCGCTCCAACAACTACTCTGAGGGTTTCAGTGCCCGCGGTGGCCAGTGCCGCAGTGCCTACAACTTCACCGTTAACCCCGGTGGTTCCAGCACCGGTCCCGGTGTTGCAGTTGGTGCTAACCTTGTCCCCATTGCTCTCGGTACCGAGACCGATGGCAGTGTCATCAACCCTGCCCAGCGTAATGCTATCGTTGGTATCAAGCCCACCGTCGGCCTGACCTCCCGTGATGGTGTTATCCCCGAGTCTCTGCACCAGGATACCATTGGTACCTTCGGTAAGACCGTCCGTGATGCCGTCTACGCCCTGGATGCTATTTACGGTGTCGATGCCCGCGACAACTACACTCTTGCCCAGGTTGGCAAGGTCCCCGCCAAGGGCTACACCCAGTTCCTGTCCAAGAAGGACGCTCTCAAGGGCGCTGTCTTCGGTCTGCCCTGGAAGTCCTTCTGGGCTCTTGGCGACGCTGTCCAGATCGCTCAACTCGAGGAGCTCCTCGATCTGATCAAGGCCGCTGGCGCTACCATCATCAACGGCACCGAGCTCCCCCACTACAAGACCATCGTTTCCCCCGATGGCTGGAACTGGGATTACGGTACCGAGCGTGGCTACCCCAACGAGTCTGAGTACTCCTACATCAAGGTTGATTTCTACAACAACCTGAAGACCTACCTTGCCGACCTGAATAACACCGACATCCGTTCCGTCGAGGATCTTGTCCAGAACAACATCGACAACTACGGCTCCGAGGGTGGTTACCCCAGCATTCACCCTGCCTTCGGCTCCGGCCAGGACGGTCTCATCGCCTCCATGGAGAGCAAGGGTGTCATGAACTCCACTTACTGGGAGGCTCTCGCTTTCTGCCAGCGCACCACCCGTGAGGAGGGTATTGACGCCGCCCTGAAGTGGCAGAACGGTACTCTGGATGGTCTTCTTGTGCCCCCTGATGTCGCCCAGAGCATTCAGATCGCCGCCCAGGCTGGTTATCCCGTCATCACTGTGCCGGCCGGTACTGAGGAGGTGTCGGGCATGCCTTACGGTCTTGCCATCATGAACACTGCCTTCTCCGAGCCCACCCTGATCAAGTACGCCAGTGCCATCGAGGATCTCCAGAAGACCTCCGGCACCAAGTGGCAGCGCACTCTCCCCGAGTGGCGCGGCTACCTTGAGCGCAACTTGCCCGTGATCATGTAAAATTGCATATATGCACAATAATTATAAGATGAGACTTACATCTCCTGTACGCTCTGCATCATGTATGAATAGCGATTATTAATGGATGATATTTGTTGCGGTATTAGCGGGTTTTCTTCTCCCGTAGACCAGAGGCATTGGGTGTAGGATAGAATCAACTTCCGTGTCGAAATAATCAAATGAGCTGACCACCGCTGCTTACCTAGATAGACTTTTTGTTGGGAGTCTAATCCGATATTGGCCAGCTGCCCACCCTGCAATCTAGCCTGATATTGCACCACTAGCCCAGCCAAGCGCCCCTAGTTGACGTGTGCTTTCCAATGGCTGAGAAATCAATCTAAATACCTAGGCACTTAAGCTCGGTCGCCCATGCCGATATTGATAGTGGAGCAACAAGCCTTTCTAGAACTAAGCATTATATTAAAGTCGAATGGATAATTTCCGACAACTCCATGTGCTATCTAGAGCCTCCTGTGGAGTCTCCTCTAATACAAAAATAAAAAGTGGATATCTCTATTGCAGATCAGGTATACCACCCGGCGATCATAAAATCGATCTTCGTAAAGGCTACCGTAGTCGTTCAGGGCTACGCGCTCGTACCCGTGCACGGGTTGATCTCATTGACGCGAAAATAACGAACTCATGAGCCCAGGCCCGGTGATCTGCGACCGTTTAAGTTTCGGAAGAACCCCCCAAAGGGATGATTTCAACTGCGGAGAGGCTACATTATACAGGAGTTGAGTTTGAGCCTTGGTAGGTAAAAGTGGAAACAAGTCTCCAGCCAAGAGCCAAGACGGAGGAATTTGTTTTATCAGTGAGACATGCCACCCTTTTGCTATGCCTCATATCGGGGAATCTTAATCCCTTTAGTACCTTTTTAGCACTATCCTAGTAGCCATCCAAACCTTGGAAGCTCCATCATTCATCATCCATAATCAACGGACCATCTCGGAAGACCGCATCCAAGCACCGTGAAATTAAAGGGATAAAGTTGAGTCCCGGAGAACCGCCCACACCGAGTATAGCGTCCCGAGGGATTACTCGATGGAGCTCAATTGTGGGGCCAACGACGACTTAAAGAAACAAAGTGAAACATCTTCATGCACCGAGCTGATCCTCCAGTTAAGGCCTTTTCCTTTTCAGCGCGCACTTTAATCAATTTCAGTTTGGTCTCCGAGCTCACATCTCCACTTTGTGATTGGTGCTTCACACGGCGAATTCTTCCAAGTCCCGGACGTCTTCCTGCTCTGGCTGGCTGTTTATCCTAACTCCGCACCATGTGGAAACGTGGAAACAGCCTACCCCTGTAACCCGGACATATGGATCGCGTCACTGAGTCTGATTCGTTGGAAATGGTCGTCATGACCGGTGATAGTTGGGAGATTCACGCAGGACGCGTTGATGGATCAAGCGCTAAGTGGAGTCACAGGAACTGAATCTTCCATTGCTTCCGAAGTATGTGCGATATGAGACTCCATCTCCATGTCTATATAAGTTCTTTGATGCTGCCCCTGATATGTGATTTTTTTTTCTTCACACTAAGTCATTCTTTCCCTTCTTTTGTTTATTCTTTCTCTGTTTTCAATATGAAGTATACCGCTCTTTTGGCAGCTTTTGTTGCCCACGCTGCTGCTGTCAGCGTTTCCGGCTCCGCTGAAGGTTTCGCCAAGGGCGTTACTGGTGGTGGTTCCGCTACTGCTGTCTACCCGACTACCACTGACGAGCTGGTCTCGTACCTTGGTGACTCGGAGGCTCGCGTGATTGTTCTTACCAAGACTTTCGATTTCACTGATACCGAGGGTACCACTACTTCCACTGGTTGTGCTCCTTGGGGTACCGCCTCGGGCTGTCAGGTTGCCATTAACCAGAATGACTGGTGTACCAACTATGAGCCTGATGCTCCCAGCGTTTCCGTTACCTAGTAAGTGCTGGATGCTGGATGCTGAATGCTTAATGGACTGCATGTTAATGGGTTTTTAGCGACAACGCTGGTATCCTGGGTATCACTGTTGCCTCTGACAAGACCCTCCTCGGTGAGGGCTCTGCCGGTATCATCAAGGGTCGTGGTCTCCGTATTGTTAGCGGTGCTAGCAACATTATCATCCAGTATGGGACAAGCATTCCTCCGAATATACGATCCACCTACTAACCACTTATACAGAAACATTGCCGTCACCGACATCAACGCCAAGTACGTCTGGGGTGGTGACGCCATCACCATCGACGAGGCCGACATGATCTGGATTGATCACGTCACCGTAAGTCCAACTTCCCCCACGATTGAAAACTCCCATCTAACAAGCCCAGACTGCCCGTATCGGTCGCCAGCACTACGTCCTCGGTACCTCTTCCGACAACCGTATCAGTCTGACAAACAACTACATCGACGGTGTGACCTCGTACTCCGCCACCTGCGACACCTACACCTACTGGGGTATCTACCTGGACGGAGACTCCGACCTCGTCACCCTGAAGGGCAACTACATCTACCACACCAGCGGACGTAGCCCTAAGGTCCAGGGTAACACTCTCCTGCACGCCGTCAACAACTACTGGTACGACAACACCGGCCACGCCTTCGAGATTGGCTCCGGTGGTTACGTCCTCGCTGAGGGCAACGTTTTCCAGAACATTGATACCGTTGTCGAGTCTCCCATTGATGGACAGCTTTTCACCTCTCCTGATACCACCACCAACAAGGTCTGCTCGACTTACCTTGGACGTGTTTGCCAGGTTAACGGATTCGGATCGTCGGGTACTTTCAGCCAGTCTGATGAGGGCTTCTTGTCTGACTTTGAGGGCAAGAACATTGCCACTGCTACCGCTTACACCTCTGTTGCCTCCAGCGTTCAGGCTAACGCTGGTCAGGGTAACCTGTAAAGCAGCAACTTTTGTGGTTTTTGGCACATCTCTGTGGAGGATGCAAGATGAGGTGTGGAGTGGACTATAAGATAGTCGGGCTTGGTGCTTGTATTGTAGAATCTTTCCATTCTTTAATTCCAATTTCATTATCAATTTTGAGGGGAAGAAAATGCAAACGAATAGTTTCCTTTCATTGGTAACAGGATAATTAAGCTAGTCCTCGCTCTGAGTGTTGCTCCGAGTTGAGCCATGGGTCTTCACTAATGATATAATATGCAATCCCGACCAGCCAATGACAATTCAATCCAATCAATTAACAATGATAAGACCCGGTCCCGCAAGCGTCCACTTAGCAACCGAGTTCACATTATCGAATGGGCCATCACTCTTGGTCACAGCAGCAATAGTCAATCCATTCAATTCGTGTTCGTTATACGGGAACAGCGCAGTCGCCTCAACCAGATTGCCCTCCTTTGAGGTAACATGCAAAGGTTCAACGATTGGTAGGTTCAACTGGTTGACATAAGTCACCCACAAAAGGTGTTCGGCTTCGTTGTCTTCGTCCTCAAAAACCAAGGTGATATTTTGCGACTCGGCTGTTGGCTTCGTGAGGATCTGCAAGTCCTCAAATGTACGCAGTGGGATCTCATCGAGATTGGGACAGCTACCGGGCACGGTAAAGCCCCGCACAGCCGTGAACGCGAAGTTGAGATCCGAGGTCGTGAGGAAAGGAAGTGCACTGGGAATACGGGCCTGCATGACGCGGAACCAGCCTTGCTGTTCACCCTCATTGCCAATGACTGAAGCGATTTCACGAGCAAGATCTGCATCTTGACCTAAGGCAAAACGTTCGACGGCATCTTGCAGTGTACCGAGGACCACATCTGTGAAGGTGGATGCGAGCGCAATGGCAGAGTCAAAGTCTTCAACAGGGACCACGTATTGGCACGGCTCGATAGGCTTCTGACCAAAATGGACGAGGGCATTGTTCGCACTGAGCGCATGAAGCTCCTCTTGCTGTGAATTTGATAATCAGTACCAGCGATATACTGATCTTATGGGGGCATGCTTACCGCCAGAATGGCTTTCAACGCCCCGATTACAAAATCACGGTCTGCCTGGTCAGTGAAGCGGTAGCCATCAACATTTTCAGTGACGTTTGTGAGGAGTTCGTGGAAGAAAGCTACTTCGAAGAGTTCGTTGAAAGCGATCAATTTGAGGTTGGTGATGCCTTTGTTACTGATGACAGCTGGGGGTGGAGCATTTGGGAGTGTTCCCCGAGCGGCTTGTTCAATCAGCGACAGCTCGCTTGGACTTGGTTTTGGCAGGCCATCGGGGAGTTCGCGTTGGATTGCCCGTGGGCCCTTTGCCGGAGCTGCAAAGACCGACGAAGCTACTTCAAGTAGCGCCACGGCGGGGAGTAAAAGATGCATGATGATAGTGCAGAGAACGGGGGCGATGAACAGTAAGACTCAATGAGGGATACTCTGTATGGGATGTTCCGACTGTGAATAATGGGTAGCTCGAAGAGTCAGTGTGCAAAGCGAACTCCAGAAGTGGACGGATTCTTCAGACCAGACCAGGAAGGGGCGTCGCGGGAAAGAGCATCTTGAGCCCGTGAGGCATGGTCAGAGTCAATAAATAGTAATTCATGATGTTTTACAACGGGTCTTGTGCAATGATGAGATAAGTTTAGTTTCAGATCTGTGTAGCCAAACAAACCTCTCTTGTCTTGGTTACTTGCCGAAAACATGGGGTGAGGTGGTGCAGTACCACTTCAAGATCGGAACTTCGGGAAGTTTGGATATACATGATAGGAGCGAGTTATTAATATACTGCATGTTCCCGACTTCACGAACACAATCCCTCTCATACTTTCTAAATAAGATCGGGTCTAGATCATCCAGTCACCGACAGGACTAGATCCACGTCTCGGAATCCGGGGATGATGTGACGACAGATCCAGATGATGCATATCGTCGAATATTTAGCTGTCTCATTGGACAGGCTGTAGAAGTGAACTCTCAAAGTTCAATGTCGCGGTACCTGTCTGATCCACTTTGACCGCCAGCCTTGTGGATGCCCGTAACAACCCTGGCAGGTGATTCCAAAGCCAAGTAATTTGTCGAATATTTGATTTTGTTCCAATGTAAATTCAATTAGGACGATTTACCACATCATGTATGACTAGAAATCAGGTATCTGCATAGACGCTTTGTCAGCGCGAACTGAGGAAGGGACAAACGTGTGACATCCATTGTCATCAATCCAAGTTTTGAATAAATATCATATATACAGCAAAGATGGCGTCTGATACGCAGTACAAGCTCTCACCCGAACAAATCGCCCATTTCATGCAGTTTGGATACGTGCGCGTTCCAGAACGCTTTTCCCGCGACAAGGCAGCCGCGTGGACCGCCGATGTGTGGACAAGACTCGGCATGTCCTCAACAGACAAAACAACATGGGGATCCGAATGTACTCATATGCCCCAGCACAAAGAAGAACCCGTGAAGGCATTCGCGCCCAAAGCATGGACTGCCATCTGCGAGCTGCTTGGTGGCGAGAGTCGTATCGCCGAGGATTCAGCAACTTGGAACGACGCATTCATTATGAATCTTGGCACACCCGAAATGGAAGGAGCATGGCCTCACCCATCCAAGTTGCAGGGATGGCATGTGGATGGGGACTTTTTTGTTCATTTTCTCGATTCGCCAGAGCAGGGATTGCTGGTCATTCCCCTGTTCAATGATATTCAGGAGCATGGGGGTGGGACGATGATTTGTGCTGATTCTGTGAAGCATATGGCTCGCTTTTTGGTAAGATGTTTGTATCCACATGGGAAGTCGTCACTGACTATTGCTGGAAGTATGACAATCCTCGGGGCGTGTCTCCATATATGGTTCCCCGTGGGTGGAAGTTCCGGACACCAAGGGGCGATTTCTACGACAAGATTATGGAAAATTGTCATGATTTCCATGAGATGTCTGGCAATGTGGGAGACGTGATCCTGCTTCATTCATTGATGGTATACTCGCAGTCTGTCAATAGTTTGAGAATCCCGCGGATCATCACCAATCCGCCAGTATCGCTGAATGAGCCGTTTAATTTTGACCGCAAGGATCCCAGTCAGTACAGTGTGGTGGAGAGGAAGACACTTCAAGATCTTGGGAAGGATCGGTTGCGAGGCTGGAAGATCAAGGGTGGTCGGGAGCTTGTGGTTCCTGAGCGGCTGAAGGAACAGGAGAAAATGAAGAAACAAGAACTTGAAAGACTCAACGGTTGACATTAATCATGCTGTTTTGTCGATGGATGAGTTATTATTATGCCTGACATGCTGGCATGCCCTGTACTTTATTACTACCTCGCGTACGCGATGCCACAGAATACAAGAGTTCATGACAAACTGACGTTCAAAATGGGTGTTCAATTGAACCCGGATCACTTCAATTATGTTCATGACAATCATCCAGGCCTATTGTCTCTTCCACAAAAATATAGACGAGATGCCACCCAAAGCAGAGATCCCTGCAATGACCTCCCAGACAACCTGCAAGGCTGACGCAGAGACATCCTTGATGATATCCCTTTCACCATCTGACATTTGAGTCTGATCCACCAAAATTATGTACCCCCTTGCCGTGTTGATCAGATCCCGCTCCAGTCCAAGACTCTGCAGCTCATTGCCAAAGCAAGTCAAGAAAAGGATGCCTCCAATAGGAACGGCAACCGCCATACCCCATGCTCGCATAAGGAGAGAAATGGCAATAGGCTTCGTGGAGAGTGCCGCTTCCTCATTCTTGGGTATACTCTGGACGCGAATATTGTAACTGGAAATTAAAAGGCCGTGACCCAGTCCTGCTGTCAAGAAGAGAATCACCCATCCAACTGTAGGTGTGATGCTGTCAAGGAGGATTGAGCAGCCAGCTGCTAGAGTCGTCAGGATCCATCCTCCAGTAATCATCCATTTCGAGCACTTCGCCTCATTCGCGAGTAGAATGCCAACTACTGCAGCGGGTGTGACTGCGAATCCAGTGATGGCGAAGAGTGCGACACCAGACAGTGTCGCGGAAAAGTATCGCGTACAGAGAAAATAAAAGGTGAAGAACTGCAACTGACAGAATATCTGCAAGAAAGCATTAGCGAGAACTATGAAAACAGAACATATTGGACTCACAACAAAGCCATGGCAGAGGCATCCAATGTATGCCATGATAGTGGGCAAATCTCGGAACACACGCCTGCCAAACTGCGGATGTGCTGCATACTTAGACTCGTAGAAAATAAGTACCGGCATCACGAGAATCCCGATCCCGATTGGAACCAGTGCTTGCCACTGATCCCACCCATATGAGACACCGCCCCAGCTGACACCAACAAGGATGGCAGCCAAGCCAAACGAAGCCATCGCACCACCAGTCCAGTCCAGAACGCGCCATCTCCGCAGCGGAATATTTTTGGACACGCGCAGATCCATAGCAAATGGAATCGCAAGAAGACCCAGCGCACAAAAGATGAAGTTGAAATAGAAAGCCCATGTCCAACTTGTATAATCCATGAACAAACCGCCAATAATTGGACCGAGTATGAACCCGATCAGACGGGTGAGGAGAATGTAGCATGAATACCGCGAATGTATTGACTTTGGCGCTGATTCCTCCATAACAACGAAACATAGACCTAGGGAACCGCCTCCGCCTATGCCTTGCAGTAATCGACCGACCACAATCTCGATCAGACACATCGAGCCACTGCATATCCCGGTTCCGATTGTGGTACATACCGCCGCGACGATCCAGACGGGTCCGAGACTGAATACATCGCACATCATCGTGAAGAACAGTTGACTCGTTGCGCTCGCGACAAGATAGATTGTGTTAACCCAAAGTGTGCTGACAAGTGGTGTATTGAACGCATTCGCTAAGTCCTTTGATCTGTTAGCTCCAGTCTATGTATTCCCGAGATTCAAACGCACTGGCAACACAGTGATCATAACCGTGGAATCAAAAGCATCCATCATAGCCAAGATAACAATGCAAATAAAAAGCAACCAATCCCGAACCCCGAATCGCCATTGCTGTTCCTCGGGCAGTGACTCAGACTCAAACAGCTGAAGCGTACTCTCCTGTGCCGGGTTATACGAATGGTCAACACTCGAACACCGATCGAGTGTTGTCTTGGACTCCACGTCGAAACTTCCCCGTGATATCATCGGCCGTCCCATTTGAGATATCGTGTCGTTCGTCTCGGATCCCGATCTGATATAGTCGTAATCCGTGTATCGACATCTGTGCTCGAGGCAGCTCGGATCACGAAAACGTTTCATGTCTGGGCTTTGGAGGCCATCTTCTATACGGGGCGTCCATTCTAAGAGCTCCGGTGGGGATAACTAGGAAGGATGAAGGGATCATAGATGCCTCGGACCTTGGAAAGGGGTCCGTGCTGGGCATTCTTGAGGGTGAAGGGATATTTTCAAGGGGGCATGATGATTGTGGGAAACAAGGGATGATAAACAGTGATATCCCCACGTTTATTGGATTAAGCTCAGATGTTTCCAAAATTCCGAGATATGTAACGTCTTTCGAGGTTACTTTTGCGTAACTTTATTTGGCAATATGTCAGGTGTTCCGAATTTGAGATGATTAATCAGGGAAGATCGGAATCAGTAAGTCTTCGCTTGGCTTGGGTAGCTTCTGGGTGGATTTTTGTCAGTGATTTTCTTGTAGGGATCTTTGAAAGGAGACAAGTTCAAGGGAGACAACGGGGCTGTCGGATATATCCCTACAAAGAAGGGGAACACTACGTTGTAGTCTCCAGAGCTATTGTGGGGAAAGAAGCTCCTTTACATAACCTGCGATTTTGAGCCTCTAGGGCTATGATATACCTAGGCGATCCCTTGACTAGACTGGAATGTAGTGACGTAGGCAAAAGTGCTGTCGACAGGATCAGCCAAATTGCGTGAGACTTGATTAATGTGTCATATAGACAGTACATGAATAATGCTGGAGATGTAATACCTGCTTAATGCTTTTCAGGAAGGCATTGTGAAGATAAATATAGAATCTTTGCGACCGTTTAGGAATTCTTCACACGCACCACTTGGATGTTTCTGCAACCAAAATCCTGGTGGGTTAAGTAACAGATCACAAATGTTATAATTAGACGTTCTTTTCGGGCTTGAAATCGGGAATAAACAAACAAGCATTCGGGCTCGGATTGAGAACAACGGTCGGCCACTCGCTTAGTTTTTAAAAATAACCTGCATTTGGTGGCCAGTCACATTCAGGGTCATGATATAAATAATAACGCCACCCGTAGATCAAGTCCTTAATCTCAGTTTTTGGAGAGTATTCGTGTAAATGTAATGTTTGCTTTCCAGGCCACAGTTGATCTCCGGACCAATGGGCAGATTTCAGCCTCACAAACTTATGACCTATGCATCCCTTTAGTCACTCTTCATTCCGCCGGGAGGATTTTAAGCTTGAATATCAAATTTTGTGCAGTCTCTTGGCTAAACCCCTAATTTCCATGCCACTTTAATTCGGAAAACCCGGGTTCCACGGCGTTGGAACTTCTGGCCGGGGTCGCAAAACTCTCCTTTTTCAAACTAGTAGTCGAGCAGTTAAAGTAAGATTGACTCGCCATCGTCAGGATTTACCACCAATGAACAGCGCGGGAAAGGAATCCTTAATGGGTCTCACTGACGTCGTGGATCTGACTGCATTTCCCCTATCTGGCGAAAAGTGGTTCAAGAGGAAAACATCGGTTCCCGGCGGGATTGGACCACATCGACGGGATTCATCACGGTAAGTCTCGGCCGGTTAGTCCCGCCAACAGATTGGGGGTTTTCACCTCCCAAATCTGTAGAAAATCCTGGTTTCCTTAGCGCCGCCGGACGTATTCCGACATGACCAGTAATATGGCCCCCAGTTTCTGCGGACACTGATTCGACTAGTGACCCACTAGGTCACGCCCCCATACTTGTAAGCGCCCTCAAGTGCTTATCACTAAGATGTTAGCGAGTTATTCTGGAATCTCACGGAAGATAATAGTGCGGAAAGTAAACATTGGGACCAAATAGATGGAATTGTGGCTGTTGGGGCTGATATGGATTACGACTTTGGGTGGCATGATATCAATTGGTGACTGGTCAAAGTCTGAAGATTACCTTTCTGGAAGATGAAACGAAACGCTAAAATGGGGCGAGAATGAATCAATGGGAATTCTACTATAAGCTTTTAACTTTCGACATCAACAGCACACACGTGGTTTAAGCTGCGCCGGGGTAAATCTTAGATGGGGGCGTTTTCCTGAGTCTTGGCGCTTACACTCGTAATACTAAAGACCTGATGACCGATCTCACTGGATGGAATGTCTTTGTTTCTCATTTTGATGACGCGGGAATATGCAATCTGACAAAAAAACTCGTCGAAAGCCGATTAAATCGTGTTTGGAATGTAATCGCAGAAAGCAAAAGGTGCAAATGTTTTGCTAGTCACATGTCCCACAAAAGACAAACTGACCCTTCGTCTTCTCTAGTGTAACCGCGAGACACCATGCAATCATTGTATAACTCGCGGGGTAGAATACCTATGTGTTTATTCTAATCTCCCCCCGGTCAGAGATGCCGCCAAAGGCCGTCGTGCTTACCATGCACCACGATCGAATTCGGCATTCGAGGGGAGTGAGGAACGAGACACATCGACTACCATGTCATCTCATGAATCAGACTCAAATGATACGGGCTTAGGAGCTTTGGAGGCTCGGGGATATTCATCGCCACAGATGAATGCTTTCCTTTCACCGACTCTTTATACTCTGTTCGTCAACTACACAACAACCCTTCAACCTAGACATCTCTCAGTCCTCCTAACCATTTCGATGTGATAGAAGCTCACCTTCATTATCCAGGGATAGTCTCATCCCCTCGCCTGGCCTTTCGCCATCACACCGTCGCAGATTATGGCCAGATCGGCCCGTGGTGGATTTCCTTATTGGCATGTTCCTTCAAGAGATCAACCGAGTCCACGAGATGATCCACCCACCATCTTTCCAAAGCAACTACAACGCGTGGTGGACTAAACAGGACCAAGGCAGTTTGTCAGGCGAGACAAATATCTCCGATGAAGATTTGAATTTCGGATTGCTGGTGATTCGAATTTGCCTGATCAGCGTCCAATGCCTTCCACATTCAAAGTTCCCCACCGACGGAATATTGAAGACGTCCCCACATAACTTTGAACAATGGCTCTATTCATTAGCCGACGAGATTGACAAATCATTGCAGTCTAAGAGACCCTCTCTGGTGACCGTACAACATCGCTTTTACCACGTTTGTTATCTGAAGGCTCATGCTAGGATCCGAGAATGCTGGTCTATTCTCAGCGCGACAGTGAAGGATGCACATGAGATTGGATTACATCTGAAAGATCCAGGTATCCCACTCACAGAGTTGGAGATGGAAATCCGCAGACGAACTTTTTGGACCCTATACATATGGGACCGGTAGGTGTATCCTACTAATATCCCCTCAAACCCTCAACTAAACTATATTGTAGGTTCATGTCTGCCTTTTTCGGACATTGGCCACTCATCCCCGAAGGATATTTCGATATCGAACCTCCGCAAGACAACCTCCAAGCTCTCACAATAACTCCCTACGTCCTTACCCCATTCACCGATCGGGTATTCGTCATGAAACTAGCTCGGTTCGTATCAGCATTCATGAGCCCTCCGTCCTGGCAACAGGACCGCGTCGATTCCGTTGTGGTCGCAGACTTCTCACAACGGTTCCAACAAGTCATCATCGATCAGCTACCCCACGCATTTTGGTTAGAGAATCCCGACACAACATGGGATTCTGTTGACTCCGCCCTACCCGGCAAGAGGGAGACGCTCCGCGTCTGTATATGGCTTACAAAAACCGCTCTCTACAAGGCCTTTGCCGACCCATGCGGCAGTCTGCAGCAGCAGAAGAGTCCCGTATTGAAGCATGGAAGCGATCTACTTGCGCTCGCTCATCGCCGAACTTTGATGGATACAACGTGCAAGACCATCTCATCGATTGGTAGCTTATACATGCTTATTGGGGATGAAGAAGCAGGTTCCACAGAGAAATTATTCTTCCTTCCTGTATGCCTAGTTGAAGCACTCGCAAACCTGGGTGTATGTTTACTGTCCATCCAGGCGGATGAGAGAGTTCTCACTGTAGATGGTATTCAGTCCGTTACGGACCCTGATCTACCACGAAACTACTTAGCATTCTTTGAGGGATATGGTTTGCTTTGTCGATACAGTTCTCGACATGCGATCGCGAGAAAGGGCGCAAATGTGCTTAAGGGTCTTCATGATACATTGCGTGCTTCGATCCCGGCCACTGATATACTCGATACCCATGGTGGAGGGACGCTGGGCACGGGGCCTCTTGTGGCGGGACCGGGATACGGAGCGGGCCGGTTTCAGCTGGAACACGCATTGGTTTCACTGCATAGTCAAGGGGGAGAAGGTGATGCAGGAGGTCGAGCGCGTACTTTCATACCACTACCTGAATGGTTACCGTCATTCATGGCATCCCCGGGTCGAGCGTGGTTGTTTCATGATGATGCGGCATTTGGGGATTTGATGGCATAGATGGATGTAGATTAGGAGAGATTTTGATTAGACGTATTATGTACATTATGACGATTCATGGGATGGCTGGTCCAGACTGATCTCAGGCTTCATTGGAATATCGGAATAAGTTGAAAATTGAAATATTAAAGCCTTTTCAACCAACTAGACTTACAATGGTACACTACCATTAGGTAAAACTATTGACTTGTAGTACATGCATGCGACTCGGAACTAAGACTTATACGGAAGGTCGTATCTAGGCCTGAAGAATTGAAATATCGCTCCGATATGTATGACGCTCATGTGTGGGTATACTGTAGGGTATGATGAGAAGCTCCGAGACTCCGGCTAGCCTTAAACCGGAATACGTCCGAACTATTGCCCCTCGCGTATATGTGCCTGTATGGCGACTATCCACCTACATTTCTATATTTACGAAGCTTACGGCGATTAGTAGAGTCCTATCGCCACAACTATGGAGTGTTTCGCATCTACTCTCCTTCCCTAATGAGGGTATCCTGCCAACGGTTTGGCCCGCGGTCAATGCAGGTCAGGTGTCGATCAGTTACCGTTCCTGGATGGACACACAGTGCCAGGATTCCCTTGGCTCACATCACCGGGACCTTATTTCCCGTTCGAATGCTCGAATTTACTTGGTTTTCAGCTCCAGGAACCGAGCCCTAGACCGTATATGGTTTAGATTGAAAGGGGGCCAACTCCCGTCTACCATGGGAATCACCGCCTCAGGCAGCATTCTTGGAAGTCATCACGAAAAACTCAAAAAGAAGTCAAAGCTTGACGTTTCAATCTTCATAGGTTATAGATAAGAATTGATGTATGTCTATAAAGACGTAGAATAAAGTTGGGCGCATGAATCATGAGACGAAGCGGCTGGTTGCAGCCGTTACTCTGTGCGACCGTCATCGACGTCATTTGAGGAGAAAAAAAAAGAGAAAAATAGAAAAAATCGCCAAGATACCACTGACAGCTGGATCTTCATTCTTTGAATCTATCTTTCCCCTCAAATATCCATCAGCCTTAAATATTCATGTCTTCCATCTTTGGGGGAGGTTAGCAAGCACAGTCCACCTAACCCCCTGGCGCGAACCCGAGAGGGTCTAGACGATCCCGCGTCCCCGTGAAAATCCCTCCAAACATTGAATCCCTGAATTTCCGCCATTCATGCTACCTGCATTCTCAATCCCATAATCACCACGGCGTGGACCGGCAAGCTCAAAGATGCGCCCCGGGTTGGATAAACCGGGCGCGCTTCCACTCCTGGCCCTGATCATCTTCTCCCTACTCACGCTGGTGCCTTCACTGCCGAGTATTTACAGCTTGAAGCTTGCCGACTTCACACACTATATCAGCAAAGCACGTAAGTGCATTTGATTCAAAGCGACGGGGAATTACTCCAGGCTAATGAGTTTTGCTTTCTAGAGGTTCCTCTCATCCAGGAAAAAGTCGCCGAGCTTTCTTCAGACTCACCTGATCGCACACCATGGGTCCTGGCTGCACCATCTCGACCGCGTCTAAACCGTTTTTCACGGCCTGCGCGACTTGCCAACGGTGCGCCGACCATCTCTAGCGAGACACCGTCCGTCGAAAATAGAAGTCGCTCTTCCTACCCGGCTGAATCTACATTCCTCTTCAGCAGGAGGGCCCGTGCCTTTCGCACATACTTCATTCAACAACTAGACGACATTCAATTCCTCACACCCTTTTCCACCCGCAGCGTGTCAACCGGGGCTATCCCCGACCCAACTCTTACACCTAATCTCGCCCCTCTCCCGGCCTCAATCGACGACTCAAAGCCCACCGCCACGCCATTGCATAATGAATCCATCTCTACGCCCCTCGCGGACCCGAGTCCGCAGCTTCCATTCACCGATATGTGGCAGCAGGCCTGCCAGGTGGCCAGTGGCCTTTGGGAGCTTGCCAATGAACCTCCGAGTCCTAAATTTCAACGCTTGATCCGGTGGGGTACTAGCTATGCTCAATCCGCCTTCTCTTCCTCCAAACCCGTCGACACACCTACACCCTTAATCCTCCCTCAAAACGACACACAACCCGAAGTTGAAGAATGCACTTGCATGTCAGCGCTGAACAAAACTCTCCCTCCTTCAAATGAACAGTCTACCGACGCTGCTGGCCGGCATTCATCTGAGCTCCAGGGCAGCTGTATGGCAGTGGTGATCGGCCTGGTAGCCGGGATAATGTGGTTTTAAGCTACATATTCATGTTTATAATTCATGGTGACTGAGTTCTGAGGACGGATGCACTCCGGGCTATCTACATACTTTGACTACCCTTTTTTACTTCTTGGCATTGCTCGACCACCCATGGTATTCGGAGTTTTTGCCATGCCCTTTATGTGTCTTGATGTCTGCAACGAGGTTTTCTTTTTTCTCATCTCTCCTGGGCTGGCATGCACGGATGGGACTGACGGACGGCTCTGGTTTAGCGTCCTATGGATATTACTAATGAAATTTCCTGTCATTTGGTTGGTTTGGTTTGGTGTACGTAGACATAGATATCCATACAATGATGATCTGAACATTTGAAATTGATACGTACATTTTGTGCACTATTCTACGTCCAGTAGCTCTCACGTTTCTGGAAATCCATTAGGATTCAGGTTTAGCTTGGTTCAAGCATTTTCGAAAATGACTATGTTGTTGATTACCTTGTACTTTCGAATCAAAGGATCTCAAAGATCAGAAAGAAGCACGTCGGTCTAGGGGTCTAGGTGGAAATAAAATCCGAGAGCTAACGATTCGCTAAGAATTCAAGAAGGAATGAAGTTCTTTGACTGCAAAAAAAAAAAAAAATTCATATTCTATCCATCTCCTCAAAAGATTCCCTTGTACCGAACGCCCCATAGATTCAACCAATATACCCAAGAAAAATTTCGCAAAATTATAACAAAAGAAATAAAAAAACGAATGACAATGTTCCAATCCAACCTTACCTCTTCATTGAAGCAGGCTCATACTCAGTCAATGGCACATTTTCCGCCATCATATCCGGCGTATTCAGCCTTTCAAAATCCGTCTTCCCAAGCCTCCTCGCCTTTTTAATCAGCTGACCAGGATGATAGACAGCCAAAACAAAGAGCGAAACAAACATCATAAACGCATCGAACACATAGATATACACCTCACTGGTGTTAACGGGAGCCGTCGAACTAGCCGCAAACTGAATAGTCCGAACCAGATTCCGAATCATAATAGCAACACAAGCAACATAAATTGCCCACATATACCTCGCCCAGTGAAGGTCGGAGTTATTCGTCAACATTGGAGGCGGATAAGTCAACAGTCTGCGATGGAACTTCGCAGCAACCAAGATAAACAAACCAAAGACGACAAGCGAGAAGATTAGACCCGCTAATACGACTTTCTTGCCTATATTCATAATTTCCGCTGAGCCTGTTACTTGTACACCTGCTCCACCAATCTGTGTCAAAAAACAGAGGACATCGTTCAAGACGAAGATGAGAGTAAGGCGTTTTGGTCGGATGCTGGATAGATGTTCTGCATCAAAAGATCGAATTATACGACCGAGGACCATATAGACTGTTGCAGATATGAGGGGTGGAGCGCAGAGAATGAGCATTTCTTGTAGTGCCCATGCCCCGATATCTCTTCTGGACTGGTGCGACCATGCTCGTCCGTAGTAGCCGAATGCTTCACCTATTTCTCTTGTTAGACTGGAGTCTCGGGACATTCAGACTTGAGGTAGGGAATGTTCTTACAAATACCGCCTATTACGAGGGGAATAAAGTATGCAGCGCGAAAGGGGATAGTCAAGATTATGTGCACAATTGTCGAGATGCCGAATATGGCGACGAAGGCGTATCCAGCTGTTGCTGATGGCGTGTATGGGTAGAAGTCGACATAAGGGCTTGACCCGTTTACACCGGGGTGGAAGACGATATCCATTCCTGTGCGTTGGATCTGGAGTTTGGATAGTATGGTATGGGATTTCTGGATTGAGAATACGAGCAATTGGTTCCTATTTATGAGAGAAGAATAGGCGCTTGTTTGACGATCTATTTCTGTGTGCTATATCGGGAAATTTTTGTACGAGTACGGGTGGGGAACTGTGGGGCTTTGACGATAACCTCATGCTGGGCTTTTTTTCCAGTGGGTCATATCTATATTGATTGAATATTCCATGGTCTAGGGAGAACAAAAGGATATTTATGGTAATGTTAAATATGGTACAACGGCATGTGCTCCACTGCTAAAATTTCGATCTTCCATGTGCTCTATACTTCACTCCTTTCTTCGTCAATGGAAAAGATGACGTTGCATAGAATTTGATTTTTAAATATTCAAACGCCTGCAATGGTATTAAGCCTGACAGGATTTTCGCAAAGGCCATTCTATCCAAGGCCCATAGTCCAAATGTAATGAGCCTGATATTCCCGTCATTACATGTTCAGACCAACCTTCCATGAACCACGCCGACTCCATATATTTCAAGAGAACCGCCCAGTGCGCAAGTACCACTAGAGCTCGAGGCTCTTTCTGTTCCAAAAGATGCACAAACTCCTCAGGTCGGCGATAAAGCCAACCAATCACCAAATCCATCAATGATACGCCATTCTTCCCCCCAGATACCCTCTCATACACCTCATCCATAATATTGAACAAGTCTTGTACAGCGGATATGCCCATCTCCCTCTCGTGCAGATCCGAGACTTCTTCTTCAATGAGCAGCTGCACCGACTGAAGATGGACCCTGTGTTCGTGACGCTCACTGAGCATGGCAGGTGTGACTTTGTATGAAGTCTTATCGCCCTTTGGTTCAAGGAGTCCACTGAATACTTTCGCATGGTAGGTTTGTACCACAACCTTCACTCCATTCATGAGGACTAGCCATTCTGATGGGCCGCTCTCACTGAAGATGAGATACTCGCCTGGTCTCGGACCTCTCGCGAAATAAATGAAACAGATCAGAGCAGCTGCTATATAGATCTTCTGGCAGTTGTCTTCATTGAGTTGGGAGAGGACGGCTGTGACTGAGCGAACACCAAAGTTGAATCGATTGTCTGCTTTTTCGATGTATTGTTCTCGTAGTTCTGGCTTTTCGTATGCCAAGTGGAGTGCTGATAATGCGAGTATCAGGTGCAGAATGGATGGAAATTCAATACCCCATTCGGGGAGATGCTTTTGCCACACGTCCTGTGTATCATCACCTTCCTCTCGCATCATTTTATATGTTGAGATGGTGAAGTGATGGAAAAGCTGTAAATCAACTAGCGAGATAGTCTTGGTAGATCGATCTAGCGAGAGTTCGCATTGGGTCGCCTTAGAATGTGTTGGAGGCGGCTGCGGCTGCGTTGCTTGCTGGTCTTTCGGCCTGGCGAGTTTGAAAGTCTGTTTCAGTTCCCCTGTTGAATAACGATAGGGTCGGTATCTAAATGCTTGGGGCCGTGCTTCAGGAATCGATGTCTCTTCAGGCGAAAGTGTCGTAGACGATTCATTGCCGGTGAATGAACATTCCACGTCGTGGTTAATACAATTGAGGCATGATGGCCGTTTCTCATCGCACTTTAAATGATCGTTCAGTTGGTCATCTTTCACTCCAAACAAGATATGCCATCGTCCACGTGGGAAACATAATAGGGAACGAAGGATGTCGCGCATGATAAAGGAGATGATGAGAGCAAGTCGCAATATTTTGTAGAATCAAGGTGCTGGAGAAGGCTTTGGAGATGGATGTCGCACAAATACTTACTTTAATCCGCCGCTTCTTACAGTTGGCGCAGCCTCCCCGCGACTTCTGATGGCTACGCCGGGATCGAACTTGCTTTCGATCCATTTTCTTGCGTCAGAGAAGATGGGTCGTATTCGTTCCCTTTATGCCATTCTCGGCCGCAAGATAAGCACCGAGGCGTGGGACACCTGGTTCAAAGTCCCTGAAATTAGTTAGGTACTGGAAATTAGGTGGTGGATACCACAATCATGATTGGCTCCACGAAACGATCTATTTCGGTTGCAGACGTCGTAGGGACGAGATACGGATACGCTGAGATTTCCAGTTTTGGGCTAAACATGCTTACATAATACATTATCATTGTCGGAAATTTCCAAAAGCGGTAATCTCTTCGTATCAGTATCGCGGCCTCAGTTGCGTGGCCTGGGGTACGTATTCATCGGGCATTTAAGCGCCTGATCTACAATTTATCCTACCCATGGAACCAAATAAAAATCACCATCAAAAAGAATAGGAAGGTCGGTTTTTGTGATGGTCCAAGCATGGTTTGATATTTCATCGCTACTGAATCACAGATACGATCTAAGTCTTAGAGCCTCATCGTCTCCATAAAATGAACCGCACCATCCCTAGTGGACAGTAGAGCATCATACCGAGAGCATAACCCCACCGCGTCGACCTGTTGTCCTCTCTCCGTTTCAAGGATCCGTACTTCAGCCCACCTAGCCTAATCAATCTGCTTCGCCAAATCCTTCCGCATAGCAGTCCGCGGTGATCGATAAATACAGTACTCTGATTTGGATAAGCAACATGGCCAATCATCGCCGACCCTGTTTTAGCTATTAGCTTACAAGCCCCTTGCTTAATGGCATCTGCCAAATTTTCTGCGGTAAGACTTTTGTATGAAATCGGCTTCAGATCAGCACCTGCGGTTGCAATCATACTACCCCAGAATGGTTGGCTGTCACCCATTAGCAATTAGTTTAATGATTGTCTTTTGAGGTAAAAGTTCGTGACACTTACTCTCCAAAAAAGGGAATGATGGTGATGGGTTTGCTATTTCTCAGACCACGGGCAGTGTTTCCTGCTCCTCCGTGATGGACGACAGTGGCCACATGCTGGAAAAGCCACTCATGTGGACAATCACCAGTATAATAGATGCTAAGGCTCTCATATCCTTGCATATCAGACCACTCTTAGAGATGATAGCTCGTATCCCGGTCCGCTCGATAGCATTGAGCAAGACGCTCAAAGTTTCTTCCACATTGTCCAGGACAATATTCCAAATTCGATGTATATTGGCCGCGGACCAAATTGGAGGAATGTTTCCAGCTCGGTTGGTGGTTCATACGCCAGATGTTCACGGAAGAAGAACCCACATACATCTGCCGCGTCAGTATCTGCTTTATACATATTACTCTAGCTCTATCCTTCTTTTTATCTAAACCACGATACATTAGATGAGGACAGATACTACTATTACCTTGAATATTTAGTGGCTTTATGTTTTTCATCAACTCTGCATTACCATCGTATAAAGGAGCGGAGGACAACCTTGGAAGTGAGCAGTGCAGACTGAGATGTCATGAGTCTTGACGCTACAAATACTGTGTACCGAAGAGAGAAAATGGAAAGTTATGAAATGTAAAGCTAATTGTCATTCAATAGGATCATAAGGCAGTCTTCATAAGGTAAATCGATACATATAGTGACGTATCACTAGGTTTTATCCACAATAAAATACTTAAAGACGAGCAGGGCGACTGAAGGGAGCAGCGTACGCCAAGTCGAAGCGGTCCAAGTTCATAACCTTATCCCAGGCAGCAACGAAGTCGCGCACGAACTGTGACTGACCATCGTGGCTACCGTAAAGCTCAGAAAGCGCACGCAGCTCAGCGTGGTGACCGAAAATAAGATCAACACGAGTAGCGTTCCACTTCTTAGCACCAGACTTGCGGTCGAAGCCCTCGAAGGTCTCGTTATCAGAGCCAGTAGGCTTCCACTCGGTGTTCATGTCGAGCAGGTTAACGAAGAAATCGTTGGTCAGCTGGCCAGGGCGCTGGGTGAGGACACCGGCGTTGGAGCGGTCCCAGTTGCCGTTGAGGACACGCAGACCACCAACGAGGACTGTCAATTCAGGAGCGGAAAGAGTAAGGAGCTGAGCGCGGTCAACGAGCATCTGCTCAGTGCGCACACGGCCAGTCGAGCGGCCGTAGTTTCGGAAACCGTCAGCGAATGGCTCGAGGAAGCCGAAGGAGTCGACATCGGTCTGCTCTTGGGTGGCGTCTGTGCGGCCGGGAGTGAAGGGGACGGGGATACCGGCGGCCTTCTCCAGAGCGGCGGAACCGGCCAGAACAATGAGGTCGGCCAGCGACACACGCTTGTTGCCCGTCTGGGAGCTGTTGTAGCGGCGCTGAATGTCTTCCAGGGCCTTCAGGACCTCCTGCAACTGGGCGGGGTTGTTGATCTCCCACTTGTTCTGGGGAGCGAGGCGAATGCGGGCACCATTGGCTCCGCCACGCTTGTCACCACCACGGAATGTGGAGGCTGAGGCCCAAGCGGTGGAGATGAACTTGGTGTGGTCGACGCCAGAGTTCAAAATCTCGCGCTTCAGCTCGGCAACGTCCTCGACATCAATGAGTGGGTGGTTCACGGCAGGAACGGGATCCTCCCAGAGGAGAGTCTCCTGGGGAACCTCGGGTCCGAGCCAGCGGACACGGGGACCCATGTCACGGTGGAGCAGCTTGAACCAAGCCCTGGCGAAGGCATCGGCGAGCTGGTCAGGGTTGGCAAGGAAGCGGCGCGAGATCTTCTCGTACTCAGGATCGTAGCGGAGAGACAGGTCAGTGGTGAGCATGCGAGGCTTCTGCTTCTTGTTGGGGTCGAAAGCGTGGGGGATGATGTCGTCGGCGTTCTTGGCGGTCCACTGGTTGGCACCGGCAGGGGACTTAGTGAGCTCCCACTCGTACTTGAAGAGGTACTCGAGGAACTGATTGCTCCACTTGGTAGGAGTCTTGGTCCAGGTAACCTCCAGGCCGGAGGTAATAGCGTCAGCACCCTTTCCGGAGCCGTGCTTGTTGGACCAGCCAAGACCCTGCTGGTGGATACCGGCAGCCTCAGGCTCCTCGCCAACATTGTCAGCAGGAGCAGCTCCGTGGGTCTTACCAAAGGTGTGGCCACCAGCAATCAGAGCCACAGTCTCCTCGTCGTTCATGGCCATGCGGCCGAAGGTAATGCGGATATCCCGAGCGGCAGCAACGGGGTCGGGGTTGGCGTCGGGTCCCTCAGGGTTAACGTAAATCAAACCCATGACGACGGCTGCCAAGGGGTTCTCGAGATCACGAGTGCGAATGTCACTCTGCTTCTTCTTGTCTGCCTCGGACTCCTCCTTGTAGCGGACGTCGTTGGTGAACCACACGGTCTCACCACCCCAGTAAACAGACTCGTCGGCCTCCCAGACATCGGGGCGACCACCAGCGAAGCCGAAGGTCTTCAGACCCATGGACTCCAAAGCGACATTGCCGGTAAGGAGCAGCAAGTCAGCCCAAGAGATCTTGTTGCCGTATTTCTGCTTGATGGGCCACAACAGGCGGCGAGCCTTGTCCAAACTGACGTTGTCGGGCCAGCTGTTAAGTGGGGCAAATCTCTGCTGACCTTGACCACCACCGCCACGGCCGTCAAACACTCGGTAAGTACCGGCACTGTGCCACGCCATCCGAATAAACAAACCACCGTAGTGGCCAAAGTCGGCAGGCCAGAAGTCCTGGGAGTCGGTCATAAGGTCGTTGAGATCCTTCTTCAATGCATAGTAGTCCAAGCTCTTGAATGCCTGAGCGTAGTCGAAGTCCTTGCCCATTGGGTTGGTGGACTCGGTGTGCTGACGCAGGACATTAAGCTTGAGGCCCTCGGGCCACCAGTCGTGATTTCTAGTGCCGCCGCCAGCAACATTGGCCGGCTTATGAACAGGACATTCACCCATGTTTGCGATATGAAACAATGGTAGAAGGGAATATGGGTATCAAGAGAGGGGATGGAAAAGAAAGTCAAAAAAAATCGCCGAAGGAGGGCACCCCGCACTTCTTAAGAAACGAATGGCGGAAAACACATTAGAAGCTCCTCGGGAAGAGTGTTTGTCATCTGGTTGGCGGAGAAGTTCTGGGCCAACGCTGATTCCTAAGCTACAGCGTTCTATTGGGCCAGGCCGCCGGGCTTGTTAATGTCCTGTGGGGGTGGACTCAATGTTCATGCGGGGAAGAAAACTACGAATCAGCGGCGAACCCCGGTTTGTTTTCTTACTAACTTGGCCACTTGTGTACGACTAAGCCTCAAAGTCGAGACTTTTGGCTCCGATTTTCCGTTCGATTCCGAACTCATCTCGACCACATTCCGTAGGCTTACACAATCTCCTGACGTAAAATGGTCGGCATGAATTTATGCATCAAGGCTCGAACATTACGAAATGTTTAAATTCTTATTCCGACAACATCGTATTGTAGATCGTCATGACTACCACCTTCCGAGGTCCACCATGGTACAGCGGAATCAGCTACATCGTATCTGGACATACCTATTTTCCTCTGCGGTACCCGCCGATGGTGGCACCACCGAGGTATGACGTCATATGTTCAGGGGCTCTGAGGCTTCTGTTTGTTTTTAATTCACCGGTTGAACGTTCTAGACAACACCGAAAGTCTTCATTAAATAAAAATGCGTCAGATCTTCTTTTAACACAATGTGTTGAGTCTAGCAGTTGTTTCCGACATTCTTACAGAAAATTTCTCTTGGCGTATATAGCTGACGTAATAGGAAGGTGTATCCGAGCTGGATTACCTGCCCTGCTTGGGCTAGTGGAGTCTCAACAAAACACTTGACCCGTGAATTGTTGAATGGGCCTATTTCTATCAAATAAAGAGATATTATCAGAGATATGATGAAGATTTGGGTTGAGATATATGCGTATATACAGTACTGTGGTCGTCAGGGCGAGGTTTCCAAAATCCCTCTTGGACGCTCTCCTTTTGGCCGTATCACCACATTTGGCCCGCTATAGACCTCAAAGCTTTGAGCAGTTCATCGTCGCCTTTCTGTAACGGTTTTTCCCTCTCGCCTGGAAGACCAAATGGTCTATCGTAGACCTGGCACAGCGTCCCGTGGGCTGGAAGTGTGCCATTTTGGAAATAGGCTCGAACTGCTTTTGCGGTGCAAGGGGACGGTGTCGAAAGTGATAGGTGCTAATATCTCATTATTGACTGTTACTCCGAATCAAAAGGTTCCTGACTTACACCTTCTGAGACTTGTTCGATGAGACCCGACCCAGGAAATCTCTGGCTCATCTTCCTCGCACTTTTCAAAATCACATTAGTTCAATTGTAGTAATTGATATCAAAGTTTCCCAAGGGTTGATACTTATAAAGAGGTGTGGCTGGATCCAAGGTGTTCCCAATGAATAAGATAGGCTCTGTATGGACTCCAATGGGCCCTTAGAAGATCGTAATAATCAGTCTATACTCAAAGGCCAACGTATACCCAGTGTGAAAATATCTTACCAGAGTACACAAATTCTGGTCTAGTCTTCCAAAAAAGGCATAAGAGTCGGTTCTGACTCCACCGATCGCCAAGATAGATACTCTGATGACGCATCTTCTGCCAATATTCCACAAACTCCTCTTTTGTCATATTAGTCTGGTCAAGACCGTCGGTGCAAGATATAGCTCCAACCGTCTCTTCTGCATAATCAGTGGGCTCAAAGAAAAGAGATGAGCTTTGCTTTCGATTAGCAATAATACTCCCGTCTCCATTAGCTAGGTTGTATAAAGCGTGGGCAAGACCCTCAAATTCCTTGAATGGCTGATATAATGAATCTCGGATGATCCTCTGGATGTCATTATAGGTTACAATCTCCGGTCCATGTGCAGAGACCACGGATTTGGTTGTATTTTTGGAGTATGCAACCATAGTGTCAAGCGAGGATTGGATATACTCAGGACCCTTTTCAGAGAACAATGGACATTTAAGGGGCCCTGCTCGATGGCAATAGACGCTGAACCGCTCCATGACAGCATCTGCGTCGTAAATGTCTCTGTCAAAAGTACCTATGCTTTTAATTAGCAGACCGGTTTGAAATGGCAGGCACACTTACCGGCATAGTGAAGATCACTATCAACAACGCCATCAAGCACTAGACGGCCCACAAGGTGTGGATACATGCTTGCAAATGTTTCACCCAAGAGAGTTCCATATGAAAATCCCCAATATTGCAACTTATTTGATTCATGATGGCAATTCCCGGTCCTCTCTTCCGTCCACACCGCAAGGGCTTCGACAATCGCAGCCAAGTCCATGGCAACAACCGGAGTATTCATTTGTGTACTGATCCTTTCATCCCCGACTTTATCGCACACATCAGCAAGGGCTTTTTTTCTCGCCCATGTACGACTAAAGGCCATATTCGAGCTGCCGGGTAAGCCATCGGTGGCGGAAGCTATTTGCCATAAGAGCCTCTGTTGGGAATCGGCAAAGCATGTGAATGGTGGGGTAGTAAAGCCGACACCCCTTGGGTCAAAAGCCACAATGTCGAAAAACTTCTCTGACTTCGATTCGGGGTCATCGGGGCTGAGCGGAGAATCAATGATTGTTTGGATATTTTTGCCATGAAGACGGGCAAGGTTAACGCCCGAGCCTCCTGGACCACCTGAAAAGCCGGATTTAGAATTGCCATGCCATCCGTTATGGAGAATTCGGGCATAATAAATACCTGGGTTGATCAGAACTGAGCCGCCGTAACGCGGGTCGCTCACGTCCACTTTTGCGGGAATCTTGACTAGTGCGACGGCAACTTCTGAGTCAGATGCATTGTTCCAGTTCAATGGGACAGCAAGACGCGCGCATTCAAAGGTATCATAGCAAGGATGAAACTGAAGATTCGCCGATGGAACAATCTGAAGCAATGACTGTCAAATTACACGGCCACTTTCATTATTGTGGGGGTCTTTCATACATGGTCCCATATTGAGTGGTGTGGAGGAAGTTGCGGGGTTTGTGGTGACAGGGAGCTGACGGGAAATTGGCCTGAGATAGCCTCCCATATATGCAGCATGGAGGATGTTGGGAAATACATTCTTCGTGTTTGCAGAGGAGAGGGAGAAATGCTCTACTCCAGGCGAAGAGAAAAGCTGCCATGGAATTACTGTCCTTTGGTTCAGTCCAGCCGTTTCTTGGGTGAGCCTCACTAGCGTGGCTTACCTAAAGTACCTGCGGACTCCGCAGGGGATAGCTTGTGCATGGATATTAGAGCCCAACGAAAGAGCAGGGCGCGAAGCCCCAGAAACGGTTAGACTTCCCTCTATGTGGCTAGGCTATCTACACTCCTGCAGCGCTGACATGCCCTCCTTACTAATACCCAAAAATCAAGCATGGGTGCATCTACTATACTGGGGTCAAATGGAGATTTTCCACTATATAAAACCAACTTGAATCATCATTTCAATAATAAAACCATTAATCTGACACCACGCTCACACATATACGAACTAGCACGTAAGTGTAATCTCGATAAAACATTACCCGATCTCTCGGGTACTGATTATATGGTCTGTATGGTCTGGGAGTATTGTAGCACCTGCATGACCGCGCATTCCTCAGTTGACATTTTTAAATCAATAGTCTTGCCTCGATTACACTCTGTTGATCTTCTGGAACCGACCACACGTCAACAAGCTTTAAAGGAGGCTCCGCCTTGTCCAACAACTCCGCCCACTGTGTCCTAGTGCGTTCCATTCCGTTGCAGAGATAAAACGTCAACGTATCCATATCACATCTAACCAGTGACTCATTGGTATCTGACAGTACTATCTCATCGATGAGAAGAAATTTCAGTGACACAGAACCAGCGGGGCTTTTGCCCTTCAACTAGGCATCTGATTTCCATCACAGAATTGTCAACATAGCAGCTCAAGCTTCTAGATAAATCTATGTATTTGGGTTCTTCAAATAATAGGATGGGACAAAATACACTGTGTGAATTCTCAGGGTCAGGCCATTCCATATTCTCAATCCAGTTTGCAAAGAAGCCATTTATGAAGTTCCTGGTCCACGGATGGTGTATGCTGGCGTAGGTGACGAGATATTTGAAAGTCCAGCGATAGATGATCTAGATAAACTACCAAGGATTACCACCTGGGCCAAATAGACCTTGTAGATGCATCCGACCATGATGCAGCTTAATGTGCGCGAAAAAAAGAACTCTGGAAACACCACCCAGTTTTGGTGGGCGAACTCCGGACTCCGCATCCAATAGCCACTAGGCATTGCTATTAGTCTCTAGCTAGAGAAGTACCGATCAATGGTAGATATTAAAATCAGTTCCGGATAAGATCATCGCTTGAACACTACGTGAAGGACTCGTGTCAAATTCTCAAACCAAAGGATATCTAACGCCGTACTCGATCCATATGCCAATACCCCATCCAAAACTTAGTCGCCATCTTCCTGTCTAGATTTAGTACTAGAACATCCAATAAACAAAGCCGATACCAAACCAGCGCATGCGAGACACAGTGCAAATTTGAAGGCTTGGTGAAGTGCATCCAAATAGCAGTCGTCCCCTTCAACACAAGCAGTGCCCTTCACCAAAGAAGCCTGATTGAGGCGGTAATTGAAAATCGCACTGGCAGCAGACAAGCCCACAGTGGACCCCGTCGATCGAAAAGCGTATAAGGCAGAGGTGGCCGTCGCGTGTTTCTCATGTGGGACAGCATGTAGTATAGCGAGAATTAACATAGTCAAACCACCTCCCATTCCGAATCCTTTGCAGAAAAGATATAGTTCTGGCAGAATCCAATGCGTTTCTTGTGAGATCACCACGAACCCGACCGATGCAATAACCAGAAGCAGTGTCATGGTGTACCTGAACACACCATATCCTCCTGTTACCCGAATAACCAGGCCCACGAGGAAAGACCCCAGTCCGGCGCCGATAGAGTCGGGGAGAAGGTAAAGACCTGTCTCGCCGGTTGAATGCCCCAGCATTTGCAGATACAGCGGAATATAAAAGGTGAGCGCGTAAAACGCCATGGACATGAACCACGCAGTCAAGCACGCCGCGACCACAGTCCGTCGACCAAAAAGCGACAGCGGAATAATCGGCTCTTTAGCCCAGCGATACTCGATGATAATAAATGTCAATAGAAGCATGGTGCCAAGAGGAACGACAATGACAAATAGAGGCGACCCTTCCTGGGATCCTCCGTGGTTGAGGCCAAGCATTAACAAAACGAGGGATGAAACCAAAGTCGCAGCACCGAGAAAGTCAACTCGGCTGAGCATCTCCCTAAAATCCTGTTGACCATTGATGTTATTTGGCACAAATGTCGCAACGCCTAGTCCGGCAACGAGTGATATCGGCGCGATACCAATGAATGCCCATCTCCAGCCCGCAGCATCATTGACTGCACCGCCAATCACAGCCCCTAAGCCCATACCAGAGGTATACACAACGGCGCCAACGCCCTGCCAGATACCTCGACGATGAAGAGGGATGTTATCGGACGCGATGAAGGTCGCGGTGGAAATGCACCCACCACCTCCAATGCCGGTAATGACACGCGCGGCAATCAGCACAATCTTGGAATGAGAGAAGCCACAGATGAGATTGCCGATAGTGAACAAGCCCGACGCGACGCAGAAGGTCACGCGCCGCCCGAAGATGTCACTTAGCTTTCCGCTGAGCGGCTGTGTGGCTGTAAGTCCAATGAGGTAACCGGAGCCCAGCCATGATACAAGTGTCAGGGACCCAAATTCATAGGCGATGGTGGCAGAGAGCGTTGAGGTGATGGTGCTATCCGCTGCGGCGAGAAAAGTTGCAATCCAGGTGGAGACTATCGCGGCGATCACGGCAGGCTTTACTTGTGGGTCTTCTTGGATTGGTACAGGGGGCGACCGGGGCTTACGACCGGGCGATCCCTGAGGAAGCAGAGGCGATTGTTCGGGTGTTAAAGCCATGGTGCTCTTGTCATGAATTATTCACGAAAGTTTGCAGGGCAAACCGAATGCGGGTTTTTGAAGGGAGATCGGGTGGTGCGGAGCGGGAAAGGGGGATGGGCATCGATCCATGATCTACACAGCTGACTCGTCTTCTCGGAGGTAAGGAATGAAAATGGATACATCCAGGCATATTTTAAACTAGCCAGTCGCATCGAAGTGCAGTATTAACTCTCAGGTTGATTGTTTGTCTGTCTGTCTTGCTTCAATGCACACCAATGGTTGCTTTTCTTCAACGTCGTTCCCTGCATATGAAAAGTGCCAAGACAGCGGTTCATGACATGCGCGCATACATATAATCTGGCAATTATCGATTTCCCTTTCCAAATTAGTACATACCCCTTGCCGCTTTTTGCTTACCAAGCACAACCGAGCACGCCGCCCTACTATATTCACTAAGCATTACGTAGGCGATTTGATCTACTCACTGAGCATCACCTGAGCAGCTTGATCCACTTACTACGCACGACCGAAAAGAGTGGGAGTAACTAAAGTAGTAGCTCGCCTTAATAAAATATAATACGGTAGCCCTATTTAAATATAGTTGTTTACCTACTCACAACCATTATCCCATTAACGAAAGGCTAGCGTTATCAATGTAGTAGCTTATCCGATTATATTTTTGAATAAAGTGGATGTTAGAAGTAGCCTCATAGAAGATAATTCTTTACCCTCCTGAATTTAATATCGTAGGCCTAGTGTCCAAAAGAGGTAGCGAGGTTTTTGCTTATATAGTCAATACCTTCCGCTCGATAAGTATCTGGTATAACAAGGGCTGGAGATTCGAATTTGGTGTTGAAAAGAATGATTTCCGGATTTTGTAAATTGTAAGAGGGCCAATCTTCGTGGTTATCTAGAGATATTCCGTCAGGATTTCCCTTAAAGCCAAGCAATACCAAAGAAAGGAACCGGAAAGTGTCGTCACCACTTTAAACATACCTTGGGAGTGATTCGGTGTCATATCGGCGAAGAAGCTGATCCAGAATCTCGACATCTTCTTAGCAACATGCTGATAACTCGGAGCCTCATTTTCCATGGGATTCTGGCCGACTGCATAACCCACACCATCAACATTGTCAAAAACATACGCTATTTCCGAGCCATGATCTGCTCCGACAAGTGGCCCAGCTCCATGATTTATCACATCAAAAAGATAACTGTAGGCCGATACATTATGCTTGGCCCATGCTTGACTAGCCAGTCGGCGCCCAGCATGAATATTAACATCCCCTTGGAATGCGGCAACACGCTTGTATTGGTCCCCATATCCAGCTGGAGGGCTCCCGACCATTGAAGCAGGAATACCAATTTCCGGTATGTTTGGATAGAGCGCAGTTAAGATAGCGACGGTGGCGTTATCCAGGCCCCAGCTTGCTACAAGGGTTTGAAATTGCTCATCAGTGCTAATCCCTGACACAGCAAAGCTTGTTCCCTCGTCTGCATTAGCACCGATAATATACGGAACTTTGACAAATTTGCCCTGCTGAAGCTGTACAGTGGCACTTTCTTGAATCAGATCACCGTCAATGACCTGCACGAATTGAGGACCAGTTAGGCCAGTGAGTGTATGGACTGGTACGATGCTCGAATTATCAAAAATTGCGTGTAGCTTGTTTGTTGGAACAGTCCGCAGACAAGTCAAAGTGTCTGACGCGAAGTTACAGTTGGCAGCTTCCACTATTGCATCATAGTAAGGTTGCCAATCTTTGGGTATTTGGTAACGGTCGTAAGTGGATGGTGCACCGCTCTCGCTTATGGCTGCACGGAAAAGGCCATCGTCTCGGCCCCCATAGGCAATAAGCTGGGTTCCTACACTATTTGCACCGGCGCTTTCACCCCAGATCGTGACCTTGCTAGGATCACCACCGAAAGCATCGATATCTGCCAAATTGTGAGTATGATGATCCTAATGGAGGCTTATGATCGGCCCCTAAAACAAGAAAAAAGAGTCACAAACTTTCTTGGATCCAATGTAAGGCAAGGCGCTGATCCCTGAATCCCAAGTTGCCCACTCCGGCTTCTTTGATTTCTTTGCTCCACATAAACCCCCAGCAATGAAGGCGGTAGTTCAAGCTGACTGCGATGATGGGAGAGCTAACCTTCACTGACTCTTCAACGATAAAGCTAAGGTTATACTGCTGATTTGCTGAGCTGCCCGAGGTAAAGCCTCCGCCGTAAATCCACACTGCAGCCTCTTAGTCAGTAGTTCGTGTCACTGGAAAAAGGCTGTGCTCACCAGCAACTGGAAGTCTCTCATTCGGCGACACTCCACTTGGTCGAATGACGTTGAGCGTCAGGCAAGCTTCAGAAGCACCAACACTCTGCTTATATCCCACGCAAGCGGGTGAATATTCTGTTGCGTTTCTTGGCATGGTCCATGACTCATTAAGCGACTGTGGTGTTCGTAATCGAAGATATCCAACAGGCTGCTGGGCGTAAGGAATGCCAAGGAAGAAGTCTTGGTTATAATTATCGTTATGAATACCATGGTAAGTGCCGTTGCGAGTTTCGGCCGTGGGTGCCCGTGGTAAACATTCAAGATGGCCGTTGCGCCTGCAAGTCACCGTGCCAAAGGCTTCCCTTGGCAGTAACAAAGACAGAATGGAAAAAACTTGGAATATATAATTCAAGAAGTTCAGCCCTCTCATGATGGTAGATCAAGAATGGAAAATATGGTGTAGTATTGCTTTCCAGCAGGATCTAGCAATCGATAAGTGGGAGAGTAGATATATGGATCCAAAGACTGAAATCTTTTTTCTGATGCAGCGCTTTTCTTTTTTGAAAAAAAGGGATTCATAACCAACTACAGTAGAAATGGGTGTTGCAAAGCACTCATTGCCGGTCATTCTAATCAGTTCCCATTTGCTTTGATGATCAAGATTGATATCGGTATTTCAATGCAAAAATCTCGGAAATGTTGATGATTGGACGATCGGATATAACCCCAAAAGCTCGGTAATGTTCCGACCCACTGCAGTCGGGCGCAGGTAGACCAGTCAATTGAGAGTGTATAAACAAACTGACAGCTCATTGAATTGGCTGCATGGCTGACAAGTGAATGTGCTTTAACTTGAGTTTAAGTAAATTTATAGTCTCACTTGGCATGCATAGCCCTAAGACTTTAGCACATAATAAGAACGCGAGGAAATTCAATCACAAGTCTTATTACAGCCTATAGAATGAATGATCCAAGCGCTCCATCTCCGGTTCACACTAGTTTGGAAGTTCGAAAACCCCTTCCACCCATATATCAGGTTAATGGTGATAGGCACTAGTCTGAGGCAATTCGGGGTCACCCAGAGCTATCAGGTGACCATCAAAGTGCGGACTCACATTGTTAGACAAACATAACTCCAGATCCCTCTTACATTAGGATTTCGCATTGTAATGTCGACGGTCGTGATTATTCCCGTCACCTACGGTATCGAAAATCAAAATTTGACGCCACTTTTACATGTCTCATTGGCTACTGGTCCCCAATATTTAGCAACCGCTTTCGCATAGCTTGCTAGTGTTCTATGATAAATCTGAGTTTGTGATCTCTTTGGTGCGATACTATCCAAGATCATAGATGCCGTTGCGGCATGACTCCTTGATGTTTTTTTTTTTTTTTCTCATAGCTTGCCTGCGAGCGTAGAGAAGCCTAGAGCCAGACCCGGATCAGATATCCTTATTCTGGTCAGTAAAATTGTAAGGCAAAGTGCTGAGTGGGTCTCGGCTCCTTGACCCTGAGGGATTTTGAGAGTAAATTTTCTTGTCCACTAAACAAAGGTTGCCGAATTTGAAGCCGAAGAGCTTAGCTTTGGCCTATGTGTCAACCATATTGTGGCGGTGCTCGCACAGCTGCGCGAATCTGGAAAGGGTTTTGCTCTTGATTTGGATTAGGGACGCTTGATCGTGATCAATGATGCAAATTCGCAACCATAAAGGGACGTATGATTAGTATGACTATGAAGTATCAGATACACGACGAATGAAGGCTTTCTATCAAGTTTTAGCAGTCCATAGGGCTAATGAAGTCTCGAGGCAAAGATCACGCGAGTTGATTTATGTAAAGTGGTAACGGCGGCTCCACTATCGCAGTCGTTAGTATGAAGTTTAAGCATTTATAGGATTTTCCCTTTTGGAGGAATTTCAACACTATATTCGCCACTGCGTTTTGATTAAGAACAGTAGCCATCGAACTTCGGTTTATCTTCCAGCTCATGAGATGCTTTCTTACCTATCTAATGCGGGATAAAAGTCAGACGCGGCTATATTAAACTAACGGTTTAATTCCGAGTGTGACTCTGGTGTAGCCCTCGCCGAGCTCTAGTTTATTAGGAGAGCCATATACTAATTTTATCAAATTACGGGCATTTGGTGATGATTCGCTCATCACGGTTAGTGATTCACTAGAAAGAATACAGAAGTAATCCAGACCTCAACAATCCATATCATCAAACCCTTTATTGTTTTAGTGGATGAAAGTACTTCTATATCATATGGCCTCTCCGAGCAAAGTCGCAGCTAATAGACTATTTTGATTATGTAGGCCAGTCCTTAGCTTTAATCACGTTAAAAGTGAAGACTGGGTTTAGAGCTCGAAGATAGATAGATAGCAATTTATTCACCCGATACTACTAGCCGTTGTTGGTCTTAGTATCGTGGAATACATTAGGCATGGCGATATGCTAAGATATGCTAACGTAAGGAGCCCTTGTTCTAAATAGCATTTATTAGCTACGCGCTGATTTGATATCTGCACTCTCCAAAGTCACAATAACCATATTTAGTATGTAATCATATGATGGCAATATTTCTAGTAACGTGTGGGCGAGATAAGCGGAATCAATCTTCAAGTCATGGTTACAATCCTAAAATGGGTGTTTCCACCTAGAGTCGCCTTGGTGGGAATTTCGGTCCCGCGTCATTCAATTAAAGTGGTATTACTACGTTAACGGCTACGGCGCAATACAATTTAGGCTTTTAAATAGAATTTGAGCTTAGAAACTATGGAATGTCTTGCCTTGGCCATCATAGTTGCTCAAAATTGACATGTGGAGTAGCGATCGGCATTTCACAGATGCTCAATGGATTGAGGGATAGGGCAAGGATAGTTTCCCCACAGAATCGATAAAAAAGACAAGCAAAAATGAAAATATTACATACAACAGTTAGGATTCGCATGTGGTCACCCACCATACTACTAACTAACCGGCGTGTGGCTTAAGTACGGCTGAGCGGACGGGAAGCCCTGTTCTCCACACCCTATGGTCGTATGTGCTGGGTATCTATTTAATTTGGAATATATAGTGCATGTATTTGTAGAAGTGACCTTGAGAATGTGAAAAACTAGGTCGGAAGCCGAGAAAGAACGTGTGATACGCGGATTCAACAGAAGAATTACCTAGAATGCGGCATCTGAAAAAGAAAATCATGAGCAACATTTTTGAACTTTTAAGATAACGTGTACGAGCATGAAATGCAAGGACCAACACGAGCATAAGAGTATGGCAACATTGAAGAAGAAGCAGGTCTATGAGAGGCGAAGCTCAAGCATCGCAGGACGGAACCGTACTAGTCCTTTTAAGGACCAGATTACCTTCATATTGTAGGGCAGTGTACGGATTAGAGTGAAGAAGGATGCATACGTATGGGTACATATTTGGTGATACAACTGCTCTGATTCACCTAGGAGTGAGCGGTGGTGCCCATCCAGGCATTGGAAAAGTGATATTTAGGCTACATCAACAATACACATCCAGATAGGCCAGCTCATTACCTCAAAACGGACTTCGAAAAGGCCCGGGAAGGTATTCATTAAAGCCTTACAAGTCTTCTCCCGCGACTCTCGCTTCGATCTTAACGAGTCCATCATCACTTTTCGCACGATAGAGCTTCATATTATCAGTCGTATCGTTTTCAAGACTGACACCTTCAATACCTTGCAGTTGATAGGGATTTATCTTCTCAAATTTAGCGTCGATTTGCTCGAGCGTCAGTCCCTTAGTCTCAATCCAGAAGTAAGCCACGAAAACAAACTGGATAACGTTCCAGGACGCGTTGATAATATAAGCTTTCCAACCAATTGCTTCAAGAGCCAATGGCCATACAAACACACTAAAAAGTCTTCATTGAATCATGATCGTCAGTCGGCATCCCTCAAATGTTATTCTTGAGGCCACGTACCCGCCACATGTGACAGCAACCGTCCACGCTGCCATACCGTTACTTCGGACAGAGAAGTTCAAGACTTCCGGGGGATAAAGAAGGGTAAGAGGCGTGATCCCGATTGCGTAGCTGCCTTGAAACAAAAACACAGTCGCCACAGTGCCGTAGATGCCAGAAGTGCTCCCGCTACCGCCGTATACTAACATCAATGAGACGCGAAATCGGAGGTGTAAGAAACGTTACCGGGGTTAGACTTACATTTAGTCAATGCCCCGACTGGAAATAAGACGATTGTCATTCCGACCACGGAAATCAGACACATGGCCTTTCGACCAGCCTCATTCACTAGCCAGGTTCCGAGACATGCGATGACAAAACACCAGGCAGTGAGAACAATATTCTATTTTAATAATCGATAACTATGCTTCAACCTATCAGCTATCCAAGATGACTTACAATTTGCAGCTGTGTAGTTGGGTCGGTGATGCCCGCGTTATCTAACATGTCCCCCAAATAATAAGAGACAATATTATTTCCTGCATCCTGTCAGCTTTTTCTGAGGCAGAGAGAGTCTCGAATGGCAGAAGCAAGACTAACCACTTGACATAGAGAGCACTGCGACGGAGACCACCAGCAAATGTCGGAGTCAGGAATTGGGCGTCCGGAAAATTTCACTGTAAGTCATCTGCCGCCCCAATGCACGTTCCGTTTCAATTGATTGAATGATCAATCTATGTTGCTCGATTGAAACTGGGTTAGTGATACCCGAGTCCTTGTGGGTTGATGCCACCGATACCAGAGCATCGTCTAGCCTTCCACGGTGAACAAGCCACCTCGGAGATTCTGGCACGAAGAAGAGAATAATCAGACATAGTATACTAAAGGCAGCTTGTAGAAGACATGGCAATCGCCATGACCATGACCCAACAATATCCACTGTTCGATAAGTCACGCCCGCAGCAATTAGGGCGCCTATCGTCTCGTCAGTTATTAACAACAGCTTTCAAGAAGAAATACTGACCGACATAATATATAGTGAAAATGAAGCTCAAGCCAGGCGCACGATAAAGTGGAGGAAGTGTCTCAGAGAGCCATCTATGGCCTTAATTAGCAGCTAATTCTCCGGGTTCAGAATGAAGGACAAACGTTGAAGTAGCGATGGACGAAGTGCATACTCCGGCCCCAAGAAATATCCTCCCTGCGACAAACATGCCTACTCCCTTGGCAGATGTCATTAATGCAACACCAATGAGTTTGAAGAGAACCGAGATGAGAACTCCTGTTGCGACGACCAAGTCGATCTACAACGGGGCCCATGAAGGTTGACACGGCAATCCATCCGAGGAAGGTGGATGCGGAATTCAATGACTTTGTGACGGTCGTTAATTTGAGTGTCTCTATATATGAGGGCATAATGTTGATGCCATTTCTATAGGGTTAGTCAAGTCTCCAGGAACACTAAAATGTTGAGGAAGACATACATAAGAGCTGAGTCATATATACTAGTCTGTTAATGAAAGTTAATGAGGGGATCTATCGTGAGATCTGTGCAGGTGTTTCATTTCTTTTTACACACTGTCGCAAAGGTACAAGAAGACAAAATTAACAAGGCGATGGTGATTTTGCTTGACTTGTAATGTTGAAGGGGGCCACGAGCTCCACTGAAGAAATTCATTTTTGGATTGAGGTATTGACGAAATCCCTCTGGTTGCGAGCGATTGATCAAGAACTTTATAGCTGTTTCGATTAATTGATCTCGATATGCAATCAACTGTCATTAGAGGCTTGTGGGCGGAGGAGGGGGGATGGTGGCAGTGCGTTTATCGACGCGGCGGGTTGATAGGTTGACAGAAGAGCAACCGAATATCTCGAGAATTGTGATTATTCAATGGCTTCAAAGAATCGAAAGAAATTGATTATCCTGGCTTGGCTTGCCACCAGAAATGCCATGATATCAAGAGCAATCGACATCAGCGGCGATAAATACCCCGGGCCGTGGGCATTGAACTTGAATCTGCGGGGAAGACAAGGGCATTATCCAAAGATAATCAGAGCTTCGCTTGGGCCTTATCTTTCACTTCAGACCTTGGTTTCTCCTCATCCCCGGCCCGGCTCCACAATCGGAAACCTTGGTGAGACCTACCTTGGGATTCTAGGTACGTGGAACATCTTGCATATATAGCCAGATCTAGGATACCGTCCAGTTCTTCAATAGATTATCGCGAAACTGACCGAAAATGACATGCACCAAAACTTCAACTGAGTTTCAAAACATGACCCCAATTGCCCTTGAAGTTCCCGACATAACGTATCCCTCTATCCAGGTCCTCAACAAGTAAGGCTGCCTTCAAGAGACCCGGAAACACGAAGCTAACAAGGGAAGGTCCGCAATTTACAGCGACTTTCGCGACGAACTTCAACAGAACGGTTATGCCGTTCTCAAAAACGTGATTCCTCAAGATCGTGCACTTCATTACAGACAAAAAGCCTTTGACTGGTTGAACTCATTCGAGACAAAATTTGATCTCGATAAGCCAGAAACATGGATTGCGAAGAACCTACCCGCGATGAACAAAGTCCGCATGTTCCATGTGGGATGCCCGTATGGAACCGGGCGTATTAGACGCATTCGAAAAGCTCTGGGGCACAGATGAGCTACTCGTGAGCTTCAACTGCCTCAATATCAACCTTCCCAATCGACCTGACCTGTCGGCACGCAATCCATGGCCTCATGTTGACCAAAGTCCGAACAAACGAGGTCTTCATTGTGTACAGGGTATCATAAATTTATCTGTGTCAGGGCCTGACGATGGTGGCCTTGTTGTGTATCCTGGATCGCACATGTTACACGACGCATTCTTCGATGCTCACCCAAACAGAGCCGAAAGGCAGTTTCAAAATGACATATATTTTTTTCCTCGAGAAGAGCTGGAATGGTTCGAGAATCGTGGTCTGAAACCCCACAAGGTCTGCGCGGAACCTGGAGACCTCCTTATCTGGGGTTCTCGTACCATTCATTACGGAGCTGACTCAAATGAGGCGGGCAAGAACATTCGAACCGCTAATTATGCTACTTATATGCCGGCTTCATTGGCGAGTGCCGATCAGCTCGCGAAGTAAAAAAAGGTATTTGAGCGCTTTGAATGTACCACACTGTGGCCTCACGAGCATATTGAGCCTAATGCGGCAAGAGCAAAGCCTGTTCTTTCTGATGGCACGATTGATCCGCGGGCTAAAACCCGTAAGGAACCTATCGAGAAGCCGAACTATAGTGATAAATTGTTGAGACTAGCGGGGGTCCTCCCTTATTGAATTCAAGTGAATTAATGTTTATCCCTCGTTTCCATTTACAGGATGAGGGTTTATCTGTTTAAATAAAATTATTTACAGACGATGACACCTCCAGAGAGTGTAAGGTTTGACCTCGTAATTAGAGCAGTCTTTGATTGTCTACTGAGAGATTAGAATTGGTGAATTTATTTTGGATCTAGTAGGGAAAAGCTGGCATATGAGATCTCATTCAACTGTGTAGAATAATTGATCAAAGGGTTCAAGCTCAGGCGAGAAGTAATCCAAGAATTGAAGATCGGCACCAGCCCAGTCCTCGTGCTGGTCCTGAAATGAAGGCATCTGAAGCAGCGTTCGCGGGTCGGTCTCAGGATGTAAGTTGAAATTGCCAGCCAAACAATTCTCCCAAGGATTTCTGACATCGCGGTTGCTAGTAGTTTGAATTTGTTCGTCAGTACTGTGAATATTTGTAGTTTCAATCATCAAAATGCGATCCATGTAATGCTGGACAGCGTAGTGCATCTCATCAGTCACTCGCTGGCGATATTTAGTCACGGCCTCCGCAAAGCTGATCAGAATATTATGATACAGCAGAGCCTGTTGACTGGTCAGAGCAATATCTGCTAGGATTATGCACGTGTTCTGGAATGAATCCTCGATATCCCTTCGAGGCTCCCCTGCAAACATTGAGAACCCGAGCACTAGACCTGCTCCAAACAACCACGCTCTATTGCGAAACCTTGTGAGCAAAATCTTTCGAAACGACCATGAGACTCAAAATAGACCTACTCGATTAAGCAGAAGTTTCCAAAGGTAAAATTGATGCCTTTAGCTTTGATGCACATGTCTACCATATTGATAGCCGAGCTCACACAGACTTGCGCTAGCCTGGAAACCTTGTTGTTCTTTAGCTTCATATCTGATGCTTGATCAGGATCACTGATTAAGTGATCGGGTGCTTTGCCACGCAGCCTTGAAGTCAGGTAAGCGACCAGAAATGGCCTTGTGATCAATGTGACTGCAAAATAATAGACACACGAAACGTGCATGCTTCCCATTAGGGATTGCCTATCTGCAGGCTCCAAATTTGGATTTTGCAAAGATGGAGCTTTAAATTGACGTACACTTGGAGGTAGTCCTCGGCTCCATTGGCGAAGTTGTTGGAGAAAGCCCTCGGCGGTGGGGACGTGGAGTATATTATTACTCTTGCCCAGTGTTCCAACAATACCTTCTAAGAGAGCACAAGCATCTATCATTGCCATGAAAGTTGACTGAGAAGATTCGAAGTTCCTGTCGTTGGAGGCCTGCAGTTTCGCTGCATTTTGTTTAACGGGCGGCAAATTCTTTGGTCTTCCAATGATAAAGCTGCTCAAGATATCAAGGTTTCGAAGACTGCTCCACACTCGCTTTCTGAAAGGCCGCAATCAGTATTCTCTTTGGAGGCTGAACGGTCATACTCAAGTCAGTTGTTTACTCACCTAGTACTTAAATCTTCCCCTGGGATCCTACCCTCTTGAGAGCTTTCGAGATCTAAGATCACGGCGGCTTTGGCCGCAATCGCAAGAAACATTGCCGCTGAATTTCGGTTACAGGAACTGAGTGTGTAAAAAGCGAGGAGAACGAAAAGTCGTGTTTTGCCCAAGGTCTGAGACATGAGAGCATCCTTGAAGGCAATTGTACAAGCACGAGAAAAATAAGCCTCGGATAAAGGCATGTCGTTATTCAACCCTCGCGCCTGGTTCCCAATTGCAAAAGCAACGTCAAGAGCAGCTGAGTCGTCACCAACAAGATGTGGCGGAATTGTACGCCCGTGAGAAAATTGTCGGTCGGATACGAGAATGTCAATCTCGTCTGCAGTAAAGAGGTCCAAAATGCCACTGGTCTGCGCTATAAATCAGCCACGATGCTGCCATTAGAGTCTGAATATCACCCACTGCTTCAAAGTAGGAGTTTAACAATGAATAAAGCCTTTCTTGCGATGGTTGCGGGTTGTCCATCCCCGTAATCCTAGACTCCGGTTCCACCGTGAGGAGATGGCGTTCCTCATCAGTAAAAGGAACGGACCCGACGAAAGATTTAACGGTCCTTCTAAGAAAGTAGAGAAAGGACAACGAAGAGGTCTCTCCCACATGGACTGGAATTTCCGAGGGTCAGCTTCAAGGATGTTGAAATGTGTCAAGGCGGTGCCAGACCTTTTTCACGGGAAGTTGGATTGAATGGATGCTCCTTATCTAGAGTATCTATCTCTGGATCTGACACACTGCTGAAATCTGGAAGCTCAGGACGGACGCCAAAAGGAGTGCCTGGCGGGAGCGAAGAGTCGGTGAGTGATGGCTGCCCATTCGTGATATTGGCTCTTGACGGAGCTACCTCGGGAATATGGGAGGCACGGGGGTGTCGCCTCGACCCCGACGTCGTCGGTCAATTCCTGAGTAAATGCAAGACTCAGCTTGTTCGCGTCTGACGCATGAACCACAGGGTTGCTGGGAATCGCATCTTATCTTTGAGGCTTTACAAGCCAGGCATGCGCGATAAGACCTTTGGCGATTCTCTGGACGGACTTTCGGACGTGGCATCGAGGATCTGTTATCAATTTTTCTACATAACAAGGAGTAAGATTGATTTGGAAGGCGTGAAGGCTTAAAGGGATTTAATGACTAGGACGGAATTGGTTACAACGGGTGCGGGGTTGGAAGAAACTGATAAGTCTCCAAATGAACTCTTCCCCAAATCAAAAATGGGCAATAACACGCGACAAACTGTCAGCCTCTAAATTGAATCTTCTCAAATTAGACTCATTATCAGTCTTTTCTTATTGTATGTCATGTCATTTTTTGGATCACAGGAAAGAAAATACCAAGGGAGACATACGAGTACAGCTTAAGTCGACCTACAAACATCTACGCGTCAGGTATCTTCAGGCGGAACACCAATCCCATAGACAAAAAATTGACAATCCAGATATAGCTCCTTTCTCATAAAAAGATTCATACGGCTAATTTAGCCTTATCACTGAAGTTTCGTGCAACAGACTGAGCAAACCACTCGCCGACAGTTATAGGGGGGCTGTGATAAGAAATAGATGTGAGTGAAAGTTGGTATAGGAGAAGAGTGGGAGACATACTATTTCTTCAAGGGGCCTTGTAGCACAAAGCCGCGTCTCCCTTGATTGAAATAGGCGATAGAGTAACGAGAAGCCGATTTCCCAACATCTTTAGCGCGAACTCGGTGAAAGTTAGATTTCAATCGATCGTCTGACCAAGCCACTGCAATGAGATATATGTTGCATTAGTGATCTATTAATGTAGTCTCGAAGGTTTCATTTACTTACTAAGCATGTCACCGATGTTGACAACGATAGGACCAGTCTCTGCAGGTAGGGGTGTAAAGCTATCCCCAGTAGCAAAGCTAGTATAGCTTTCCCTACCAGGACAGATCTCCAGGCCATCCTCTCCATCGCGCTGAAATAGAAGAGTGAGACATCCGATATCAGTGTGACTTCCTGCCCTCCATGTACCAGCGGCGTCTACAGAACCTGGATAGTGGATAAGTCGGAGCTGTGTCAAGCAGTCAGACTGACTTGGGTCATTTGCGATTTTAAAATAATCTTCATCGAATCCCAAGGCAGTTGAAAAACATGACACTAGAGGTCATTATCAGCTGAGATTCAATAGTGTCCAAGTCAGTAGAATTAAAGTTTGGCTACAAACTTACAAACTTGATTGGAAATTGCGGCACATTTGGTCATGAAATCAGTAGTGGATTGTTTGAACTTGGGTACATCCTCATCGCTTGGCCAAAGCGACTCACGTTGCAGCCAGAGTGATTCCTTCTGGTCATATGTACCTGTGCTGGGGCGCAACTGAGCCTAAAGTGAGAAGTCAGATAGTCCAAAGTAAAACTGACATCTTTTTACTTGCCTTGTACTCCCATCCATTGTTGGAAGCAGTGTCATGAGGTGTCTTGGCCTTAGTCTCCATTGGAAGGTCAAAGAATGCTTTGGAGATAGCGAATTGAGCTTCTATCTCTTCTTTGGAGATACCATGGTCAATCAACATGAAGAAACCAGCATGCTCTGCAGCTTCTATCAGCTGTGTTGTGATATCCTCTTTGCGCTTATCAAAGTCTTAATCGGGATTTAGTTTATTCCTATTAGTAAGAATTCTAGTGGCTCACCTTCAAGAGAGATAACAGGGACCAATCTTTCAGCCATGGCTCTAGACGTGAATGTTGTTGTTTCTTAACACAAAGACCTTGTCAAAGTCACTATGAGATTCTGATGATCAGAATTTTCTCCGGTAGCGCTAGCTCCATGGTTTTATCCCCTTGTCCTTAGCTATCTTGATTGAGACACATATTGTCTAGTCGGACGTTACAAGCGGAAATGTCCGCATAGCCCCACCAAATATGGAGTCGGAAATGTACCAAAGATCTTGCAGCTTGACGTTGACAAAGGTTTCAGGACGGTTAAAGGGCCTTGGAATGTGCATTGTCACTATTGAGATATCCGATTCTGGAAAGTGGAATTTGCAGCGATGCTTGAGCAGCTTATCTTTTCTCCCCCCTTATCTACGGCACTTTCGGCTATGTACCTTCACCACTATTAACCACCTCATTTGAGGCATTGATTGGTTTTTCATCGCTCGAGCCTTTAACAGTGCGAAAGAAAAACCGTGAGCCATTTTAAATGATTCTTCATCCGTTATAGCATTAAAGCATCTGTACGGATTCGAACATTCCTGAGCTCGAGATAAATTTCGCGAAGGTTGACTATGACCACGAAGAGTGAGCTTACTAAAATGGAGGAAGGTGAAGATGCAATCGCAGGTGACTACATCGACCTGGCAATGACAGAGAAGGCCTTGGATATACTCGTAAAGAGAGGTATGACCTTTGACCCTAATTCGCCGGAAGCGAAGCGAGTCAGATGGAAAATCGATAAGCGAATAATGCCTATGATATTTGCGATATACTGTCTTCAGCTTATGGACAAGAACAGCCTTTCCTATGCTGCGATCATGGGCATCAAGGAAGACGCCAATCTGACCTCTAGTCAATACTCGTGGCTGGGATCACTGGTTTAGTATGGTTAATCCTTAATTCTTGACCTCCATATTGTGAGACAATAACTAAAAAACATAACTCTCTATAGTTTTGGCTATCTTGGAGGCGACATACCTGCTACATACCTTATGCAGCGTGTTTCTTTGTCCAAATATCTATCCATCATGTGTATGATATGGGGAGTCATTGTGGCATTGCACGCAGTGTGCCGCGACTTTTCTAGCCTAGCTGCGGTCCGATTTTTCTTGGGTGCCATTGAAGTCTCAACGGTACCAGTCGCCATTTACATCACTGGTGCATTCTATACCAAGGAAGAACAAGTTACGCGGGTCGCATTATGGTACACTACCTCTGGATGGGCCGCAGTATTCAGTGGTTTTATTTCATGGGTTATGTATCACGCAAGCAGCTTCAGGTGGCAGGGCATTTTTGTTCTATATGGATCCATGACTTTTGTCACAGGCATTTTTTTATTTTTCTTCCTTGCTGCTTCTCCAACCAATGCCAGGTGGCTGACCGAGGAGGAGAAAAGAATCGCTCTTGACCGAGTGCGGTGTAATAAGACCGGTACCGAGGTCTGGCAGTTCAGCTGGCCACAGTTGAGGGAGGCTCTATTAGATATTCGATTATATCTGATGTTTTTCATGTTGGTGGCAACTGGAATGCCGAACGGTGGATTGACTGCCTTTGGTAAGATCTACAGTCTATCCCGTCATATCGCCTATGAAATGATCCCACTAAATCATCTTTTTGCAGGACCAACAATTGTGTCAGGATTTGGATATGATGTACCTACCTCACAGCTTTTGGGCATGGGGTCTGGCGCGTCTCAAGTAGCCGGTACATTCCTCGCTCTCTTTGTGGCTAAATACACCAGCCGTACCTTTGCTGGTATATTCACACTGCTCCTCGCATCTGTGGGTGGTGCTATGATGCTTGGTATTCCCAGCGACAATAACGGTGCTCGCTATGGTGGATATATCTTGGTTTACCAGTGTAAGTGATATTCTCGTGTCCAATTTTTAATGGCCCGTTTCTTAACAAAAAAAAAGTCCCGATTTGCATTCTCTTCATCATTACTTTCATGACCTCTGGGTTGGCTGGTAGCACCAAGAAGTTTGCTTTTGGCTGTGTCTATCAACTGGGCTATGCGGTTGGCAATATCATTGGCCCTCAGACATACCGAGCTAAGGACGCGCCCAATTACTATGTGAGTCCCTTGAACCTTCTTTGTAATCGAAACTAACCAAATAGCCTGCAAAATACACCATGCTTGCATTTTTTATTGTGACAGCGATTCTAATCGGCATCTATGGGGGTCTTCATTACACCTGGAATAAGAAAAGGGAGAATCGGGAGCATTTGCAACTAGAAGGTAATCTCTTCAGCAATTTTAGGGTCATACCGTGAGCGCTAACATCAGGGTTTTCTTTCAAAGGTGCAACTGAAGGCGTTGAGAATCAAGACCTCATGGACATGACCGATTTTGAGTTGAAGTCTTTCCGATATCCAATATAATAACCTAGTGCATAATACCATTCTCATCAAGGATATGATTTTATTATGTCGAATTGGACTCCCTAGGGCATTTGCAATTAGTTTTGTCCATCATTATAGTCTGGATAACTTTTATTTTCCTAAAAGTATATTTCATGGTTATGAGATATCATCTCGAGGCACTGTCATAAAAAACGGGAAAAGATACTATGATAAAGACCAGATTGAGACTCATGGACAATACTTGTCGTTAGAGGATATGCGGGAAACCCTTTGGCTGAGAATGAAAGAAGCGAAATGTCTAGACATGATTTGAAACTCGAAACTCTGAATTTTCTTCTTAAAAAATGCTCCCCTTAATCTGTTATCTAAATCTAGACCCGGTCCGCTTTTATGAAGGTTAAAGGTGAGAGGAAAATTGACTACCTGCTACCCTTCCCTTTACACAGGATTCAATAAACTCCAGCAAGGCCCGACCCTGTGAGGTATCTTCTGTGCCAATCGACAGAATGTTGGTTAGATGATTATGCTTCTTCAACACGTGAAATAATGGTAATGTTCCCGATGGCTTGCTTTTCACTTTGTATGCGTTGAAGAATTTCAAAGTAGCGTCAATCGTCTCGGGTCTAAAGTTGCAGGCAAGTCAACAAAAATTGGTGAATCCGACATTCACCTGGAACTGAGCACTCACACTTCCCACTCGACGGATCCAAGATAGATAGGAATCTCCTGGGAGTTTCTGTTTGAAAACAAAATTAGTCTCAAGCCATCGACAAAGTTAAAGTTACCAGGAGAATTACAGCATTGGGGAATTTTCAGGCAATGCTTCGAATAAACCAAGCGCAGATTTAGGCTGCATGAGAGATATCAGCATTTGCTTCTCAAGAATGACTCTTTTCAAAGAAATTTAGGTCTCATACCCCCCAAAAGTTCTCTGAGTCCGACCCGTAGTATGATCGTATTGTCTTCTGGCGCAAAGGCTTCTCCCGATCATACCAGAAAGGCACACTGAGATATATTACTCCAGCCAGGGGAGGAGAAAAGGGGTAATTTGCAACACGTTCAGTGTCACCTGTACCGATTAGCGCTTGAATCTGTAAATTTGAGAATTCAGATACATAACAGGCTCTTACCAGCGGCATAAAGATTAGATGCAATATGCACACCACCAGACGAATGACCAAATAGCACGACTTTGTTTACTGAGCCACAGCCATATTTTGGCGAGGATATATGGTTAAAAATCCATTCGCGTGCCATTTGAATATCGTCTGCCCCGCCAGGATACTGCACATCGGGTACAAGGCGATGATTCAATATCACTGTGATGATGCCTTGTCGAGCGAAGAACCACCCGATGTTGGAATAGACCTTTTCAGTCCACATCTTGTCACCGGAGAAGAAGCCTCCTCCATGTACATACATAAGGACCGGCTTTTCTGCCTCAGTTCCGTTTGGTATGAAGACATCTAAGTAGTTTCGCTCGAATGGTCCATATTGCTGGTCTCGGATAACGGTCGCATTAGACGGTGGCTCAGGATAATAGGGGTCGTAAAGCTTGCGCCATTTCTGCTCAAACAATTTTTTTTTTGGTATGTCAGTGCATTTTATTATTTTAATAACTTGAAGGACCACTAACCTCCTCATCGCCTAGATTGAACGTTGTAGTCTCTTCGGCGAGCTTGGCAAAAATAGCTTCCATATTGTTGACGTGATGAGAACCCTTTTGGCAAATCCGAGGGCAAAAAAAATGAATTTTTGGAGGAACTTAATCAATCTCAAGATCAAGATCAGATCGAAAGCACTTTCGGATACTTCACATGGACTAAAGTGAGGGGCCAGGGTACATAGCCGGATAGTGTCCCATACCCGAGACCAGTTTTTTTCCCGCGCCGTAGATTCAATCCACAAAGATAGTTAACGATATGGATGAACAAAAAGAGGAAAATAACATCAGAAAATCATATTGACGTAAATCAAACGCTCTCGCTTGGCTTCCTTTGAGTCAAGGTGTGGTTCAAGGGTAGTATTACTTGTGCTTCTCTGCTCATCACTCGTTTGAATATACATCTATTCAGCCATGGCTATGATGACCAGGTACTTGTCCCACAGTGATTTTGGAATTTCCCAGTGTGGCTGACCAAGATTTTGGAAACTAAAGATCAGAGGTTGAAATCCATTCGACTAGAAAGAGCTGCTGGATAATCATCAAAGACAATGTCTATGATATTACCGAATTCATTGAAAAGCATCCCGGAGGGGCAAATATTCTCTTGACGTATGCTGGTCGTGATGCGACCAAGGCGTTCGAGCCTTTTCACGGACCCGAAGTTATTCAGCAGTATCTGAGCGCAGAGTAAGAATTCTCTGACTGGAACCCCCCCCCCCCCCCCCCCACCACTTTATAGTTTAATCGCTCATTGAAAGTACAGTCGTCACCTTGGTCAGGTTCCCTCGGAGCCTGTAAGCTCAGCTCTAAATGAGAACACATTGATGGTAGTCAACGACGCGCCTAAATTGTCTTCCATAATCAGTCTCTCTGATTTCGAGTATGCTGCGTCGAAGAAAATTCCCGAGAGCTCTTTTGCATGTGAGTATTGGGTTTAATGCACAGCAATTTCAGTATTAATTCGTATGAATAGTTCTAAAGTCCGGTGCCGAGGATGAGCATGCCTCCAACTGGAACAGAGACAGTTGGAAAGCGATTCGCTTTCGTCCTCGTGTGTTACGACCGATTGAAACTATCGACATATCATGTTCTATCTTGGGTAGCAACTTCTCCTCACCTTTCTTCATTTGCCCCGCAGGTGGTGCTAAATTGCTTAATTCTAAGGGTGATATCTGTCTGACGGAGGCAGCTAGGCGTCATGGTATCTTGCACTGGGCCTGCAACAATGCAGCAGTATCCCAGCAAGACATGGCAAATGCAAGGGCTCCAGAACAGACTTTGTACTGGCAGATATATGCCATGGCTAATTTGCAAATCACCGAGCAGCAGATAAAGCAAGCAGAGAAATTGGGATACAAAGGATTCGCCCTCACTGTTGATGCTATTCGACCTGGAAAACGCGAGCGTGACGTGCGGCTGGGCTCATCCGAGCCTGGTGGGAGTTTCGCGGAAGACGATGAGTTTGCCAAAGAGCCAAGTGTCAAGCGACCGTACGTTTTGACAACTTTTACCTTTTCGAGATATACTGACAACTTTAGACCTGTCTGGTCGAGCTTTGATTGGACGTCAGCTATCCAGTGGCTTCGAGGCATCACGGACCTGCCGATCGCTATCAAAGGCATTCAGTGCTGGGAAGATGCGGAGCTTTGTATGCGCCACGGAGTTAACCCTTGGCTGTCTAATCACGGTGGAAGACAATTAGATGGAGCACCATCTTCAGCAGAGACGCTTATTTCGATTCGAAAATACTGCCCCAAGGTTCTGGAAAAATGTGAAGTCATTGTGGATGGTGGTGTCACTCGAGGCTCAGACATAGTGAAAGCACTTTCGCTGGGTGCCAAAGCTGTAGGAGTTGGCAGACCTTTCTTATACTCCCTTGTATTTGGTGAAGCCGGGACGAGCAAAGCTATTCGAATCTTGAAGCATGAGATGGAGACCACGATGGCACTGTTGGGTGTGACATCTCTTGATCAGCTCAATCCATCATACGTGAGTAGGAAATCTTGCAATATTGCCTATCAGATCTTGCCTATTCAACTTTGCGTTAAAGTCAGATGTTTGCTAACAGATGTGAAATTCATATACAGGTCGAAACATCTTCTTTTGAATACGCGCACATGAGATGTAATCTGTGACAACTGCCTCTCAATCAATTCTTTTAAACTTGATTGGCTACTTTAGTGAGAAGCATCATGGGGATCCTCATTCTACTTCATTATATTAGACATAATTATATCGGCGTTTACCATGACACTAGGTTTCAGTACGCTGGTACGGAGGTATTTCTATTAGCCTAGGATGTATTGGATCCCACACTTTGACACCTCTTGACCTTATGTCTACGGGCAACTAGTCCAGTCCCTCGCACGATCTACTATCCTAGGTGTTGTTTTGCAATCGCTGAATCGACCTGCAATTCCAAAACTATGCTACTAATGAGCGTTCCTTTCTTCACTATCTAATGTTGAGACAAGGGAAATTAATTCGTGGAAAGTAAAACGCTCTTTGTCACAAGATTGAGTACACATTACTGGTAAGTAATGCATCATACCTAAATTGAGAGTAGGAAATAAAGCCTCGAGTAGTTTCCAATGTCATCACAAGAAGTCCTCGCTGCGTAGGCTTTTTGCACCAGGCAGCCTTCTGATACTCGTACCTCTTAACTTTTCAAATTTAATAATTCGATAGAAAAGCATTATCCTGTAATGACCAGGGCCGACTCCTACCCGCTCTTTACCCGACTTGTCAAAACCGACCTCCGAGTTATCTTAAGATGTTATCCGATGCTTCGGCTTCGGCCCGCACCCTGACTTCTACCGGCGAGGGGTGCTATCCGCCCGTTAGCGATTCAGCGCCGAACCAATGCTCATCGGAAAACAAGATCCAATTATCATTTTAAAGCTATAAATGAGTTATATTCTTGAGATTATCATCTGAAATGCCAGATCCCTGAATTTGTTGCCCATACCATTAACCCTAATCATGCCTCTTCCGAATGCACAACCGGTCAAGCTAGCTCAGAACCTAACAGTGCAGGCACCTCTTTCTCGAAAAGGACATGGGCCGGGAATTCTAATTGTCCGGTCCTCCGTCAGCCTTGATCAGCGGAATACGGAAAAGACGTTGGACCCAGAGCCGCTTCAAAAGTGGGCTGAAGAAGGTTTTGTCTGTGTAGAGATAGAGGTGCCTGAAGATCTCCAATCAATGAAAGGTATCTTTCACCAGGCTTTGAGCGCCCTAGAAAATCATAATGAATGCGACAAAAAGTCCTGTTATGGTTTGATAGGTATGAATCAATTCTTGAAGATATCTCCTAGGAAGCGCTCCACTAATCTATGACAGTCTACTCACCATCCTCTGTCCCAAACTTGACGCAAGTCATCGATAGCATGGACGATATCAAAGCTGTAGTCTCATATGGTGCTCTAAATGAACAAACGCAAAAGCCACATCTTTACCACCTGGCAGAAGCCGGATCAAAATCCGCCTCAGATAATGAGACCGCCTACCGATACTCGGATGTCAAATCTACGTCTTTCGTTATTCCATCGCACAAAGACTTCTCGTCGTCTGCGGCAACAATTGCTCATACGAGATGTCTTGAATTTCTGAAAAATAAACTGGATGGACCTTGGTTCGACCTTGAAGAGATCTGGGAAGAGCACACTAGATTTGAATTTGAGACCCGTTCTGTTGAGGAGACTATGGATACCATGGTCCAAGAACCATATGTGAACCATATACCAACAATGACCGGAGGAGTCGGTAGAGAAGAGCTGTCTCGTTTCTACGCAAATCATTTCATCTTCAACAACCCCGATGACACTGCTTTGGAGCTTGTCAGTCGGACTGTGGGGATTGACCGAGTTGTTGATGAATTCATTATGAGCTTTACCCATGATAAGATGGTGGACTGGCTGTGAGTATCATACGTGGTGGGCAAAATCAATTGTCATTGTTTCTGACTCGTTGCCTTCTGGCATTATAGTATTCCTGGGATTCCACCGACCGGAAAGAAACTACGAATTCCTTTCATGGCGGTGGTAAACATTCGTGGTGACCGGCTTTATCATGAACATATTATCTGGGATCAATTGACTGTTCTTTTTCAGCTCGGTCTAATGCCTGAATATCTCCCAATCCTATACAGCTTGCCAAATGGACCGACTGCACCACCAGGTTGCAAGTTGGAATACCGCGTTCCAGGTGCTGGTCAAGAAACAGCTGATAAGATGGTTGACGAGAGTAGTGTTCCTTCAAACGAAATGTTTGATTTTTCTGTTCGATAGATAGAAATGCCCCTGTTAATTGAATTTATGATTCTGGCTACTTAAACTACATTAAGAATTGCTAATTGTACCTCGATTCTGCTAAATGTACCTCGGTTTTGCTAATCGTACCCTCCCACAACTTGGTCATCCAGTTTGAGTTGTGGCTCCGTATGGAACAATCCTGTCCCCCTAACCAATTTTTATTCTCTCCCCCATATAAAATCATCTTCTTTAACTACATTCCTATAACATCCCTCGAACTTGAATTTTTTTAGTTTGAGATAATATAGTTAGTAGATCAGGAAGAAGGAAAATTATTATTCTTTTCAAGTATGAGAGCGATGATATGGGAATTTAGACGGAGCATACGACTTAAACGGGGGAGGAATAACAACTTGGAACTTGAGCAGCAATGAGGACTACATTGTTCGGCATCAGCGACCAACGGTGACTAGGATCAAAAGACGAGATGCGAGAGTTCATTCAGCTAATATGCTTTGAATATTCTGAGGCCCACTTGACTTGTACACGAGGAGAAAGACGGTGAGCACTGAAGAGGCGTCTTTCCCCGCTTTAACGCTGATCTAAAACGAGAGAAAGAGAGTTGATTCAAAACGGGAAAAAAAGCTTATTCAAATTGATGGATTAGGCATTCCAAATGTCAAACAAGTACCCGAAGGCAGGTAAGCAAAGGGAAGAAATCGAGTTACTTCCACTTCTCTAATTCCTGAATGACTTCCAAGTGATTCGACATTTGCGCACACTCCAAAGGTATATGACCTTTTGTATATTTAATATCCTGGTTGGCTCCTTTGCTGAGCAAATAGCGAACTACATCAACTCTTTCTAGTTTAGATGCTCTGTGCAGGGGTGTTCCGAGACCCATAAATTGGAATAACGCCCAAGATGGGTAGTCTTCGTGAACGGTTGCATTGATGGGTGCGCCTTTCTCTATTGGAAGCTTCAGAACTTCGATAGCATCTGATGGCCTTTCGATGGCATGATGGAGAAGTTGGCCTTTTTGAACATTTCCGCCATGACTGAGTATGAGATGAATGACGGAAATGGGTGCGCTTTCGACAGCAAGGGAGAGTGGTGTGAGATCAATAACACATTGTCGATTAGGATCAGCTTCATGATCAAGAAGCCAAGCTGTCATTTCCTCATCAGCAACAGCATATCTGAAAAATGGTTAAGGCTATGTTTAGTTTAAATCTTAGAACATATTAAGATCATTATTCTCACTCTAGTAGCGGAGGTTTAAGCTCGCTAATCGGCTGATTAATATCCCACCCATTATCAAGGAATGCTTCTAGGGCATCCTTTGCCTTCACTTTTATTGCTTCAAAGGCATATAGTGGATCCACGGGCATGCCGCGACGAAGGAGCTCCTTGATGAATTGAGAGCTTTTTCGTTTGATGGCTTCGATCATAATACCAGACAATTCGCATATGTCGAATTCATCCGAAAAAGAGCGTGACGAGTCAAGAGCCTCCCGGAATTTCTGTATGTCTCCACTAACGCAAAAAGTGTACATTTTTTGAGGCAACGCGCGGCGCGGGAAGGGGTATTTAAAGTACGTCCGAGGCACGGGACTCTCGAAACAAACAATTACGATCTCGCATTCTCTTGACTACGCAAGTGATGGGTTTTCCTGACGGGCGGCTAGCTTAGGCAGGCGATTCGCTCGATTGTTTCACCTTCCTGGCAGAGCTGCCATCTGGAATTTATGATTCCCGGCTCCTCAAATTACATTAGCCTATATTATATAGAGAGTAAGGCTTTCCAGTTGCTTGGCCGTACTTAAACGGTCAATTGTGCTATGTTTCAAATGAACTTTCCAGAGCATAATAGAAAAATAAAGCTACTATCCTTACTATTGCCTAACATAAGGGAGATCACGCTTCACAATTTATCAGGCGACCCTAAATTAGAAGAAAAGAATCAATGAATGATCCTATGGAAAGAGGATCATTTTCACGAGCTGAGGGTTGTAAGGTAGTACGAAGGCCATTCTATTGATACCTAGGACATAATACCGTTGCCCACCTTGCCAATATCCGCAAAATTCTCTCAATGAACTTTTCCAAGACTAACTAGGAGGTTTTAAATATTTGCTAGCATTTCCGTCCGGATGGAATGGTAAAATATAGTTAGGGAGATACTAGGCAAATACGGATCCTAGGTTGTCAACTTGAAAGCCTAAAACACAAGTCTTGAAATAAGAATTTGATCTCATCATTCCACTTGACGTTTAATAATTTCCAGGTTTCTTCGATGTTGATGGAAATCCATGGCAATCCCAGCCGCGTTCCACTCGCTCTGAGGGGGCTGTAACGATCATTACTGGCATGATCGATCCCACAAGCACAGGTTAGCACACCCTTTCTGCCTGTGTGAGATACATGATTGACGATAGCTCTCTAATATAAGATCACAATGGAACTTGAGCCAAAACGCCCTTGTAGACGATGAGCTGCATAGCCACATCCTCGACGAGAAGAACTGGGCCCGACTTTGGGAATTGAGCGAGAGATTGGTCCAAGGTAAATGAACTCGCAATTATCAATTAAGTACACTCTATACTTCTACTTGCAATTTGTATTGTTCCTGAACTTCCTCGGGATGCACAAACCCAATCGATTGCCCGATGTGCAATGGCTTCTCACCTCGTTTCCTCCTCCAATAATTTGAAGTTCTTATAATCTCCGGGCAGTCCTTCAACAACCAAGCCCACTTCCTAAACACAACCTCCGAGATCTCATAAGCACTTGGATCCCATGGTTCACCCCATGAAATCAGCCCAATCCCATCCGAGGCTCCAATCTCGCCATGAAGATCACCACAAAATTCATCTTCGTCGTATTTACCCAGATTTGCCAAAATTGTATCTCGCAAGGATTGCATGGGCATAAGATCTACCCAGGGGTGATGTATGATTTCCTTTTGGGTGGTGGTTGGCTGCAAACTCGGTGGGAGATGCAAGGTCATTGGCCCGACAATGTTAAATGTAGAGACAATGTCTTCGTTCAAAAGTTCAAAAGTTAGGCCCAAGAATGATGCATTAATCAACAAGGCGTTCACAACGTTGAGGTTTGTGACTGGAGCGAGGAGGGTAAGTTGGTTGAGCTGGCTGGCTGCTGCAGAAGCGACTCTTTTCTCTATTTGCGCGATGAGGTATTGTCTTCGGGCACTCCAATTTGCGATGGTGGCACAGTTATTTTCATTTAATTGGCACGAGTTATAGGTGGGCTTCTCAGGTGGTATCGAAGGTATCACCACATTATCGTTTTTGACCGGGTCTGCTTCTGCATGAGCTTTGGCTTCTTCGGTATAGATGATCCATCGTTTTGGTTTATTATTGTTCTTTCCAGCCTTTAAAGCTCTTCTCTCTCCTGTTTGTCAATGTTAGTGTGAAGCTTTCGACGAAAGGTGGCGAGATGGAGGTGTCCCATACGGCTGGCCCGCTGGTTGAGGCGGTTCTGAAGTCGTCGCTTTGCCGCGGCATCTCGCGTTGAAGGTGCCTCGGTCGGTTCTATCTTGGATGTCTTTTGACCTGATGTAGTGGCCATTACGCGCGTTGTTGGATAACGTTTTAACGTCAGACTGCGGAGGCTGAGTCTGGCGTTAAAATAGAATTTCGGAATTAAGGTAAACGCCGCAGCCATGAAGGTGGGTCCAACCCGAAAAGGGGTGTAAATCCGCAACAACATAAGCGTTTCTTCGTCACTCTCATCAGGCCGTGAATTGCGACTATTGGGAATAAGTGTGGTATCAAATATTTACATGACTGTAGTTTAAGAAATATATATATGTATGAGAAACGTAAAAGAGTGATTGAAAAGTCCGACTCCAGCGTCGTCAGGACGGGATCCGCAATGTCGGAGATTCTCCAGGGGAAAGGGGGGTTCGCAAGAATGACTGAGCCTCTTCATTATGCTCAAGGTCGGTTTCACTGACTTCGAACGGGACAGGCTTGTAGTCCGATGCAGTCTGATATTTCTGACAAGTCCGTCTCTTCCAAACCCAGTAGGCCCCCAGCATCACGCAGCATGTAATCATGAGAATGGAGAGCACAGCACCAGAAGAAAGAGAAACAGTAGACGATGGGCTTCCATGCAGCTGCCGACCGAGTGTATCGGTAGCACCGAGAAGTTCGCGCTTATTATTCAAAGCAGCAACTCGGAAATAGACATGCGGTAAGTTGGTCGGGAGTTTGATCTCCGTCTCGAAACCATCTTTCTCAACAATGTTCTGCGGGTAGAATTTCATTTCTTTCATGTCCACACCATCCCATAGCTCAAGTCTCCAATAAGCAACTTCCGTCGCTCCATTCCAATTGACGAATACTGAATCGCCCACCACGACGCCTGTCGGGCTCATGTCCGGTTGCCCGGCCCAGCTTCCCTTAGCGATGCGGTATGAGACAGCCTGACCAAGCTGGAACCAATTTGAGGGTGCAAAATGTGTGTCGCAGAGCATTTCTCCGTCGCTCGAGAACTCGGTAAACGCCGCGCAGTGGCCCCAGGCAACCAGAACATTACCCGAGTCAGCTAGGACTTGCATATTTCCTTGTGATGTCGCGCGGATCCCTTCAGGGTGGTAATACTCCGACCGAAGGGTTGCCGTTAGGTTGTCCGTATCAAGCTCGATAGTCATTCCACGGCTCTCTGTTGGTCCATCCATGAAAGTCTCGGCCGTATTGTCGAAAAGAGTCAGGGTGTGCTCCCCGCGCCATCGCGCATCATGTTGCCAGCAGAAATTCGTAGCCTGTCCTTCCGAAGCATCGGCAAAATCGTTTAGTTTGCCACCTAACGTCCACAGGATCTCGCCGGTCTTCCCGTCGATACTCATTATCGAGTGCGTGTGGCGCGCGGAAATAAGATAGTTGCCTGCAATATCTTTATCGATGCTGTTCATGTGAAAAACATCATAGGGGTCGCTGATGGACCAGCCTCGGCCTTGTAGCTGCTCGTATGACGCGTTAAGGGGAACATGCTCTGACATGCGCCATTCGAATATCAGATCCCCCGTCGCAATGTCGATCTCCTGAAAGAGGCATTCAGAGTAATAGCCATATTCGGGACCTCCAAGCCCGCTCAGGTCGGTTGGCTGGATATCATACACAATCACCATAGCAGTAGCATTCTTGGTGATCTGGAAGTCGTGCATATCACCATCATGGTTACCGACTGCATTCACCTCATAGCGGCGTGTGTAGGTTGAATCTAGCTGCAAAGAGTTAGGATCCGAAGTGTACAAGCTGACATCATGGGCAATAACTCACCATGGACCAAGCACCACGACCGTGTCCGCCATCTGCTTTGCCGTGCCAGTACGTGAGGTACTGTTCACCCTTGTATTCCTGTACGCGGAAGTCTTGAATTTTATCAGACCCCTGCTTCATCATCCAGACGAGGTTACCAAGAGAATCGAGAATCATGGCGCCCGGGTTCTCAACAGCGTTCCCATGTGGTGCCATGAAAGTATAGTCATCGCTGCATCTGGGACTCCATTTAGCCAGTTCGACGGCGGGAGATTCATATTCAAACGAGACATATTTGCGAGTTGGGTAGAATCCGTAGAATCCGTCGTCGAACAACGAAACGCCTATTTGGAAGTGGAGACGCTGCAGATTCGGAAGCGCGAGGAACCGAAGCGCAATAATTAGAGTAGCGAGCACAAATAGCCATGACGCGATGGCTTGCTTCCCGAAACGCCGCCGCCACGGCCATATAGAGCGAGAAAACGACATCGCTCACTCCCAAGTGATGTGGTGTGATGAAGCATGATGCTAATAAGGAGAAACGACCTGGTTCTCCACTGATTATTCAGGGCCTACGTTATGGAGAAAACTAATCAATGGTCGGATCTAGTAATTAGGACCGCTATACTCCGTACAGAGCGAAAAGTTTTGAAGGCTTCCGATTGGTCCGGTTTGGGTTCGCGGGCCCTCTGCATTACGACAAGCGGAGGAATAGTATTCGTAATGCCCAGGCAGATGGTGCCGTTCCAGCAATAGGGTCAAGGGAGTGGAGATTCTTACAGGGAACTCTGCAACGAATGGAAATGATCAGTGAATCACCTGCGCATGATCTGTCGGATCAGCCTTTTACATTGAAAAGCTTGATTCCTTCCAACCTTCAACGCCAACCTTTTGAACGGGTGTTCGGCTTGCAGTAAATGACTCGCCCTGTGAAGATTATTGAATACTAAACTAAAAGGGGATGCATAATGCTGATCGAATACTTATCTTCACCCAATGATGGGTAAAATTTCCAGCGGCGGACTCTTGGCGTCTCCACAGGCCACGAGTTAGCGACTGCCAAGGATTTCGGAACTCGCTTCGTCATATTGCGTGGTACATCTAATTAAAATTGGGCCCGCCAAGGATAATGAAATAGCCCTGTGGGAATCGTATTCGTTTATCTGACAAAATGTGCGTCATGTTTACACTTTGCATAATTAGGGTAAATATTAGACTAACAGGGTTTTAATGCATTGGGGTATCACAGTAGCAGTATCAAGGCGTAGGGTCAAGGCAAGAAAGCTGAAATTCAAAGTAAGGATACCCCACAATCAGAATATCAGGGGTCACGATCAGGGGTCATGGCATCAAATCAACCGGTAAACTTTCAAACCAACCAAGGAGTCTGGACATGTCAGGAAGACGAGGATCGGGAGACGTTGGAGGATCAATCCTGATTCTAGCATAAAGCTTGTTCCATGACGGCTTGTTAAAGTCCACATCTTGGGAAGTCAACACTGACTTGTGCGCCTCACCAGCAAGCCTCGAAAGATCATGCAACGCCTTCCGGCATACTCGAAAAACGTTGCTAAGATCTTCATTTCCTACCATGTTGTTCTCCCCTATTTCGAGGAGATTGAGAATTCTGTCGAATCTCTCCGCATGGTCGAATGGTGGCTCTTTGTCGGTGATAAAATGAAGGCCACGAGCTGCAATCATGGCTAGACCACAGGCATATGCATAATGGACGTATTCGCATGCCGGGGTGTCAGTAGGTGGGGACGTGGACCTCTTGTGTTCCCACAATCGATCTGTGAGTTGTTCGGCGAGATGCAGACATTTGAAAGAAGCATCCTGGACGATCATGAGGCCAGTTATGCCATTTTTTCCATATTGGATTTGGTGTCCCAGATGAGGTCCTTGCTTTGAACCACACGCGCAGGTCCTGGAAAGAGCAACGCCAAGAATCATGAGGGGTCGGTAGAGACGAATTCTGAGATAGAGGTATCGCAGATGCAGCACGTTGCGTAGCCTGCCAACTAATGGACTGGGGCTATCGAGGTGACTAATGGCTCGCAAAACAGTAGGAAGTGAGCCGTGCCAATCCTCAAGTTCAATTTCCATTCTCATGAACTCTTGGATATCCGCCTCTTTGATCTTCTTGAGGGCGCATTGACCGTTGGAGAGTCGTAGCTGTTCCTCAAAATCAAACAGCTCGACCATAATGATGTGAAGATCGCGAGATGCGTAGAAAAACCTGGAGAGACATTTGCCTGTACTCTGGTCGTTCGCTGCTATTCCCGGTATTCCATCAACCCACGTATCAGAGGCATGGGGTTTATTGAATATAGAGTCCATTTCACGGTGCGAAATGCCTAGATCTAGGGCCAGAGAACGCTCCATAATTTGCATACTATGCCATAGGCGCATTGCCAGCTTGTGTGAGGAACTATCAGGGTCAAAGTGCTCATCTGACTTTGCCTTGATGCTCAATGTGTAAGCTTTCTGTATGGCCAAGCCAATGACTTCCCTTGCAGAAGTCAAATTCCCAACAGCCCGCAAATACTGGCTCTGCAGTACAAGGCATTGCACAAGAATTAGCAAGTCTCCAGAATCCTCAATTGAGGCCATAGACGCCCGCGCGGACTGGTAAAGTTCTGGGGCATGCTTGAGGACATCATCAATCCCTAAACAGGCAAGTGCATAACAGAATTTCAACGGTCCAGCTGGTGGGATTTGAATGGGACCCCCTTTGGATTTTGAAGGGGCTTGATATGGGTTGAGTGCGAGCAAATCAAGTATTGGCATGTAAGGATATTCCGAGTGACAATAAGCCTTAAACAAGCGAGCCGCGAGACTCTCGGATAAATGAAGCGTTTGCTTTGGATTCGACGATGCGGTTGATGATTCTGTTCGTGTGGTTGGTTTGAGACCCTCAGACAAAGTAGGTCTTGGGGAGGCAGCCGGTGGTTTTGGCTTTGAGGCGGACAGTCTTTTCGCTTGCATGGACCGTTCTGGCATCTGGCCTTGGCTCTTATGCCCGGATCGGCATAGTTGACCGCGGGTAGATATGCCCACCTGATTTGCAGCCGGTCCTTGAATCTGAGATAAAATTTCCATGCATTTCAGCCACGTCGGTTCACTCAGTATTCTCATTGACACCCCAGTTTCGATGGCAGTATCAAGCTCATCGAATGCCGTAATATCCCGTGGTTTTGATTTCCTTATGACGCGACTGAGAAGTCTTAAGCCCGCAGAGGACATCGGTCTTTTAGGGCCACGGGACTCGAAAACCCCTCGACAAATTTCCAGTTCATGAGCATCGACAGCAGAACGATCCATGAATGGTACTTTCAAGATGAACTCTAGAGCACGCATATCAGCATTACTGAGCCAGCCACCTTTTGTTGGCCCGTCCCATCTTTCTTGTAACATAACCGAGAGCTCTGCCTTTTCCTGCAGTTCATCCTCGGAATATGACATGTGATCTTGTTGAAAGACCTGGAGCAGGCGCTGCAGAGTATGGGCTTCCATTGGAGCAGGACCGGGTTTGCTATGGATGAATTTCACCAGGTCCCAACGCAGGGTATCCGTCTCATTTGGGCAATCAGGTTTTCGGATATTGCATAGTGTGTCTGGTGTCTCGGGCTTGTTCGAAGTGGATGCGTGATTCTGTCTCCGCGGTCTTTTCGCAAATGTACCAGGTTCCTCGGTGGTAACGCGTTCAGATTCTAATATTCGCAGCCTTTTTGAAGATCGAATAGACTCAGACGAATCAGACGCCGTTTCAACGGACAAAGGAGAGGGCTCTGTCTCTTCAACAATTCGAGCACTGGCCCGGTAAGCTGAAGCCATGAGTGCACGAGACGAGACTATTGAGCTTACGGTGCATTGGGCGGAGGCATATCTTCTGGTCGATATGAGCAGAAATTTCCCTGTCCATTTTTTGTACAGGTCCCACATGCTAAATTATAACATTAGTAGATAGATCGCACAGCAGCAGCCAACGTGCCTCGCCAGTCCCAGGACCTAGAGCACTCACTCGGTTTCATTCGGTCGCAGGCCCGTCGCTTAAATCTGCACCTCGAACATGGTGTTTTAACATAATCAAGTGAGACATTATCCTCTAAATCCTCAATAACTTGTATGTTCTCCATGACAATGAGAATGTGAGAATCGGGGTCAGTTCTTGATGCAGATTGGCCCATAGGCTGTTGATTCGTAACTGGAAAGAATGAATGAGGAGACGAAGGTTTTCAGGATGTCGATTGACAGAATAAAATAAATATATGCATACGAAAGACAACAGGTATGTGAATACATAGAGTGAAGTTAGGCAATGTGTCAATGGTGGAGCACGCGCCGGGACGCGTTCGGGGTGGTGGATCTCGCGAGATTGGTCACGCTTTGGCGGTCCACGGGGAGGAACCATGTGGGCCTGCGCTAGTCTTTAGCAGTAGGGAGTCGGAACTGCCGCTTTGATCGTGGACAGGGTGATGATAGTAAGCCCTTGTTTTAGCAAATCGCACATTGTTCAAACCCAAGGATGATTATTGATTGGTCTTCCTAGACCATAAGTATATCACATCAGAAATTGAGGGAAAGATAATGAAATATCAACATTTGAATTGCGTTTGGTGTTATACAAAGGCGCCTAGTTGGCTAACCACTTCACCCGTCATGACGAGTAGAACCGAATCCTGCGCACTTGATGCATGTCCCCTTAAGAAGCCATCTGAGCATCTATAACAGGTTGTGTGGGCAGCACCTCTGTTTGAGAATATGGTTGCCGCTGTGCTTCGCAGTTTTGATGGAGGGCCATGTTGGGGTTTGAACCAGCTTCACCCCCTTACTCGATCCATTACTACGGCTGAGCACTGTAACAGGGGATCCATTATAAGATAAGACTTTCACCGAAATCATGAAAATAGTCTAGTTCCAGGCTGCTCATTTCTCTGCCTCATCCACCAGTTTTTCAACCTCCTGTTCCGTCCATCGATGGAATAACTTTCGTGCATCGGAAAGCTCAGCCTCCCTAGGCAGTCCATTGTTGACCGATTGCACATGGAGGACAGGTACATCATAATCGTAGACGTCCTTCCATGACTTATTGACTGCTTCCTGTATGTCTTTCTCCACGTATTCGAAAGGACGGCGCTGGTTGAGTTGAACGACTGTATGTTTTGCCGTGTCGCATAGCCCGCAACCGGCTCGGGTGAAAAGGGTCAAGCGAGCTTGACCAAAGAGGCCACGAGTAGGAAGCATAGCTTGGGGGAGGCAACTGAAGGTGTATGGAGAGAGCGATATAAAAATACAAATGATGTTCTCAGAGATCTGAAAGATTTATCGCAAATCCCGAATAGCGAGCGGTCAGACAATCTCCGCGATGGAACCTTCGAGCTTCGCGGGGCTAACCCGATTTAGATAACCTGCGCCAGTGTGTTGCGATTTCTCAATCCTAAGTTTCGGAAAGATCTCTCTACAATCCTCGGTTCTCGTCTCAATCTCCCTACAAGCTAAGGGGCATAACATTGTACGCCATGACCAGCAAGTGTGTTCACAAGGGATGTGGGAAGACCTTCTCCGACCCGGAGGAAGACTGCGTGTACCATCCGGGTCCTCCAGTGTTCCACGAAGGCCAGAAAGGTAAAGTACCTTGGTGCTGGAGCTATTCCACATCGGTGTCCATTCTTCTTTTCTTTACCCACTCAAGCGAAGACAGACTGCAAAGCCGATCTCCCAATGCTACGATTGATCCGGGCTAACTGACTTTGCCCAGGCTGGAAATGCTGCAAACCCCGCGTTTTGACTTTTGAGGAATTTCTCGCGATCGCGCCATGCACCACTGGCAAGCACTCGACTGTCGATGATACACCCGTTCCTGAACCCGCCAAGGTTACCGAAGAGCCCCCTGCTCCTACTCCCGTCGAAGTGAAGACACTGCCCGAGCGCCCCGCTATCACCGCTATTGCGCCGCCCACACCCCCCGCCAACCCCTCACCAGCAGAGCCTGACTCGGACGATCCGTCTCTAGAGATTCCTGCCAACGCAACATGCCGTCGGAGAGGCTGTGGGGCTATATACACGGGGTCCGCGGCGCGGGATGACGAGAAATGTGTGCACCACCCAGGCCAACCGATTTTCCACGAGGGCAGCAAAGGATGGACCTGCTGCAAGCGTCGAGTGCTTGAGTTTGACCAATTCCTGAAGATCCCCGGCTGCACCGAGAAAACAAGACACATGTTCGTGGGCAAGCCCAAGCCTGAAGGCGAAGAGAAGGTGGAATCTGTTCGGTAAGTGTTTCCAACCATTGACTGATCAATACACCCGCGACGTCAAATTGATCCATTGTTTCTACAGCAACGATTTCTATCAGACGGCGACCTCCGTGAACGTTTCGCTCTACTTGAAAAAGATCGACAAGGAACGTGCCAGCGTCAAGCTTGCTGAGAAATCTATCACCTTCGACCTCCCCACATCCGATAACAAGCGTTTCCAGGACACCTATAGCCTCTTCGCGCCGATTGATGCAGAGAAGTCGAGCTTCCGTGTGTTAGGGACTAAGTTGGAGCTGACTCTGGTCAAGGCCGATGGCACCAGCTGGCCGGTATTGCGCAGCGATGACAAGTGGAGTGGACAGCGCATTCAGATTGGCAATGCTGGACGGGCGTGAGAATCGAGCATATAAGACATGTCAAAATAGTTCATGTGTTTATGTAATTTGAAGATAATGCCGGAGCAGAGCTGGTGGTTGATGACCTGGTGGCTAACAGCTGCCTATGATGAAAAATATAATCTTAAGCAGTTGAAGCGACTGAGACAATAATGGGGTTTTAGGTATTGGTCCCATTTAGCACATGCATTATTTCTATACTTCCAAGGTTGGAGAGCAGATCGTCGCAATCTGGTGGCACTTTTAAGCTTTGACAGGGCTTAACAGGCTAGGACACGTTATGGCAATAACGCGACTGAATGCCATGAGCAATGCACGAATTCACGGTTGTCTTTTTGGATAAAATGCATCATAACGTATGCATGAAGTCCCGGAGACCAGTTACAGTACGTCCCGAAACTGGTGCAACCGCCAACATTCATTGAGTGATTATTTAGCCCCATTGCCAAGAAACACTAGTCTATATTGGGGGGAATTCCGACAGTTGCATGGATATTTCCTCGTACGAAGGTTACATAATAATTTCAACCACGTATTAGCTTGTAGATTCAATACATGTGACAAAGGCGGACGACCCCGTAGTATCACTCCAGTCATGCTCGAGGCTTTGTGCGATCGTCTAATTGAGAAGCCTGCCCTATATCTGGAAGAGATAGTGGGTTTTTCTGTGGGACGAGTTCGCTCTTCAAGTAACGAAATCTAGCGTCAGTCGCGTCCTTACCTCCAAAGGCTGGTCAAAAAAGACTGCTCGGGTCAAGGCCCAAGAACGCAACCTTGATTTTCGGGACGAATACCATCATTTTATCTCAGACTTCAAGTCTTACCACCTTGTCTTCGTCGATGAACCTGGATGTGATAAAAGGATAGGTTTCCGGCGAACGGGTTGGTCCCCCCTTAGTACCGCACCGGTTCAAGTGTCGAAATTTCATCGTGATCAGCGCTTTCAAATTCTGCCTGTATATAAACAAGACGGCATTGTTTTGTCTCGAGTGTTCCATGGTTCAACTGACGCATCCATCTTTGAGGATTTTATCGAGCAGCTTCTCCAGCATTGTGGGAAATGGCCCGAGCCGAAGTCTGTGCTAGTGATGGATAACGCATCCTTTCATCACTCGGACAGAATTGAACAGATGTGCTCAAAAGCCGGCGTAAAGATAGTGTATTTGCCTCCATATTCTCCTGATTTGGATCCTATAGAGTTTTCTGCTGAGCTCAAGGCTTTTATCCGGCGTAATTGGCATTCCTACGAAGAAAATCCAGAGCAAGGTTTTGACACCTTCCTCGAATGGTGTGTTGATGTCGTCGGCGCGAGGAAGGGAAGCGCAGAGGGCCATTTCCGTCATGCAGGGTTGTCTATCGAGGAGATGTAGCGTGGCTAAAGTAAAATTCGAGACAGTTTCACTAATTGACTTTGAAGCAACCCCGTTACAGTATATTGACTATCAAATCACTTTTCTGCCCTGACTGCCTGTATTAGCCTCGGAATCCAATGCACCTTCTTTACATAGCATATGCACCGTGCTGAGCTTTGATACTATAAATTGACCAAAATGAGCCAGCGTCCTATTGGGATCATCTGCAATAACGAGATCTCTTCCTACACGCAGGTCTCGAGCAATGAGTTGGACTTCCTTGACATGTTCTAGGCTATAATGTAAGGAAAACTAGCAGAGCTGGATGTTGAAAGTAGTTGAACTGACTTGGTAATTCTTTCAACGACGCATGCTTATGTATTTCCTGGACCAGCTTTCTGACCTGCTTTAGTTCGGGTGTTACATTGATGACTACAACTTTGAAATTTGGAGGTTTGAATTTGTGCTCTACTCGCAAATCTAATGAAAAGAGATCGCACCTTTTCTTAGGTCTCAATGGTTTTCATTGCTATGGGAGATATATATTGAGTTATCACTTCTCACACATATCTAGACACAATGTCTTTGATATCCGCTGAACTGAGCCTAGGGACACCAAGTAAATCATTCGAGAGATTCTTTGCAGGAAATTGGCTGCCAAACCCCGCTCCAAAGATGACACGCTTCAGAAGATTAAACGCAATCACCATACCATCCGGGTTGGGTTTCTGCAACTCAGAAAATGCCGCCTTTTCCAAATCCTTCGTGGACACCTCCTGAGGTGCTACATGCTTTCCAGCAATATCGAGCAATTCCTTCTGAGAAACTTCGGCACTTGAAACAAAGATAGCCTTGTTACTGGTGGCATCCAAATTTTTCAACACTCCAGCAATCGCCTGGCCAACTCCCGCCAGCGTTGTAGTGCTAAACTTTTGATTGCCGCCATCGTAGATTTCGGGGGTTGGGGAAGTCAAGTCCACTAGGAACTTGGCTTGCAAGCCCCAGTCGAAGAACGGTCCATTGATTACCAAAGTATAGCTGGTGTTGAGATTTGCAACTTCCTTCAGATGTTTCTGGATCGCGATTTTGTCGGCATATACTGGAGATGCCGCCGCGTTCGGATTGGTAGTGTCCGAGCCAAATTCGGAGGGAATAATACGCTTGACATTGGCAGACACGGCTGCGTTCACCAAGTTCATATGAGGTTCAAGACCGACCTGTCCGAGGGTGATCACGAGTGCATCTTGTCCCAATAAAGCCTTTTTGAGAGACTCGACTGAACTGTAGTCAACTTGCGCAACATGGACGCGTTCGTTAAAATTGTGACTAGTGGATCGTGAGAGCACAGTCACTTCGAATCCGGCTGAAACAAGCTCTTTCAAAACAGCCGGGCCAAGGTTACCGGTAGCCTGTAAAACATAAGATGAATTAAAATTGAGGACGAACCAAGTACGATAATGGGGTAATAACTCACACCAGCCAAAGCAACCTTTGTTATGGACATAGTGGAAGGGAAGATGGCGATGTCTTATTCAAGAACTGCAGACACAGTGTAGAGGAAAATAATCTAGAACACTTCTGGGGGTTCAATATATAGGTCAAATAGTTAACTAATGCCCACTTATTAATAAGCCCAGATAATGACGCAATATACTACTGGTACGGGGATCCTTTTTTTACGAGGCACTAAGCTACATTTGGTATTTATTACGAGCGGTTGGCAGCATTACACAGCATTACATCGTGACAAGTTCTCGTAATTCTCGTAAATTTTAGAAGAGCAGAATGGAAAGGAGAGGCCAGACGAATATTTTAAAGGAGCTATTTCTGAGATTTGATTTGCGCTGTAAAATTCTTATTGTAATAGCTAGAGCCTCATTTTTATTATTCTATACGATGACGAGAGTGCTACAAAAGTTCGTCCTGGCCGGCGTCTCGCTTGTGTCGGTCTATCTAACTGTCTTCGCCAGCATCGTTCGTCGCTATGCCAATTGGCCTCAGCTCCGATCGTCAATCCTTTCCGGGCATCTCAAGGCTTTGAGCGATGTCACCGCCAATGGTGACAAGCCGAGGCAAATTGGTAAGTACTAAGGCTCTGTGAGAGTAACGGGAAAACGTGGAGTTATGTCACTGACGCTGGCGGTAGATATTGTCTTTTCCGAAATCTGCGGAACGCTGGGCAACGTACCAATATTCCTATTAGATCTCTATCCAGTGGCGCCGGTCTTATGTGTGGTTTGCAGTCATGATGTTGCTGAACAGGTCACCAAAGCTTCCAAGGCCTTTCCGTATAGTATCCCCAAGGCACCAACAACAAGAGCGTTCGAGGACTTGTTCGGTCCCAGATCGATCATCAACGCGGGGGTATATCTAGGCACACACCCAAGATAAAATTGTACTAGGCCTGTGAAGCGCTAATTCTGACCAATGTAGGGCGAAGAATGAAAGTCACTCCGCAGACGATTTAATCCTGGATTCGCTTCGAAACATCTGATCCGCCTCTTGTCCTGTATGGGCAGGAGCTGGCCAATATTAAGGCACGGGCCATTCTGGCGTCCATTGTGAGACAGTATAATTTTGTCAAAGTGGGGTTGGGAGAAATCAAGCTTAATGAGAGTGGGGAACCGGTTGTGAATTCCACGGGGCAGTGTGAAGTGAAATCTAGGCTATATAACGTGAGTCCCACACTACTTCCAGTGCAACAACTTGGGATACGGAATACTTGTGATAGAATAGGCAACTGACCGATTCCACAGACGCTGGAGGTTACTGCGAAGCCAGTAGATGGAACCAGAATGAGAGTTCGACTCACTACAAAGGAACTGGAGAGGTCATGACAGGCCTCTGCCCTGCATTGGGAAGAGATCCGTTTAGGTACTGTACAGTTAATTAGTCTTCTCCTTTCTTGTACCCAATCTCGCGCATCGGCCATGTAAGCGAAGACCTAAGATGGCTGTCCAAGGTCTTATAAACCATGTCAAGCACTCGATAACCCCATGAAGAAAGCCACCAGTTCGCTCGAAGCTGGTGCAGTGAAACACAATAATGGGCAAGGACAATCAAAGCCAAAGGATCTCGCTGCGATATCAGGTCGAAGAAGGCAGTGGGAGTTAGAGATATCCACAGAAAACTAGAGGGTAATCCCCCACCATGGTTCAAGCTGGCTAAGGGGACTTTCAGGAGCTGAATGGTTTCGTGAAAGATTTCATAATCATGAGCTGCATTTGCGCGCCGTGCCTGCTCATTTAACTCGTGCAGAGCCGATAGAGCCGATAGAGCCGATAGAGAAGGGTCGGAGAGTTCAAACCCCGATTCCTCTAGCATGGCCAGTCGACCGACTTCTCCATTCTTAATACTTTCGTAATTTCCGGCGGAAAAATTCATCATTGTCTTAGTGAACATAAGCACGTGATGGATGTCATCCAGTGAATTTGATCCAAAAGTTGGCTCTACGGCGAGCGGAAATCCAAAAGAGAACATCACCAAGATTAGCGATAATGAAAATGCGGCGTCGCATTTCGGGGAAGCCATGTTGGTGAGAGCCGGAGTGAACAACGTAATGGCTTCGCTTTGATGATACTCGGCGACTCGAAGAAGACTGTCTCGCTCCGTTTTCTCGGTGCTGGTCAGTGTGAGATGAAGTGCCGCCAAACCTAACACGCCATGGAGCAGGAACGGGTGGGAGAGGGAGATCCGGGGGATAATATGTTGCCAGATCCACTCTAGATCCTCACTTCGGGAGACAGATCGATACACGGTTGTCGTCCAGTGAAGAAGGAGTCGTAAATGCTGCGTGTTGAAATCGCCGCGTTCTTGGGGCCGTCGAGGTGAAATTGCGTCCATGTAGTTATGTTGAGTTGGCTGAGTCCCACTAACATCCGATGGTCCACGGTGACCCAGATCTTCCCATGGCCATGGAAATAGTGTCGAATATTGGCAAGAAGACTGACGATTGAGACAACGAGTGCATTTCGGCCGTCCCTCGTCACACTGTGGGATAGGTGCGACTTGAGCTATTATGGCGTAGAAAAGCGGAGTTGAGATCCTCTTACCTTGACACTACGACGCTTGCATTGCAAACAGCCATGGTGTGATTTGGATTGATATCGGCGGGGAGGCATAATTTTATTACGTGTTAAGGGATGTCGAAAACGAAATCTCCCGTGATGGGGACTGAAGCGCTAAGCCCCCCAGACCGACTTGGACATAGGAGCAGAAGGGAAATGACAAATCGCCAGATTCTCGAGGGACTCCGAAGCTCTAGTGTTTGACTTGTTTGCATTTCCAATCCTAGTTCACTTGAATCGCCAACACAGTCACAAGACGAGGCAACGTATTTTAATGAAAGTAAATCACGGTATCGGAACTGGTACAGGAAGATTGTTATTCCAAATATGGTCTAGTGCTTCTTAGCAGTGGGGCTAAATAATCACTTGAAGAGTGTAGGCGGTTGCACTAGTTCATACTGTATGTATGCCCCGCTGGGAGTTAACCTTATGTGCTTTAAGCGTATCTGCCCGGAATGCCAGACAGCTGAAGGCCTAAAAGATTACCGTCTTCATATCAAGATTCTACATGTCAATTTCTAAGCAAAATCTTGATCGCGAAGAGTGATTTTAAAAATGGGATGTCGTGCCCCCTCCACAGCATAAGCGCATGGAGCTCCCGTGAGGGAACCCTAGCTCAGCCATAATTGTTTGGGATAAAGGGAGACCATTTGTCTGCAGAGCCGGGAACGGAAGGAAGCCCATGGAGGTACGAAACCACAAGGACAACCCTCAGCAAGCCGCGTACGGAGCCCTGGGAGAAAATTTTACATTGTTATGTAAAACCTCTACTGATGATGTGGAAAAGAAAAAGAAAACCTTCCTGGGCCGGGGTGACCGACCGTATTTATACCTGTGCAGGTGAGTTGACGCTAGTGCTGATTGGGCCGGGACTAATACTTCTGCCGGGCTCCGCGCGCTAGTGGTAACCGAGAGAAATATCAAACTGTCGGATAAACAGTTCTGCCAACCTCCGCCAGCCTAGTCCTGATGAGGCAGGTAGGGCCTAGTTTTTGCCTAGGGCATAGCAGGTCCATGTGACATCCCCTGTCTCACATGTGAAAGTGTTGTAACCCCCCGCCTAGTGGAGTTATTCTGCCGTTGCGGCCCATCTTTTTTCTTTGACAAAGGTTACACGTCAACAGTCATGTAGCCCATGTACTACGAAATCCTATTTAGTATCGATATCAACTCCATTGCTATGTAATCAGTTTCATCTTATTCTATCATTTTCCCCTTGCGTACTACATAATGCTGCACTCGGGTCAGGATCCATGGATGTCCCATTAATTGGGGCTTTACTCTTCCAATCATGGGTCAGGAGCACGAGACCAAATCAATCCCCTGTCTCATTCTTCGCCTTTAAACCTTAGTCTCAACAACAACTCAGGCTGCAGCCTTAAAACCATTATTTCATTTCCACATGCGACCTCTTTCCTCCTAAGGAAATCTTAAACATAAAAACTTCCCAAATATTCCATTTGATCCTTCACTGCCTTCCTTTGCAGATCTCCCGTTCTCCAACGTGCCCCCCAAGATAAATTGTTTGAGCCTCCAGGAATAGACCCTGTCTCGGATTTCCACTAACATTAGCTAGGCCCAATCTCTCGGGACTTGATTTAAAGCCCACGATTCGGACCAAGACCCTGAGACCCAACTTTTTTTTCTCTTTCAAACTCCGACAACCCCCTATTTCCACCCCACCATGGGCTCCTCCGAAAACCAGATCGCGACGCCAAACTTGCGATACATTCCCCTCTCCTATAGCCCCGCAGACTCTCAGGCATCCGCCCTCCGGCTGATCCTGACCCTCCTCCCAGAATGGGAAGGCCCAGAGAACAAGATCGAGTTCGTGCGCTTCACTGATGGCATCACCAACACTGTGTGTCCTCCCCGCAGTCGTCCAAGGGCCTTGATCCCGGAGGGCCACCTACAACATCCGGCCCTGGCTAACTGGAATGATACAGCTTTTGAAAATCATCAACCGCAAGACCGGCTTGACCGACGAGCAGGTAGACAACGATGCGGTATTAATGCGCGCATACGGCAATGGCACCGAGATCCTCATAGACCGCGAAAGTACGAAGACCCAGGAGATGGGATTAATCTCCTAGTCCCTCTCCCTCTCCCTGCGATTCATACATTCGCTGCCCAGTGCGACATATGCTAAAGTAGATTCTTGTGCGTGATTCTAGGAGAAACTACTTCCCACGCCCTTCTTGCCAGCTGTGGCCTCGCTCCCCCTCTGCTCGCTCGTTTCAATAATGGCCTTCTCTATCGCTTTATCCGTGGCAAGCCCTGTGGCCACGAGGACTTGGCAACTGCTCCCATTTACCGTGGTGTTGCTCGGCGACTTGCGCAGTGGCATGCGGTTCTCCCTATTGCCGGCGCCGTCACTACTTCCGGGGCAGACTGGGCCGGAGCCAATGGTGAGAAGCAGGGCTTTGAGATGATCCAACCGCGTCGCGCGGGGCCCTCCATGTGGGCCGTCCTTCAGAAGTGGATTATGGCTCTCCCGGTGGCCACGCCTGAACAGCGGGCCCGCCAGTTAAACCTGCAACAGGAACTTCAGTGGGTGGTGGGTAAGCTCGACGATGGAAAGGGGATCGGCGAAGATGGGGTAAGCCATGACCGCATGCACTTATTTTGTTATTTGGGTGGACACAATTGATTGACTTCTGCCTAGCTCGTGTTCTCTCACTGCGATTTGCTTTGCGCCAACGTGATTGTTCTGCCCAGCGACGACAACTCTAAGCCATCCGACGATGTTACCCCAGTCAATTTCATCGACTATGAATATGCTGTCCCCGCCCCTGCGGCATTTGATATTGCAAACCACTTGGCTGAGTGGATCGGCTACGACTGCGACTACAACATGATCCCCACACAATCAGTGCGCCGTCAGTTCCTAACTGAGTACACTAAGAGCTATATTCATCACCGCAAATTGGATGCTTCTTCCGAGAGCGAGATCGTAGCCAAATTGTATGAAGATGTTGACCGATTCCGTGGTATTCCCGGTCTATACTGGTGAGTGACGTAACCCCCGCATACCAGACCCCACCTTGAAAACAACCCCGAAGAAGACGGTCACTAACTAATCCACACAGGGGTGTATGGGCTCTTATCCAAGCCCAAATCTCGCAAATCGATTTCGACTACGCCAGCTACGCCGAACTCCGTCTAGGCGAGTACTGGGCCTGGAAGCGCGAAATCGACGGAACCCGCCAAACCAGCGGCGAGGCCATGCCCCTCCGTGAGCAGCGCTGGGCGCAACAGGCATGATAAGCCCCTCACCGCATAACACTTCACCACTCGCCCATTCCCTCTCGTCCCACCACAGATTCGTGGGATTAATATTATTCGACAGCCACTGCCCCTCACTCAATGGCCCGCACTATACCCCACTCCACTTTTTGGACTAAACCAACAACCTGCCTTAGAGTAACCCACGCGCACGGGCTTATCTCCAGGTTAGCACTTGGTTAAAAATTTCAACATTGCCGGAGAGTTAGAAATGGGACCAATCGATACGAGAATTGGGAGCCACGTGCATGAGTGGGGAGAAGATGTTGAAAATAAAATGGTCCGCCACAGGATCTATATGCATTGCGACGTCATTGCTGCTTTTGTTCCGTTCTGCCGATGTTTTTTTCTTAAACCTGTTCATGAGTCTTTTCCTTTGTCACCAAAATCGGGTGTTCTGTGTTGATCAACTTTGCACATAGCTTTTGGAGGATCTCAATCTTAGTCAGTTGGAATATATTATTGGCTATCACTTAGCTAGTTATTTAATTAATAATGTTTTGCCCGATTTGTATCTACGGTGATCTACCTGCAGATTGTCCTTATGCACTCTGCTGTATATGGGTGTAATGTTGTATCGACTCGCGGACAGGGTCCACCCTGCATTTCATGCATTCTGCATTGGGCTAGAGACATGACACTTCTTCTTCTCATAAGGCAATCGGGATTTGAAAAGGCTTGGTGCAGCCCTGTTAGGCCGTTTGGCCTTTTTCAATGAAGGCATATCCGTCTTTTAGATGGGTTGGAACCCTAACCTTGACCAGGTGATCAAATTATCAAGAGTTCTGTATGGGCTACACTTAAGAAGTTCATTTTCTACCAATTTCAAGTTTCACTCAATTTCGAATGTCCTCTAACAATTTGGTCTCACTACTTTTCCCATTCTCGTCATGTCCATCGAGCTCAAATACTTCACATCCCTCGAAGCCTAGGTATATTAGTCGAGTTATTTGACGTAAAACCCCGTGATCTCGTTGCCAAAAGCACCTTCCCAGCCTTCATAATTCGAATCTCCGATACACGCATCTCGAAATTGATACCACTCAAACACACTTCCATGAAGCTCATCTCGTTCTTCCTCGTCCAGCTGAAAATACCAGTTCTCCAATGCAATGAGAAACCGTCGAGGCTCATCATAAAACATCCAGTCATCCGACTTGCCCAATTGTCTCGCACCATCTTCCAGCTCTGCAGCAGGTCGACCCCAGCTGTATCCTTCGCTATCATAGGCACAATAATGCCCGTTGAGTATCATGTTCCCTTTTCCAATCTTTCCACGCCGAAGGTCTGGGGCTGATTTCACGTCGTGGATCTCGCAGAGTTCTGATTTGTTCTTCCACTCGGGGCTCTTGCTGGCCCATTGGATGTATCTCTCGGTTTGCCAGGCTATCATTCTTTTGAAGTTGTCGCGGTGGGGTGTATTGTAGATTTTGTTGTCGCCGACGACTCTGATTAGGAGTTCGTCATCGGAGTCTTGGGTGGTATTCTGTGCGGGTCTGGTTTTGGAGGCTCCTTGTTTGCCTTCAGGCTTGTGGCTGCAGGTTTTAAAGGTATTCTCTGGCAGGGCGTTGGTTTCAGTGGCTCCTGCTTGCTCGACTTCAGATCTGTCGCTCTCACCATCGTTCCCTATCTCGGTCTCGATCTCGATGGGGTGATATTCGCCTTCATAGTAGCTTGGCTCTTCATGATCGAGAACCTCCATTTCAAAGAGTTCGAGTCCAGTCTCGGGAACGTTGTCATTGTCGTCTACAAGATTTTTGTGATTCTCCGTTTCCGCCTCCATATCGGTGGAATCTCGCTTTCCATCTCTGTTCGTCACCCCAAAATTGGCCACTAGCCTTTCCCGAGTCTGTCTTAAATAGAGGTCTGCTTTGTATTGTTCCTGCTCTTTTAAGACCCCTTCGTCGAGTTGTTTGCCCATTTTGTAACCCTCCTGCTCCGTGATCCACATTCTTCTGAGTGCTTGTCGCTTTTCGAGACTCTGCAGCCTAATCTGCTTATGGTCAAGCTTTCCCTTCAGGTAAGCCAGCTTTGACTTATTTTCCTTGCTTTCTACCTCGCACTTGAGGAACCTCAGCAATGTTTTCATCCATGAATGTCGCTTGTTACCAATATCTGTCTGTTTTTCCTTGAGAGTTTTGTGGGCTTTGGCTAGCTTATGAGTACTGGCCTTGGCGACAGGTGTTTCTTTGGAAAAGGGATTGGTAAGATGGAGTAGATATGAATGGATTTAGAAAGGGAAGAGCATGAACCAGTGGGTGTCTTGGCGATAGATGTTCGAAAGCTTAGAAGTCTGCCAAGATTTAAGTAACTAGTTGATTAGTTGATAAAAGTAAGAGTGCTGTGATGTGGAAAGAAAATTGAGTACGGGGAGGTTTAGCGTCTTGAAAAATTCCACATGGCTGGCAAACAACTTGAGACCCCCGGATATTCCCGAGTATAAGGAGGTTTCTTACGATTGTTTGCTGGAGACCTTTTGCTTGCCAATTCCAAACTTGCGGGGGTCTTTCAAATATAGTAAGAATACACAGATAGGTATGAATGATACGCAGCAACCTCATTTTCGAAATGGGAAAGGAAAGCAAGAGCGTTTGACATATCGAGCTATGGAGGGATATAGAAAAAGAAGAAAGCGATCTTGAACAGTAAAGCACTGAAGAAACCCAGGGAACGTCATGTGGCACCGAAATTGTTTTTCAACTTCAAATTTCATTGTTAATTTTACCATAACAAAATATCCTAGCAATTTGACACCACATTTCTCAATCTCCCCGCTCATACAAACTTGAAACCACAAATCCAGATCCACGAACACAACGCGAGATTTCATAAACAGGTTCAATCGGTCTTCTCACTTTCCCCTCTGCTCATTCGGCATCTCTTTCCCTTCCCACAACCACACACCGAGAAGGCCTGGTTCCATTTTCCAGGTTCAGCTGCTTGTATCTCAATCCAATACCAGGCACTTTCGGCGAGTGATTTCCGTTTTGGTTCATCTTGCTCAAAATACCATTCCTCCATGGCAATAAGAAGCTTTCGTGGCTCATCGAGCAATATCCAGTCTTCTGGATTGTTACAATGGGACCTTGCAGCTACTCCAAGGGCTGCTGCGGGTTGACCCCATGGGTAAAGGCTGAGTTTTTCATCAGAATCCTCGTCCATAGTTCCATGATAAAAGCAGGTACGTGCAAGGACGATTCCCAAATTTCCGTCCTTGAATGGCTTTCCTTTCTTCAAATCCTTAGCTGTGCGCATATGAAAAGCCGAGTAAAAGAATTTCTTGTCTTTGAACGGACAATCACTGAAGTTGACATGATCATCCCAGTCCTCGTCGTCGGTCCATTGAATATGCCTCTCGATCTGCCAGGCCACCAGCCTCTTGAGATTTCTGTATGGGGGCGGATAAATGGAAATTTTCCAAGGGATTTTGTCATCGTTCAGCAATATTTTGTGGTCATTGTCTTTGTTTGCATAATCGTCCTCAGATTCATCTCCAGAGTCAGAGTCAGAGTCATGGTCATGGTCATGGTCCGGAAGGTTGCCAGATACATCGTCTACGATGCCATCAGAATCATCGCTCTTGGGCTTCGAGTGTGCTGTCCTTTCGTTAGATTCCTCAAAAGTCGCTCCGAGCCCACATGTGTCTTGACAATACCTTCGTCCTTAGCCATAGAGATAGATAGTCTGGCCCTCGACTCCCTAACCTTTTCTTGCAGACTGACAAGATTGTCAAAAGTATCCAGGAGGATATCGTCCAGCATTTGGGGAGTTATGTCAGCCATGGTCGATTGTTTTCCGATTTTGCCTGGGATCGAATGTTGGAAGGAGGATAGGGGGAAGTAAGAGAAGAAGTTGGTTCATGAATATTGAACTGAGTCGTTCTTTTAAATAGTGAAATTCCTGCATCTATTGCAAAACAAACAAATTAAAATTTACCGGGGATCTCCTTCTGCTTGCTAGATACTTCAAATTAATAAGCCAAACACGATGATAGACAAAATAAAGATGTGATAGGCTATCTAGGAATTTCAAGGTGGGTAGCTGAGAATCACTGAACAGGGACAGAAGCTCTGTTCTCCATATCCCAATTTGAAAAGAAAAGATGCTCTTGTCAGCTGCAGCGGCATAATTGCCGTTAGAAGAATGGCGTATTACAGTTTTTTCTATTTTCAAAAACAATACAAGGCACAGTCATGGAATGCATTTTGTTGTTATCTAAAAGTATAGCGCTATAGGCCATTCCATCATTTGGAGGGCTTCAAGCTAGATCGAACAGTGCGCATATTTCAAATATTACAGCCAGTGGGTGTTCTAAATACCTACAGATATTCCGTTAGTTGCTCACGCGTCTACTACTGTTCGAATTCTCCATAGCCAAAACCCCAACCTGGAAAGTCAACTGGTCTATAAATCTCACGACCATGAGACTTGGGGTCACCTGATCGGCTAAGGTCGTTCCTATCGGACTGACTTTATCCGCTCTCCTCTTGGCAACCGCCCAATCTGGAAAGGGTCTTTGCCTAAACTATTTCCCCGGACCCACTACAACATCATATCCAAGGTCCCAGTACATGATGTCCAGTTCTCCTCCATTGAGATTGTCGGGTCACCGCCAATTGTGGTCCCGGTGAGAATGGTTCCCGAAACCCGACGGACCAAGCATGTCAGGCAATAAGTCATAGCCGACAGCAGCCCCAAGTATAAAAGCCAACCGTGAATGTCATGACTACCGCAACTCTCTCTAACTTAACTCCTCGACCCCCACCCCATAATGTCTGTCAAAGTTGCCATCATCGGCGCAGGCCTAATTGGCCCCCGCCATGCCCAATCTGTCCTCTCAAATCCATCCACAGAGCTAGTCGGGCTGGTAGACCCCGCTCCAACAGGCGCAGCCACCGCCGCCGAATTAAAGACAAGCTACTTCCCTTCCGTATCAGCCCTTCTATCCTCCCCAGACAAACCAGACGCAGCAATTGTTTGCACGCCAAATCACACCCATGTTCCCGTCGCAAAGGAACTCCTAGGAGGCGGCGTTCACGTCCTCCTCGAGAAACCATTCAGTGAAACCCTAGAAACAGGCCGCAGTCTACTGGAATACGCAAACGCGCCTGAGCGCGCCCATCTCAAACTTCTAGTCGGCCATCACCGCCGTTTCAACCCCTATGTACGCGCGACTAAATCCGTTCTCGACTCCGGCTCCCTAGGACGTCCAATCGCAATCAACGGCCTCTGGACCATCTGCAAACCAGCAGCATACTTCGCACCACCAGGTGACTGGCGCGCATCCCGTGCCCGAGGTGGCGGCGTGATTCCCATTAACCTCGTCCACGATATCGATTTAATGCACCATTTCTTCGGCCCCATCGTCCGCGTACAAGCCGAGAAGACTCTCCCACAACGCCCAAGTCCACCCCACGACGCAGATGAAGGCGGCGCATTAACACTGCGCTTTGCATCGGGTGTTGTTGGTACATTCATCGTCTGCGATGCTACGCCTTCCCCGCATAACTTTGAGACTGGCACCGGGGAGAACCCGCTTATTCCCCGTTCGCCTACGGGTGAAGGTGCAGACTTTTATCGTATCTTTGGCTCCGATGCGTCGCTTAGTGTGCCGGATTTGACCCGGTGGAGTTATGATGGGCGACCTGAGAAGAGTTGGTCTCAGACTCTGAATGTTGAGAAAATTCCGCTGCCGGATGAGTCCGCGCCTTTTGATTTGCAGCTTGAGCATTTTGTGGATGTTATTAGGGAAAAGGCGGTGCCTAGTTGTTCTGGGGAGGAGGGGTTGAGGGCTTTGGTTGTTTGTGAAGCTGTTCAGAAGGCCATGGAAACTGGTCAGCCTGTTGAGATTGCGGTTGATTTGTTGACATGATCTATATATAAATTAACGCGTTGCGTGAAATGTACTTGTGGAAATTATTTGTACTATTATATCGTCTATAGGAAAGGAGGCCGATTGTGAAAAACATTCGTTACATGAACCTTGAAACTTGTATTCTATCAAAGGTTTCAATCGAGTATGGAATTGGAATTTGGAGTGTGGAGTGTGGATATTTGCATCGCAAATTTTTTCAAAAGTTTCTGTTTTTTATGGTGATTTATGAAGTGAAGAAGATAATTGTGGCAAAACATTGTCATTATTTAATTCTATTGGTATCAAACCAGGGCAAGACTCTCTGAGTCATCACCATATATTCATCACAAATATAGACATCAATCGCAAGATAACATATCAACAGGAAAAAAAAAACCTTATTAAGTACCCATTATAGTCATTTCCATTAGGCGTACTTGGAGGTTTCGACGGCGGTGTCCTCGACCTGCTCGGCACCAACCTTGCTGGCAGCAAGACCAGACTCTTCGATCTCGTGACGGAAGTTCTCCTCGTCCTCGCGCAGCTTGTTGATGATCTGAGAGTGCGCATTTCGGATCGGCTTGATCGCGAAGAGCTGATCCATACTCTCGAGGGGAACACCCTTTGTCTCCGGGATGAGGAAATACACGAACACAATGGAGCAGAGCATGAGCGACGCGAAGAAGAAGTAGACGCCGTAATCCATCTTGGCGAACATCTGGGGGGTGAAGCGGGAGATGAGGAAGTTCCAGAGCCAGTTGGACGCGGCGGCACAGGCCTGGGCAAGGGAACGCATGTTGGGGTCGAACATTTCAGAGTTGAGGACCCAGGGGGTACCGTTCCAGGTTGGGGTGTAGAAGACGGTCCAGAGGTAGAAGAAGAACATCGCTGCGATACCGCCGCCGTCCATGTGATCCTTGGGGTTGTCAGCTGGGGCGGCGATCTTGATGTAGGCACCGACGATCCAGAGGCAGACGGAACCGCCCAAGGCGCCGATGAGCAACAGGTTGCGACGACCGACACGATCAATTAGGTATAGAAGCCAGACAAAGGTGACGACAGTTTTGACAACACCGAAGATACCGGTGGTGAGCATGCTAGTGTTGGCACCATTGACACCAATACTCTGTAAAAAGTGGTCAGCGAATATGTCATTCGTTAGGGGTTGTGATAATAGCTTACCTTAAAGACGGTCGGGGAGTAGTAGTTGATGGCGTTAATACCGGAACCATTCTGCCAGAAGAACAGCATGCTTCCCAGGAACAGGCGGTACATGACTTTGTTGTTGGAGTAGGCAGCCTTGAATGGCTTCCAGAAACCAAGGCCAATAGACGAGCGCTGCTCTTCCAAGGCCTGGTCAATGGCACCAATCTCTTCAATAATGTAGATATCGTTCTCTGGTAGCTGGCGAACCCAGCACAAGTTCTTGATGGCCTGCTCACGGCGACCTTTAGAGAATAGCCAACGAGGCGATTCGCGAATGAAGGATCCACCGATAAGCAAAAGGCCTGCAGGAATAAGCTGGACGGCGAAGGGAATAAGCCACTGCTTGTGGCTAGGGGCCATAGTTGAGTCGACACCATAGTTGATCCAGAAACCAACCAGGCCGCCAACCTGCCAGCCAAGCTCATACACACCGACGAGTCTACCACGGATAGCCGGGGGAGCCAATTCAGAAATGTAAATAGGGGTGATATTGGATCCAGCACCAACACCCAGACCAGCCAGGACACGACCAGCGTAGATCAAGCCCAAGCCACGGTCGCCATTGGCACCCAGCATGAGACCAGCGCCGAGAATGAAGACCAAAGCAGAAATCAGGAGAGCGATCTTGCGACCCCAGAAGTGGCCAAGGGGATAACCAAAGAATGCACCGAAAAAGGCACCGGCTTGGTAAAGGGAGACAATGTTGGCGCTGAGCAAATTCTGTGCCGGTTTGGACATGGTGTCGAACTTGAACTCATCCTTGAATGAATCCAGGGCCAATGTAGTACCGATGAAGGCACTATCATAACCGATCATGCAAGAGGTGCATGACGCCACAGCCGCCAGAAGGTATACCTTCCAGTTGTACACGGCCTTAGGGGTCGGTCGGTCCTCGACCAACGCGAGGATACCCATGATGTGTAGAAATGAAAAGATCAGATAATAAGGAGGATTGAAAAAATAGACGAGGTCAAGCGCTCGACCTGTGTTACCAATGCAAGTTGCAGAGGAACAGTCAGATCACTCGCGAAGAGTTACCACACTTGTGGTGAAAGGGGGAAGGGAGCAAAGGGTGGTGGTGTTGGGAAAGAAAACTTGGGTGGAATGGAAAATGAAGATATCTCTCCACGATCGGGGGGCAAGACGGGGAATAAATAGTCTCCCCAGATGGAGACGGTAAAGTGTTTTTGTGGGGGAAAATCGATAAAATCCGGGGATAGAGCTCTAGAGGCGAGAAAACGTGGAGGCGGAGAAGTGTATAGCGCAAATTACCTTTTCTTCGCCCTTGGGAAGTGTGCGCCAACGCCAAGTCGGCAAAACGATGAGAGACGAAATGAGAGGGCCGAGCGAGCGAAAGAACAAGGATTAGACTCTCGGTCATCTTGGCCAGAGAGTTTTGAGCTTTTTAGCCTGGTTAAGGCTTGGGGGGCGTTTTTTAGCGATGGCGGATTGGACAAATATCGAGTGAACAAGCGTTGGTTGGTGGAACTCTAAGAATGTGGGGATTCCAAGCCGCGCAGAAGTGGGGAAGGGTTCTTGGCCCGGGGGACAATCACGCGGCTAGGTCGCGATCGTTCTCTCGCGACCTGGGGTACGTCTGGGGAGACAAAGCAGATTCAATTGTCCTTGATAGGCTGTGCAGATGGGGAAACAGACAATTGTGATTGGTTTAGCTCAATTGACCCACGCATTGGCTATAACAGGATCAACCAATGGTGGTTGAAGATGTTGTGGTGGCGGGGAAAAGCGATCCCCCGGCTGTCTCTGGCCTGTGGACTCAAACTTGCGGCAACCCCGTGATCACACTACAGCGTAAAGTGTGTGTACTCTATATTCTTCATCATTGTACGCCGCTCAAGCAGCCAAAAAGAAACTTCTTATGATAATAAGGTTCTTGCACTTGTAATTTGTACCAAACTCCAAAAAATCACGTCGTGTTTAACTTTTCTCATTGTGTGTACATTCTATACTCCGCTGCAGTACAAATCCTCATGAGGATATACTTAGATGTCTGTCACCAGCCTAGGTCATATGAACATGATCAAATCAATGTCAAGTCTAGCCTCAAGTACATGCCCTGCTGAGTCCTAAATTTAGTTGCTCAGCCACATGAAATTTTTAGCGCAATCAACTAGCCACGGGGGAGCCACTTTAAACAGTATTTTCGGGCCGTATGCACAAAATACTTCTCAGAATTATCCATGAGCCGGCCATGATAACATCGATTGTCTGATTGGCTCGGGCAAACTCTGCGCAAAGGCCAAGTATGTACATCACAGTGCATTTCCCCGTGGGGTGAAAAATGTAGTTGTCGGAAAAGCGTTCACCCCTCCGTCAGATAGAATATCAGAATAGCAATCTCAGAGGCCGAATGAATTCTAAAGCAACACAAAACCAGGAAATAACTCAGCAGAGGCAAAATTGAGTTTCATCAGATCAATATAATCATCATTGATTATTGGGGTGTGGAAATGTGGAAGTTTGCAAAAGAAGTATAACGGCGAAAAGTGTTTCTCCGCCTTGAGGCGGGACGTTGGGACCGGCTTTACTTTTACTCGAGATTAAAAACCTGATGATAGCTTCAATACATAGCCGCTCGGCCCGATTATAATCAAGCCCCTCATTATTTCTTTCAATTTTATATATTCTCTTCCCCTCCATTCCACTTTTCCTATACCCAACACAAAAATAAAAATTCACACAATGGCCGCACCCGCAGTCTCCGTCACCCAGACTCAGCCAGAGGAGCCCATGACCATCCCCGACAACCGGGATGGTGTGGCCTACCTGTACGGCCACCCGCTGCTGAACTCCCTGTCGCCTCCTCTGCACCAGACTGTCTACAATGCGCTCGGCCTCAACTGGACTCAGATCCCTCTGTCCAGCGTGTACGGCACATCCGCTTCCTACCCTCCCCCATACACCAAGTCCCCCTCCATCGAGACTTTCCTGGCCTCAATCCGCTCCAACCCCAAGTTTGTTGGATCCTCCGTGACAATGCCTCACAAGGTCGCCATTATGCCTCACCTGGATGATTTGACTGAGCACGCCCGGCAGGCCGGTGCCTGCAACACCATCTTCCTGCGCGACGACCCCACTACCGGCAAGCGCCAGTACATCGGCACCAACACTGACTGTGACGGCATTCGCGAGGCCCTCACCCAGAACGCTCCTAACCCCGAGCGCTTCCGCGGCCGGCCCGCGCTCATCATCGGTGGTGGTGGTACCGCCCGCACCGCTATCTACGTTATGCGCCGCTGGCTCGGCTCCAGCAAGATCTACGTCGTCAACCGTGACGCCGCTGAGGTCGCTGCTATCATGGAGGAGGACCGCCAGCGCAACCCTGACCCTAACGCTCAGGCTCCTCTGATTCACGTTACTGATCCCGAGGAGGCTGCTCGCCTTGAGGCTCCCGCCGCTATCGTCTCCGGCATTCCCAACTACCCTCCCAAGACCCCCGAGGAGCTGAACGCTCGCGCTGTTATCCAGGCTTTCCTCGGTGACGAGTCTTCTGCCGATAAGCAGGAGGGTGTCATCCTTGAGATGTGCTACCACCCCATTCCCTGGACTGATATTGCCAAGCTTGCATCCGCTGGTGGCTGGAAGGTCATCCTCGGCTCTGAGGCGCTGATCTGGCAGGGTCTGGAGCAGGCTCACCTCTGGACTGGCAAGGACATTATCAACACTCCCGGTCTTGTTCAGAAGGTCAAGGACACTGTTTCTGAGATCCTGGCTGAAAGACTTGCCAAGTCTAACCTATGATTTATTTAAACCCTTTCTTTTGGGATTATTCTCCATGTCATGTTACGATTGTATAGACACCTCAAAATTCTTGCATATATTAGATAGTTGATGCCAGTTGTGAAATACATTACATACTATGAATTCACGGATACAGGTCTTCCAAACTCGTAAATATCTCATTATAGCATATACCGAAAATCTGTACAATCCGATAATCTAAGATCTAATACAGTGATCTATGAATCCCTTACGCGCCGGGGCGAGTGTAGGACAGGTGGCGTACCCGCCGCCAGACTTCGCGCACCGTGCGCTCCTGCGTTTCCCGGCCAGTCTCAGTCTCAGAAGGTCCAGCAGGTCTAGAACCAGTCAATTAGCGTTCATTCTTAACACTCAATCTCACCCCAACTCACCTGATGGCCAGATACAGTCGACTACCAAGTCGCATATCCTCAATAGGCGCAGTGTCCGGATTCTCAGGCGGATTGGCCGTAGTAACAAGTCCACCAGCCTCAAGAAGAATAGCAATTCCAGCAGCGACATCCCTAAATATCAGTCAGTACAACAAGTACAACCATCAGTACCGGGAGGCAATATAAACTCACCACTCCCAACAACCACCTTCCCACCAAATATCGAAAGAACCCATGGCAGTATACGCCAAGTCCAGCGTCGCACTGCCCAGACTCCGCATACCATGCACCATACCACCCTTACCCCCTCGCGAACCCAGCTCCGCCGCCATATTGACAAAACTCTCAATTTTACGATGCATATTTCCATCCGGTATATCACGTCGGTCCTTTCCCCATTCGCAGGAGAAGACACATTGTGAGGGCGCATTCGCGGGCATGGGTGGGATGGATGGCTTGCGGATGAGTGGGAGCTGACGTTTCTCGTTTAGCCAGGCTCCTCGGCCGGTGCAGGATGAGAAGAGCTGGTCTTGGAACGGGGCATAGATGACGCCGATGACGGGTTTATGGTTCACAATAAAGCCGATTGAGACGCAGAACATGGGGAAGATGTGGGTGTAGTTGACGGTTCCTGGAGGTCATAATGGTGTTAAAAGATTTGATACATACATGGGAGGGAGAGGTCGTTACCATCTAGGGGATCAATGCACCATGTTGGTTGCTCATCGATTAGGTAGTCGCGAGACTCGCCTTTGGCATAGGTTTCTTCACCGAGGAATCTATAGGCTTTGTTAGCTTTGTTTGTCAAGGTGGTCGGTCGCCACTGATTTGATCTGGGGAAACGAACTTGTGTGTGGGGTATTTGGTCTGGAGCGCATTGCGGATAAATACTTCCACATCTACAGGATTATCAGCTTTCGCTCTCTTCATGCATTCGAATCCTCTGGGGTTCTTCTTTGGCTTACCCTCATCTGTCTGCGTTACAATATCGACCGAGCTATCCTTCTCCTCGAATTTCTGGGAGTTTCCTTCACCACCAGAGATGCGGAGTTCTACACGCTCCATTAGCAGGTCACCAGCCTTGCGGCCAAGGTCCACGGCAAAAGCATATATCTCGTCGAGCTCATCCTGGGTGAGGTTGGGGACGGCCATAGCGGGAGCGGGGTCGTTCGAATATGAGGCAACTTTCAAGTTCCGGGTTTGGAGAACGGGTACAGGTTTTGGTTGAAGGGGTTAGTGAAGGATTACGGAGGCAATGATGGGGTAGATGCAAGGAGAGATTGTCAGTTAGCCGGGTTCCCCATTGACTCACTTCTCCCGGTGAAAAATGGTCGAATTCACCGCCGCTAGCCGGTATTTGCCTTATCGGATTTCCCCACTTTGCGGTGGAGCCAGATTGTGATGATGCATTGCTCATGTTTTTGGTTGCAACCGATCTCTATTTGATAAGAATTGCATTCTCAGGGATAATTTGGAGCCCCTATCTAAACACTGCTTGGAAGTATTGTCTGTAGGTTGTATAACATGGCTGAATTGTGGAAGATGTGTGGGTGGGGAGCTGTGAGGGTAATTGGCAGTCTCCGGGTATTACGCTCCAGGTTGTACGTTGCAGGTATTTCATGTGCTGCATGCTTTCCATAATAGCTTAACCTAAACTTTAAAAACGTTTACTTCAACCTCCTTGTTATCAATTGCTATTTCTGTATGGGAGATACCAGAGAGCATCTGGTTTTCATCGCAAGCTTCCCATTGAAATCCGTTGACTCCACTCACGGCTATTTACCTAATGGGTAAGTGGGGAGTGCACATGTACTGTCACATGACTATCTGGGCAAGCACTCCGTGATGGACTATCGCATTCGCCTTCGTCTACTTGTCAATTCAAATTGACCCAATAAGAAGCTTCTGCGTGCCTAGTATTTAAGTAGTCATGCTTCGATTAAATATCTGTTGCCCTTGGGAATGAATGCTAGCTATAGCGTACTAGATGCACCAAAACATATATTTTCGCGCTAGCCGCATCATCAAACCTATACATAGCATCCACTGCTGAGATATTAGGACATGATTATACAGTCTTGAATATTGGAAGTACTCAGTCGCTTCTAAAGTTCCACTATTGTCAAAGTGCGAGCTTGGGGGCCCCTTTATTCAAACTTGTATATATTCAATTTATGCAAATTAACGCAAAAGTACATGATATACACAGAATTGACCAGGTGCCAGTAGGCAATGAGATGATTTCGAAGCAATGTATGAAGGCCGCGCAAGAAAATTTTATACTCATGTCTTCTTCAAGCGCTCTAAGGCTTCAAAACTTGCTCTTCCAGCCCCTAAAGCATTTGAAGTCTGGCTGAGCCATCATCAGAAGTTCCAAATTTCTGTTAGTTCTTGAAAGTCGCTCTCCTTATGGGACCAGCTGGCTTGCCCACGTGATATGTAATTTCTAATAAGAAAAGTTAGTTCATTCATGTTAAAGATAGTGGCTTCCTGCTCAGGTGTACCAGGACCTGATCAAAGCGCGGGCAGAGTTCATGCTTGCAAACCTCGGAAACCTGAGCTGATGTGAAGAGAAGGTACATATACTACACATTCTGACAGGTGTCTTCCAAGATTATAGCGACAAAGGTGGATATACGATATAAAATCACCAGAAGTAAAGCCAGTCCTCCCCTCACCAGGGACTTGCGAATATGTAATGATGAGGAATCCCAAGAAGCTTCTAGTCAAGTAGCATGAGGAGATCTATAGATGGCGATGCAATTAACATCAGTAATCTTCGCGAGATCACAAGTGTCTTCCAGCCTAAGTCGGATAACCCTTAGGCTCAGACCGGGCCGGGGCTCATCGATGAAATCCCCATTCATCCGTCGGTCAAGCTCTATCCGGCCCACCGCAACAACATTATCCGCTCCCACAATCGATTGACTTCGACTACTGAATGAGACATGCTTTCGCTAAAATTTTGATTGCTCTTAATGATCTATGACATAATGAATTCCAGCCAACACCCCATTTTCAGTTCAGTAGAATAGTCCCCGATACCCCCATGTCCATATCTAGAAGCAGCGAAGGTTACCCGCGGACATCAAAACCCTTTACAGGGTCACAAGCTACGAGCTTACTCCAACCCCACAATCCCACAATGATCTAATTTCAATCCGAACGAATACCTGACTAACAGAATGGAAATATTACCAGCTCATACACCAGCAAGAAAACTGACCCCAACCCACTTGACCCAAGAAACCCCCACACGGCAAAGCGCTCAGCCGAACCGAGGGGCAATGCGGAGAGAAAGTTCAGAGCAAATCACGGCATCACTATGTAGCATTATATTTCAAGCCCACAACTTCCAACGGCGAACAATAATTCTCAGATAAACATTCCAAAACACATCCTCAATTCCAACCGCCAAAATGGTCAAGTCAATCCTCCTCATCAACGGTCCCAACCTCAACCTCCTGGGAACCCGCGAACCCCACATCTACGGCTCAACCACCCTCCCCGACGTCGAAGCCAGCGCAAAGGCCCAAGCCACCGAGCTCGGCTGCACACTGGAGACCTTCCAGAGCAACCACGAAGGCGCAATTGTCGACCGCATCCAGGCTGCTCGTGGCAACGTTGATGGTATTATTATCAACCCAGGCGCGTACACTCACACTTCCGTCGCTATCCGGGACGCGCTGCTTGGTGTTGCTATTCCCTTTATTGAGCTCCATGTGAGCAACGTGCATGCTAGGGAGCCGTTCAGACATCACTCTTACTTCAGTGATAAGGCTGCTGCTATTATTGTTGGGCTGGGTGTTTATGGATATAAGGTTGCTGTTGAGCATATTGCGGTGAACTTTAAGGAGTTGGAGAAGGCTAGCCTGTAAGGGCTCTTCTTTGAAATTGCGACGGACAAAACAAAAGCTGGTTTCATGTGTCAAGCGAGATGGAGACCTTCTTTGTACGATGTGTATGTAAATAAAGTTGTACATAGGGCAATGGGCTTTGGAATACTTTGACAATTTTTTTGTCGGCTATGTGGTACTAGGTACTAGATACTAAGTCCTAGAAATTTGTGGTCCTCTGACCCAAATTTGTGAAGGCCCAATTAATAGCCTCGCTAGATCCGATGTAAGACGGTATCCATTTCAGGAGACTTCATAGGTCTTTCTTGCCCATGGTGGCAAGAACAGGTATCTCTCCTTATCCAAGGTTTCCAGTCACACGTATGGGTATCAATGCACATCAGTGCTGCGCGTATGAAAGAAAAGATTGTCGAGCATCCGGCTGGAAGCAAAGTCGCCATCAGCCGGGTGGGTGCCGACCAGCGGCTACAAGAAGAACCATGATTATCGTTTCGGCGTTCCGGACATGCTAAGTGACTGCGATTCCCTTCGAACCCCGGAGGAAGATCCATTGCTTGGTATTTGTTGCGTCTGGGCCAGCAGAAAAGGCTCAATTTGACTCGAAAATGAGTACATCTCCGGCACTCCCGAATCAGCGACGAAGCCCAAGTTTTGCATGAATTCAGGTTGATTGTCGGGTCTGGAAATCGGGTTAGAATACAACACATGATAACGGAAAGATGTAAGCTTACTTTTCAGCACCGTCCAGCGACGCCAGCTCGTCGAATAGTGCGTCAAGATCTGGAGCAATTCGCTGCTGTCGGCGTGGTGGGCCGTAGCCGTCCATGTCGACGAAAGGACTGAGACCGAGAGATGGATCTTGATATGGTGCATGGTACTGTGTGCCTGGCGGGAATTGAGGGGCAAGGTCGGGGAGCATTGCTGGGCCAGGATGGGATTTTGAAGGGGCAGAGGCAGACTGGCGAAGACCACTACCTAGCCCTCCATCTAATTGGCCTGGTGGCGCCGAGACCTCCGAGGCGCCGCCAATGGTGGTCAAAGATGGGGTGGGTGTTGATAGCAATGGTGCTCCATCGTCCATGTTTTGAGCAGTCCTGAGCCATGGAGTAGAGATGAAAGGGTCGGGTGTCGATGTAGGATGCGCGGAGCTAGGAGCATGTGCCTCCGTAGATCCGGTGAGATGACGGGGAGTGCTCGAAGGCGGGAGACTGTGAGGATGGCGCAATGAAGGGTCTTCAGCTGCATCGGGTTGCTGCGACATCGCAGGTGATGCCATCGTCCCCTGGCTTATCTGAGCAGTCGTCTGGCCCGTGTGTGGCCGGTCTGATACAGACCAGAGCTGCACAAGATGCGATGAATAGGATTGGATCTTATTTCGCAGACTAAGCTCGACGTCGGATACGACGTCGCGCGAGCAGGTGCGAGGAAGACAGTATTTCAATATCATGCCAAAAATGGGCGTGGTCGCCGAAAGGCTATATGTCTCCAAGTAAGCCTGAAGGCAATTTAACAACCGACTGGAGCTATCGATTGCTCGTGCCTTATGTGGCATTTCAGGGATATTCTGATCACTCTCCCGTGTAGCGATCTGCAAGCTCAAGGATGAGGTGATGCTTTGATATGTCATCTCGAGTGAGAATATATGCGGCGATGCCACCTTGACTGGCCGACTTTGTAAGTCTACTCTGTAGCTTTTTGGTAGAGCGGCTGCCCAACGATGCAAAGTGAGTTCGAGGGACTCCAGTTGTGATCGGGAAATAGTCGGATCTTGCTTATAGCAACAAAGATCATTCAGAATGGAGACCAGAGATACAAGACGATTGAAGGTACTCAATGCATGAAGCGGCCCCCGTTGCATTGAGGCTCGAGATGCCTGTGTCGGTCTTAAACCAGTCATATCCTCCCAAGGATGCCATTCTTCTAGTCCATCTTCATTGATGGACCCCACTCGAGCTAGGTCGTCCTTTCGCAACGATGGACATTGCGAGGTTTGTTCCGCAATGAGCGTCTCTAGCACAAAGCAACCTAAAAAGACGTGCTTCGCTCGCCCTAATTGTTTTCCTTGTTCAGGGGACCTTGAGGACACTGAATGGAATGAGGGCTGGTCCAGACCCAGTGTCTGAGCAATTCTGACCGAGTGACCCACCAACATCCAAGCTGATGTCCATTCCTGCTGACCGAACTTGATGAGAGATAGGATAAGCAAGGCTTGAACATGTCCTACTTCAAATGGGCCAGTCTCCGCGGGGATCAGGTCCCGGGCGGTGTTGTAGAGTTGTGACGGGTTCACCCGAACAGAGAGGGGATCAGACTCCCGAGCAGTAATGGATGCATCTTGAAGAGAGGCGAGGGTAAGAACGGCCCAAAGGGCGGCATGATCGCCGGACCCAGGTGCTGTACGCGTCATGAACACGTCGCCTTCGGTATATTGAAATGCTGTTCGGAGAATGTCGTGCTTTTCCAGAATGGGGAGCCAACATTGTGTGTATGAGAAATAGATGTCAAGGAGAGGCCAGGCATTGTACGGAAGTTGGAGTGGGGAGTTGGTTGAGATCGCTCTGGGGTCGTCATGGTTAAGGGAGATGGCGAGGGTGGGTGAATGAAATCCATCCGCGGTTGTTGTCTGGGCACCCGAGTCTCGGGTGCGGTATGCAAGAGGTCGGGGTGCAGAGCTGACCATAGAAGTGCGCGAGGGAGATACCCCAGGGAGAGGTGTCTCGCGAGCTTCTAGTCCTTCTGGAATTTGCCATTCCTGAGCGTCAGAGGAGGCAAGGATCCCATCGACATCCAACGGGGTATCTCCTTCACCGTACGCCTGTAAACTGCGATCCCTCTCCTCTTCAGGCTGTTCCAAGACGACCAGCATTCGTTCAATATCCCTCAAGACTGTACTGTTCTTGAAGGATGACAGCAGGGTATCCGACCCTTCCGCTTCCTTGCCCATCGTGGCAAGGTGACTGGGTAAATTGACGGATCTCATCAAGGCTCGCATGACATCTTCACTGCCTTGAATCTTCTGGAAGACCAGCCCCCAGAGCAGCTCGAGCGAACGGATGTAGCCGGTAGGCAGACCTCGCTTCTTTGGATTGGCCTTGTAGGTGCATGGCCGGCATAGTTGTGCACATGTTGAACACACAGGTTGAACTCCATCGCATTTGTCCTTCTTAGATCTGCAGCTGTCGCAAGCACGCGACACGCGCTGCCGCTTCGGCTGGGATGATAGGTCGTCCGGGCCGTTCATTTTGCCATCGTCTTCAGGGTCGGTCCAGCGACGTTTGGATTTTCCGCTCGCGCCGGTGGCTTGGCGAGGGTCAGAGCTCATTATGATTGAAGCGTTGATCCACTAGGCGATTTCGGGCGCATTTTCGAGCGTACGCAGCACGAGGGGGTTGTTGAACCTTTTGCCGACAGGCTTGCGCAGGGAAGCGGGCAAGCTATGTCCATTCACAACGGCCCCCACTGACCTCGGATGGACCGTGCGAGTGTAGAAATCGGTGGGAAATTGGAGGCCTGGGGTAACTCGGTGTGCCGGAAGAATGTAAAAGGGAAAAAGAGGACCGCACAGGAACCGGTCCAACCGAGGTGACTCGCTCAATGGCAGGATTCTCTCGTTCCGGGGAAGGAACACGGACTTGCCAGCGGTGAACCAGTCGCGGGTGGGCAAAATGTCAGAATGGGGCAAGGGCCCAGTGTAGTACCTAATAGAAACTGTTTTATCAAAACCACGTTCAATTGAACTTGGTTGATTATGATTATTATAGTTTGATCCTAAATCCTTCACAGATACCGAAAACTTCTTATCCCCAAAGCCTTTTATTTTTCTTTCCCCGTGATTAGACTTTTTTTCCCCTTCAAAAAATCTCGGGAATTAATGCTTGCAAATCCGGGCAGCTGCAGGCCAAGGTGCGTACCCCACGGGGCGGGGAAAACCCGTATCCCGTCAGTATCGGCGGCAGAGTACTTTGCCCGGTGACGCCAGTTCCCCGTAAATTTGGTAATTACGATGAAAACTGACCGAAGCCTAAAACAGAAAGAAAACCTCACCCCCGCAAAATCCCACACGTTTACCTAACGCTAGTGGTCCATCTAGTTTCCAGATTTCCCCGAGATTCTGCAGCTGTACTTTTTACTCTCCCTTCCCGCAGTTCTTTCCTGTTACCTCCTTCAGGTGATGGGCTCGCCTCATATTATTGCATAACGTCCAATATGTCCATACTCGTGCGCCCGCCCAAGCGCAAGTTGCACGAGGTCGACGACGGACCTCGGAAACTCAGCACCGTGTCATGGTCTCCCGCAACTCGTTCCAACTCACAGTCCAGTTCGAGGCGACCTAGTGAAGCGCTGGACTCCCAAAGCGAAACTCATCAACATGCCACTTCCCTCCGGGAGTTGCACTCCAACCGCGCGTCCCCGGTCCTCTTCGATAAAGGAAACCTGCAGACCCCACGCATTTTCAGCCCTACCGCGTCCATCGTTCTCATTGGGATTCGAGGCACAGGCAAGTCCAGTCTAGCTGTAATTTTAGCCGCAGCATCAGGCCGACGCCTCATCGATTCCGACCGGTACTTCCAACAGGTGTCCGGCTGCTCCCGCGCCGCTTTCAAGAAGGATAAAGACCACGCCGAGTACCGACTACAAGAGGCCCGCGTCTTTGAAAATATGCTGGCGGACAACCAAGAAGGATGTGTGATCGCGTGCGGAGCTGGATCAATGGAGCGCAGCGGGCAAAGATTGCTACGGGAATATGCCCAGACACATCCGGTCATCCATGTCAGCCGCGATCCGGAAAGTATCCAGTCATATCTCAAAGCATGGCATACACAAAAGGTCCGACACTTTTTGGAACTGTCGGGGCCGATCTATCGCGGGTGCTCGAATCTGGAATTCTTCAACCTGTCGGAGTCGGGCAGCAGTGAACATATCACCAAGGACGGCAACAATCTGTCTCCGGGGCCCAAAATGGACCAGAGAACACATACACCCACTCCATTCTTGACACTGAAACGAGTGCAGCGGGACTTCCTTCGTTTCATAGCCTTCGTGACGGGTGATGTCACCGAAATGAATCGGCAGCATTCGTCGTTTCCATTGTCTCTTTTACCCGTACCCTCGCGGTCCTATACAACTTCGGTGTCAGTTCCATTCTCTGCCTTGCGCGACAATAGCCTGGATATTGAAGAGATTGAGTTTGGCGTTGATGCATTCGAACTAGCAATTGATGTCACCGCCCCTTCAGATCAGATGGGTTTAGATTCGAACCTGGCGGACAGCATCAGTCAAGTTATTTCGACAATTCGCCGAAACATCATAGTGCCAATCATTTACCATGTTGAGAGTTATACCTCTCCGAAAGGCCATATCTCACCGCCACAAAATGCTCGGTCCACCGATGAAGCATATGCGAGCCTGGTTCGGCATGGTCTGCGACTTGCACCGACGTTCCTGACAGTTGATCTGTCTCGTGATGACAGCCTGTTCAGCGAAGTTGTTAATGCGCGGGGTCGTACTAGTATCATTGGTCATTTTGAGACTTTCCGTCCTCTGCCCGGGGGATGGGACGGCGATGAATACATGCAGATCTACGAGCGGGCTAAGAGACTTGGATGTGATATGGTACGACTTTGTCAACCAGCGGAGACATCGGAAGACAATGCGGCGGTTGAAAGATTTCGACACCGTATTCAAAGCCTCCCAGGCGCTATGCCGGTTATTGCCTACAATACCGGCCCTCTAGGACGCATGTCGCGCTGCTTCAACCCTATCTTGAGTCCAGTCACCCACCCATCCCTAATCCGCGATAATCCTTCCCACGTACGATCAAATATCACTGCCCGCGAAGCCCAACAAGCGCTTTTTAGCTCTTTTGCACTAGATCCCATGCAGTTCTTCGTCTTTGGAGCCAATGTGACGTACAGTATGTCACCAGCGATGCACAACACTTCCTTCAAATTATGTGGGATGCCTCACCAATACACAATCTTTCAATCGCCCACCATTCGAGGTCTGAATGAGCTCGTCGAAAATCAATTCTTTGGTGGATCGAGTGTGAGTCTTCCCTACAAAACAGAAGTTATTCCCCTCCTTCACTCCATGTCACCCCATGCGCGGGCTATTGGGGCTGTGAATACCCTAATTCCCATTCGGAATGATGACGATTCCGATCCTCGCCTCTCCCAAGAATCCTCAATCTACTTGCAAAAGAGTCGCGCCGGTCCGATCAAGGGCTTACATGGCGACAACACCGACTGGATCGGTATTTGCAACTGTATTCGTCGAGGTCTTTCACCTGCCAATGCTGTCCGACCTACGACAACTGGTCTTGTCATTGGATCTGGTGGTATGGCACGTGCTGCTGTATACTCGATGATTCACCTTGGTGTGCAGCACATCTTTGTTTACAACCGCACCCCTGCCAATGCAGAGAAGCTGGCCCACCATTACAACCGACAAGAGCTTTTCTCCACGGAACAAGCTGGGGGTGATGGACGTCCTCGTGTCAGCACCCTTACCTCAATCAACGAGCCATGGCCAGCAGATTACAAACAACCAACAATCATTGTATCGGGTATTCCAGCCCATAGTCTCGGTGGCCAGCCAGCACCGAACTTCCATGTCCCCACCCAGTGGCTTGAAAGCCCTACGGGTGGTGTCGTTGTTGACGTAAGTCGGATGATCTCTCGTGTCTGTTTATGTCATACTTATTCCGTTTCTAGCTGGCTTACAAACCCCTCAACACTCCCTTGATGAAACAAATACGCGCCTTGTCGCACCGAGGCTGGGTAGCCTTGGATGGACTTGATGTCCTCCCCGAGCAAGGTTTTGCCCAATTCGAGCTGTTCACCGGCCGTCGTGCACCACGCCGACTGATGCGGACGATCGTTCTACGGGAATATGTGGATGAAGAGGGTCATGATGACCCACGCGCGATCCACGACCGACTCCAGAACCTAGACGGTCAGCCATCCTGAATATTTTCACTATCAGGATCAGGCCGCATCTAAGGTTGACGTTATTGTAACTCATCTTTAATCTAAGTGCGGCTGTGGATCCCCAGGGATCGACAGCCAAGCCGATCGCGGGTCTGATGTAAAGCAACTCCAGCCCCCTCGACCCCGCAGATACAATCCACCCCGCCGGTGGATGGAGATCAGAGCCATGACTTCAGAGCGGATGGCCCGTGGGCCTTTTCCAACTCCGATTATGATTATTGTTTAGCAAGTTCAAACCTTGATCGCCTCGCTGGGCGGGGCGTCATGATCCCTCTAATGGATGATGGGCCCGATTGGGGGCTGATTTTGATGAAGAGGCTAAGAGCCCTTACGAATGGAAAATGTATATAGATATGAACTAACGCCAGATATCCAAAATCGGAATTATTGGAACATGCTCATATCTCTGTTACACTCCGTAGCAAGGGCCCTTGATACCTACCGCTCTGGGTAATATTTTTGGCCCAGAAATAGATGTCTTTTGCCACTGACTGGTCTTTGGCCCTCAAGCCCGTCAGACGATGGGGCTATGCAGGGCTGCTGCTACAAAGCAACTCAAGTCTCTGCTAAGCTAGATCTTTCACATTTTTGACTTCCTAGAATCATGCCCTCGTTTACTTCCTTCACTAGCTTGTCGGATTATGTCGATGAACACGGGATATAGCTACATCGATTGGCCAGGCTTCCTCCTGCAAGGGCCTAGGATGATCCGACGCGCTGAAACACTGATACTAAACAGTGTAACAGATTCAATGCAGCGATCTAAGAAAAAATCTATTTATGTGCCAATAGTCTATGCTTGAAGCTGGGAACATTTAGCGCGCGATGATCTTGCATCATATTTCCGATCTCGAACGCTATACAAAACCCTGAATCCTTGCTAAAAACAGGGAGGGATCTGGAACTAAATTCATCGATTTTTTGCTTTTTCTAAATTCAGATATCTGAAACAGTATGATCTGACGGTGTACCTGCCACGTGATCTCTCAGGGCTGCTGAAACAACGGCCTGCGCCTGGATCAAGAGGATTCTCGCCCTCCCCCGTCAGGGGCGAAGAGGGGCGAAATGGCTATTGCTGTTTAGTTCCATATCACGGACTAGGGCACGATTCTGACGTCGTCCTGCATGAAGACAACCTAAAAAGACAAATTTGCCAGGTCAGACTTTTTTTCAATGAGGGCGAAAACAATGAATGATCCTAGAGAGGAAAGTAGTTGTGCCCCCTGTCGGTACCTGATGCACTTTACTCCGTTAGCATGGTTGCCCCAGTTGTGCCGGGAACTTAAGGGTAATTAGCAGGGGAAAAGGTCCGCGCAGTTTGAGACAGACGACC